TTTGGAAATTAGAGGCCTCTAAAGATGGAGTTTCAGTCTATACAAAACCTGTAGAGAATGCAAGTACTGGAACCACAGAATTGGCATTTCGAATCAGGTAAGTGGTTGAAGTGCTACTAAACCTCTCACCACCTTTCAGTGGCACCATTAAAAGTCCTCTTCAGCATGTCTTTGAGGCGACACGACAGGTACATTTCAAAGCTCGAGAGAAGAATAGCGTGGAAGAAGCCTGCATTTTGGAACAAGTCAATAAGGAAGGAGAAAGCTTTGATATTACCTATCAACGAACGTCCTCACCAAGCACATGGTTGGTCTATAAGAGAGAATTTCTCTCAGCAAGATATTTCATTGAAGACTCTCCAGACAAGAAAATTATATTTGAAAAGACCATTGATCCAAAACTGCTCACGTCTTCGGCAAAGATAGCCTTGAGCAAAGTGGTTGGTGTGAATGACCCTGGTTGCATCTATGCCACTATTTACTTTCAAATCATAGAATTCCAAAAAATCAACGATGAAACCACCCAATTTGATATTATTAGCAAAATGAACATGAACGGCTGGATTCCAATGAATCTTATAAATTCCTTGATCAAGATTGCACCTCAAAAAGCCAGAGAAGATATGGAATCATGCATCAAGTTTTATAGAGAGTCGACAAAATCTAAATAGTAAATATTGCATGTTCACTACAGTTCAAATATGAGAGAATCGATCTGTAAATCCTTTGTTGAGGCTCTAACGCCTTAAAAAATGCTCAAGCCTCAATCTCGGCAACCTACGATTGTATCCTCATATATTACGGAAACCTATCAATTCATACGAAGTCAATTTCTTCAAAACAAAATACTCCTTGCCATGATTATTTTCGCAACAATCTTAAATGTTATGCTGGGAACAACAAATGCCGAACAATATGTTTTCGGAGGTAGGCAAGGAACCTATGATCTGTTCATGGCAAATGTAGTGAAGAGATCGAATTTCTCTTCACAAGAAACCATAGCCCAAACCAAGAAATATCTTGCACAAAATTTCAACTCCACATGGTGTGATATTCTATATGTCAACAAAGAGACTGGCGAACAATTAAGACGCCGAGAAATATGTCTGGTAGATCACAAGAACATGAAATTCTACTCAATATGGGATGGATACAATGTTTACCAATTCAATACAGAGTCCACGCCACCACCCAATTCTCGACAATTAGAAAATGGAGCAATTGATTTAACTGGAAATTTACCTGACAGCTACTCTGGACAGGTATTCGTGATTGGAAATAATAATTATGCATTATTTGTGAACTATCAAAATATTTCGAGTAGTTCTATCTATTCACGCCTTAACAATACCTCTACTTATATTATACGAGGAAATATTACAATCTTTCTAAGCTCTCTTGACGCCCACAATAATATTATGAAGGACACAAGGTTCTATTTTAGAATAAGTAATCATCCATCTGGAATAGGAGTGATTATTCGAAGTATGGAATATGGTGACTTGTGTTTTTGTCAGTTAAAGAGATATCTTACTGTGGACAAAATGTTTGAAGTAGGATTGGCTCCTTGTAATTATACAGATCCTTATCAAAAATTCTATTGGACTGGAGCAAGTATTATAAGCTCGGTTAACATTGATACCATCTCCGCACAAGGCCTGGATTATACGAACCCCACGTCATATGCGTTGAGATTTTTTAAACTAACCTATGGACATTCTATCGGAATGGTCAAGTACAATGAACGTCCATCGAGTGTTCTGACTCTTCTTCTTGTCACATCAGAGAATGCTCTTAAAAATCCGTATCAATTCAAAGAAAAGCATGTTTTGACTCCATCTACCCTTATTGAATCATTTTACATCAACCACGACGTTGTTGAGCAGGATGTCACTCTCCAAAATCAATTAGCAAGAGCGTCAATGCCTTTCCGTTATTCAGCTGCTTCAACGAGAACACTCTGTATATATTCCAACCTTTTGTTGGTGGTGATTGTACTTGTATTTTTGCTGTCTAACTTTGAATCAAATCATTAACATTTGAAATAGGGATGTAAGGTATATCGCTCAATACACTTGTGGCCTATCATCCATCTCTTGCCTCCATCTGCCAGTCCTCTCATAATTCACTTGTTGTTGAAGAGGTAAAATAAACCTGGACCTTGCATTTTGATTGGATTTCCAGTGATTTCTGAGTGTGTTTACAGTCTCTGCATGTGCTTGTGCAACTCGTTCCAAAGGGTTTCCATTCTCTGACCGTATATATCCTCCTCCCATCATGGATATCAACGGAATTCCATTCATGTGCAGACCATGGCTTCTATTAAACTTTGGATCGTGCTGGGCCATTCGCTCTGCAAATTCTACTACCATTTGATCGCGTCGTAAAACGCCAGCAGGTGACAAACATAATAGTCCCAGTCTATCTCCTTCCAATACATCAACTCCTGATTGATAGAAAATAAAGTCAATTTTTTCTTTAAATTCTTGCTCGAGTGTGAACAGACATTTTTCAAGTATTTTCAAATATTGATCATCCTTCATACCATTCTCAAGCTCAATATCCCAATCGCTCTTTTCCTTATGCTCAGGAAAATTGTGTTTGCAATGCATTGAAAATGTAAACGACTTGCCTTCATGTAAGTCACGTGCAAGACGGGCTGTTCCATCACCTTGATGAACATCGAGATCAATGACCAAATACTTCCTGCCATTGGTACAAAAACCAGAGTTAATCAAATACTGTCCTGCAATAATAATGTCATTCCAAATGCAGTATCCTCCACCTTTGGAATGAAAAGCGTGGTGTCCTCCACCAGCTAAATTGCTTGATCTTCTCGAATAATTGTGAAAAAGTGCGTCTTGTGTTGCACACAAAGTAGCTCCAATTGTATGCAAAACTCGATTTCTTACTTGCTCATTCCATCCACTTTCAAATCCCCATCGTTTCATTTCCTTGTGTGTAATTGTACCATTCAAAAACCTTTCAACATATTCATGGTCGTGTACTTGTTTTACAATTTCAATTGGAATTTGTTGTGGAGTTTTAATCTCATTATCTAACACATATTTGCATGATTTCAATAATTGTGGAACTTGAATCCATTTAGGTTTATGAGTGTGAGTGGTAGGTATTGCAAATTGAGCTGAAGAATAGCATGAGAAAAATTGAGCTGCACCTTGCGGATGGATTTCAGTAACTATATTTTCATCGGGATGATGATTCGATGGAATGGAAGAGGAGCTTATTCCTTTATGAAAATAGCATTGCCCATACGCTAATTGATAATGATTGTTCAAAGTCTTTGGAATAATCCATTGCATTGGCGTTGATGAATGAGACACCAGCACAGCAAATGTTGATTGACTTTTGAAACGCAACATTTTTTTGATAATTATTTGAAAGAAAAATGAATTGTTGCGTGCTGTTTCGGAAGCATGTCAAACAATTATCATTAATATTTATCAAAAAGATCATCTACACTGCAGTTATTTAACAGTAATAATAATTATTTTATCCGAATTTACAATTATCTCGATCCGCTTGCAAGGAAAAATTGATGGTTGAAATCAAAAGCAATCAATCATGGCATTTTAATATTCAGTTTTTCACCAGAAATCGCTTGATGGCACATTTGGGGACATCTACTGACGACTCGCTCCAAGTTGGTGCGAACTTTCGGGCCAACTACAGCAACACTTTCGAAAAAAAAGGAAACCTCGTCCATTGGGCAAACTCGTGTTCTTGACCAAACCTTCTCAAGAAGCCCCACTACGAACGCCATCTCTCTACAATTCATTGGAACCTAATTCAATTACAACCATTTTGAATTTTCATCAAAATGCCTTCGTATAATCCTCAGCTACCCGATTTTGTTGAGCCCTTGTGGCTGCCATCCTTATTCCGTATTGAAGCAAAAACAGATTTATGGACGCGGCTTGAGCAAGAGGATGCAAATTGTACAACAGAGCTTGAAGAGGTCTCACAAATCACTACACCCACTAGCGATGATGCCTTGCTGAACATTAAACGATCAAAAAAAGAGTACAGCGTTCATGAGCTAAGAGATAAGGCACGACAATGTATGGCAAAGGTAAGCTTCCTTTGAAACATTTACGAAAAATACATTCCAATACATCAACATTAGAATAACTATGTGGATGCGCTTGCGGCTTTCGAAAAGTATATCATCAAGCGAACAAATGGAAAAAGCTCTCTCAATAGCTCCGTAGTGTCCTCCATTACTACCAATTCTTCATCCAGTTCACAAGCCTCAGGAGCTCCAGCTGCAGTCAGATCAGATAGCGTGGCTTCTCAACGATCAAGCAGAGAGGAAAGAAACATCAATCTCTCTTTCAATAGCAACTCGTTGAAAATTTATGTTGTTATAGGATGCAATTTAGCCGTTGAATATACGCTAAAAGGAAATATTTCAACAGCAATTGACGTGTTATCAAACACTATCGAAATTATTTCCGAGAATATTAAGAAATTGCAGAAAAGAGCTTCAAGCAAAAACGATGGTCGAATGAGCAGATCAAACTCTCGCAGCTCCCTCACCGGACAAGTATCAGATGTAAAATCGAAATTGAAAGAAGATAAGGATCAACTTAATTTTATGAAAGCAATCCTTGCATTTAATCTCACTAACTTGCTGATCAGAAAAAAGAAATATGCCTCTGCTCTTTCGTTCAGCAAAATTGCCTTAAAGAAGTTCTCCTACTATGGAAATTCAGAATTTGCGTCTTTCTTTATGTTAACAGGAGCTGTCATTCATTGTCTATTGAAAAATTATCAAGACGCCCAAAATATTCTGGTCGACTGCCTTATCCTTATACGGTATATGAAGTACCACAAAGGACGAGAATATAGTGGAGGGTCGGGCTCCATCAAAATAGCATGGATATACATTCCTGCGTCATCACCTGACTCTATGAGTGAGGACGACACACTAAGCGTTGCTCGAGCTGGGGATGTTTTTCAACAGAACTGGGAGTCCATGATGAAAATTCTTTCATATCATAATTTAGCACTCTGTAAAGCATATTTTCAAGCTTATGGAAAAGCTGTTAAACTAAGCGACAAGGCTATAGAGCTTGCCAAAGCCATTCCAAATATAATAGACGTCGGGTCTCTCGTTTCCACTCTAGCCAAGACATTTAAATTCTGCAAGAGAATGGGTGAAACAGCCTCTGCGTATGCCGGAAATATTCTAGTGAGGGTTAGCGCAGAACCTGAACAAGTTCTTCAAACGCTAAAAACAGTCACAGACGTAAAGAAGAAATTGGTTTCACTGCTACCGTTTTTGGGCAAAAGCGAAGATTTTAAAGATTTGAATATTTCTGTAATTGAAGATGAAGACGATTTGATGGAACAAAAACAACGAGTAAGCTCAAGCCAATCATCTAGATCTACACAAAGCGAGGGTAGTGAAGCAGACAAATTTTTGCTGAAATCTTCGCTTAAAAATACAATCATTGCTGCACGACATGAAACTTCGTCATCACTATCCCAAACAAAGAAAAGAATACCTCAGAAATCGCCAAACCATAGGGTTATACTTCCACCTGTGAAGCGAGTATTGACCTCACTAGACATGCTAAACACTCACAACACAAACCAAGATGTAAATAAGAGGACAAATGACACTCGAAAAGCGCAGAGCGCCCCTAAACAAGAAATTTCAAAAAGAAAAGAAAAACCAGAAAATATTATTAAGGCAGATGAGGTAGTTGCTGATATTGTGTCAATAATGTCAACAAAACAAACAACGGAAACTATGAACGATGGTTCTAAGCAGACCATTACCTTCAACACTCCTAACTCAGTCAATGTTAACCAAGATCCAGCTTTAACAGCTGTCATGGAAGATCCAACAAAGATGGCTGCATTACTAAAGCTTCAAAAAGCGTTTAGAAAGAAATTAGCACGAAACAGAGCCAAGAAGATTAAATTGGAAAAAGAGAATGCTCTCAGAGATTTCCTTGCTGAAGAGCGAAGGTGGTTTGAAGAAAACAAGGACAAGTATTTCGATTTGTTGTTGGAAGACGAGAAATAAAAAATGCTCAGTTCCAAATCTTCCCGAAATCATACATCAGATTCGGAAGATGATGACAATGAATCACACCAAGTGATATCATCATCATCCTTTGATACATTCAATATTTCCAACAACCATCAAAATGATCATGTAAATGATGATGAAATGGAATTACTAAAAACAATTCTAGCAAAGAGGAAACAAATTTATGAATTGGAATTAAAGAAAATTCATCTAGAACGAGAAAATACTCGTAAATCAATGATGATGGAAGATGGAAATTTTCTTAACGCTCCAACATTCTCCTCTGCATATTCACATGCGTTTGATGAAGATACCTCCCCATTCCTTAAATATCCCTCTTCCATATTACTCACATTGTTGCAACAAGTAAAATCATCATCGCTCAAAGTATCAACCGATCATGAAGATAAAAACAAGACCATCAATAGGAATCATCCTTCTGACGAATTTGTTGTCAAAAATAATGATATTACAATGCTTACGGAAACGAACGTTCCAAAACATTGCGTCCCAATACGAACAGATGTCAGAAATATGGATTGGAAAGCACTTGCAAGTGTCACACAATTTGATGTCATTTTAATGGATCCACCTTGGCAATTAGCGACTTCGAATCCATTACGTGGTGTGGCTATTGGCTATAAACCACTCTCAGATAAGCATATTCAAAATATGGATATCAATTCGCTACAAGAAAAGAATGGAGGATTTTTGTTCATTTGGGTTATTAATGCAAAATATGTTAAAACACTGGAAATGATCGAACAATGGGGATACAAATATGTGGATGAAATTACATGGGTGAAAAGAACGATTCATAGACGTTTGGCAAAGGGACATGGTTATTACTTGCAACATGCAAAAGAAAATTGCATTATCGCAATGAAATGTAAATCACTAGAAAAGGAGAAGGAAATGCTTGAGGCCGCAAGAAATCGGGTTGCCTCGCTGAGTGATGTGATTTTCAGTGATCGAAGAGGACAATCACAGAAGCCAGAAGCTCTCTATCACTTTATTGAGCAAATGGTTCCAGATGGAAAATATTTAGAAATATTTGGAAGAAGAAATAATTTGAGAGATTATTGGGTGACGATTGGAAATGAATTGTGAACGAGACGACTCCTTGATTTTAAAGCAATTTTGTGATCACAATTTGCAAGCGGAAAAATCATGAAAAATAATAATTCATTATTACAGTTTGTCACATATTTTAGTGTGTGAAATGTTTTGATTTTCACATAGTAGTGAAATATCTGATCTTTTCAATAAAGGTGTGGATGGAAGGAGTGAGTAATGATTGCAGGAGCTGGAGATTTTACTTTTGTTCCCACAATGCAGATCTTTCCTTCATCTTTTGTCTTCCTTCCATTAACTTTTTCTTTTCCTCTTCTTCTTGTTGTTTCTTCTTTTGAGCCAATGCTTCACTTCCACTATGTTTCATGGCCTTTCTCTTGGCAGCATTTAATGTCATTTCTAATTTGTTTGTCTCTGTTTGATCTTGAGCTTCCATTTGTGCAAGTTCATTCTTGGCTCGCAATGCACCAACACCCTCGCCGTGTGACTTGACTTCGAGGTCTTTCAACTTATTTTCACGTTCACGTTTAGCAGCATAGAATTCAGAAATGGCCTTTTCCAATTCTTCATTCATTCCTTCTGGCATTGTGAACAGTTCTTCTAACAAGGCATAACCAACACCGGTCACACCAATTGCAAAGTTTTCTAAATGTTCCTTTGGAGCATCAAGTTCAGTGTGTCTCTTGTAATATTCTTGTAAAATCATGTGCTTGTAGTGAAGAAGCAAATATTCAAGGAAAGCAATGTGTTTGTTAAAATCAAGATCAATGTCACGAATTTCATCACGACGTTGAGTGGCAGTACGAGTACGACCATTCTTTTGTAAAAAGTCAGCAGCTTGGGCTATAATGTTTGGAAGAAATGACCATTGGAGTAACAATCATTTGTATGTATCGTATCAAAACAGGAAAAGTCGAGAGAACCATTACACACACATAATGATCATCATATGATCACACACGTAACATCATCGAAATGAAAAATGTTTTTTTTTAACACAACGTCATCATTGTAATCAACACGAATGATCATCATTACCAAAAACACATACCTTCATCCAATTGTCCTTGGAAAGCAGTACTAGTGCTAGCATCAGCAATATACTTTTTAAAAGAGGTTGAGAGTTTGACAACTTCTGGCCAATCATCACCCAAAGCAAAGATGAAACTCTTCAAAAAGAATTCACATTGTTCATCAATGGGTTGATTGACGAGTTCTTGGAAACGTTGGGCGTGTTTTGAATCGACTTGAGGCATTTCGTGTGGGTGTGAGGTTAAGAGTATAATGTTGATGGACAATGAAAAGAATTGTGTCGTATTTTTTTTTTAATGTGTAAAATGAGACCTTTTGACTTGACGAAGAAAATTGACACGTAATGTTTGAAGACGGACAGAAGGTGAACACTCATCAGTTATCATCAAAAAGTTGAATGCTTGCTTTTTGGGTTTGAGGTTGCCCTAATGAATTTACAATCAGAGAGTGTATCATTGATGAATATTTCAAGTTGCAACTTCAAAGTGGGAGATAGCAATGTGGATGATGATGATTGTACTTGGTCCAGTTCAGGACACAGCTACTTGTTTTGATTCATATGAGAACTCACTGATATTTTTGAAAAAGGCAACATGTCATGAAAGGTATTCACATCAAAAAATGTTGTTGGACGAGATTCAACATGTTGTAACGAACGACTCATTGCCAGACCTCCTTGTTTCAAGGATATGAAGCTTCTCAATTATGTGAATGATTATTCCACGCTCCATGAAACACTATAGAGTTTCCTCAACCCTTTTTCGACCATTAAACTGTTGAGAGTAGTAAATTGTTTCGATAATAGTCTCGTAATAATTGTCCTCGAGAGCTTCGTACAATACTACTCAACACCATTCGAGTCCATAGACGTCTGCCAATTATTATTGACTGACGTTGTCTTCAACGAAGTCGTATTTAACCGGTGAAATTTTTGCATTCGGATTATGTTTGGCAGCGTTTCACTTTTTCAGAATCTTCACACGAACGTTATGGTCCTGAGGCGACCAAATTCAAAGCAAGACAGCACAAACAGTTTGTCATCAAAACAAAAAACCAATCGTCGTCCTTGATAGTAAGCATCAAGCACAACAGCATCTCTCAGTTAGTATCTAGACCCACTACCACAACCATCACAGTCAGTCATTGAGATCAATTTTAAAACCAAAGATCCATTCATTTTCTCAACAACAACCACTTCAACGATGCGCACAACTTGTCTCAGCATGAGTCAACACTTTTTCATTCTTGTTTTCATGTTTGTTGTTGTGTTCACAACAATGACTTCTTCTTCCCTCGTATGGGCACAACAGTCCTTACGTTCCAGTTCTTTCATTCAGGCCATTGATGCTGCTACTTCCGTTTACATTGCTTCTCAGGAGTGGAAAGATTATTTGGTATCATTCAATATTGTCTTTCCGGTACCTTCTTGCACAACGACGAGTGCGAACGATTTTCCAGCGACTTTGGACTTGCTCAAGAATGGAACGACACGAGTGCCCGTATTGAATTTGTGTTATGAACATAATGCATTACATCCGTGGCCACTCATTCATCAAAAGGCAGGACAGTTATTGGTTTCCACTTTGAAGAATCAATATAAAATTCAGGATTTGGTCGCCAATTTCACAACAGTGAATACGACCTTGTTGGGATACTTTAACTCATTAAAGGCTGCTGTGGACTCGGGTGAATGTGATGTCATCATTGCCTCCACGAATTGGGATAATTCAAGATTGAGTCAAGCGCATTTTCAATGTAAGTAGTTGTGGCAGTGATACACCGTCGCACCCACAAAGAGCTCTGTAACGGTCGAATGATGAATCATGATGAAATATCACGATTTCTGAATATGGCAATTACCATTTTCTATGTTGAATTTGATCCAATTGAATCCAATATCGTCGTGTTCGAAATTTCTCAAACACACATTTTATACGCAACAGGTGCCTATGGAACAAGCTTCAATGGCTATTTACGTTCTGCACTCGATGCTGACACTATCAAAGTGACATCCGTGAATGACCTTAATCAACCTGGTGTTAAAGTTGCTGTTTACAAGGCCACAACTTATGATCAATATGCCACTGCCAATTTGGCCAAAGCAGAAATTGTCCGTTTCTCAGGGGGATATTACGAAGCTTGGCCCATGATTCTCAATAATCAAGTTCATGCTATGATTACAGATGCTGCTGATTTATTCTCGTGGTTGGCAGCAAATAAGGCTAATTGCTCTTCTTGCAAAGTAGATGTGTTTGGAAATCAATTTTCATTTGGAAGTTTCACCACAAGCAAAATTGTGAAATCACTTGGTAGCTCTGTTGTTATTAATTTTACATACATTTTCCTATTGATGATGAGTGCAATTATGTTCATGTGTTAAGTGGATTTTAAGTTTGGTCACAATATAAAAATTAATGATAATTCGTCACAATTTTCACATCTGAAATGTAATTTTGATTTTCATGTGGTGTGAGTAAATTCTTCATGAACATGAATGCCTTGTCGATTGATTTACCATCTGGAAAGTATATTATATAGCCATTTCGCAGTGCACTAATTTCAACTTTTGCATTGGGGTGAGGTAGTTCAAATTCACCAGTTATCTCTTCTGTTTGCTTGGCAGCATAGCGATGTCTCATGAAAACTCTCCCAAGTGAAGAGTTTGTGTTTGGCTGATTTGTAACAAATACAATGTAGTCCCCTGCGCACACTGCAATAATTGAGTCCTTCTCCTTGAAAATATTGTCAATGCACGCTATATCTACACCATGCCCTCCAGGGGCAAGAAACCATGTGGATCTTGTTTTCACTGCAGCACAGAAATATCCACATGTTATGTCTTGAATGGGATCTTCACAAAATACTCTCCGTACTATGGGACTGTTTTCATGAGTGCCTTATTATTGAATGAGAAATACAGAATTCAAGATTATGAGAAATGCTTACCATGCTTTGAAACTTCCATCATCTGTCCCGAGCTATTACAACCCCACCCATACACGGCCCCACTCGCACACCATATTGAAGTATTGTCATATCCTGGTATAGTGTTATATGAGGTTGAGTCGTTTGCTCAATAAGAACTTACCACATTTGGCGATTAGAGGCGTTTCATTAGAAGGAAAGGAGGTAATACGGACTATTAATGTCACGAATATGAGTAGCTATTGTACTTTCTGACACATACCTGGATAGCGAGATCGGTGTCCAGCACAACTTCCATTACTGTCATTTCCACAGGCATACACACCGTTTTCAGCTACGAAAATTGAATAAGAATTTCCACCAGCTACAGAAAGTATTTTCGAATTATTGAAATAACTACTGCTCAAAGCTTTTGGAGTGGGAATGCTATCAATATCTACGTGACATTGAAAATTGTAATGCTCTAAATAAACATGTTATGCTCACATACCAGAAAATCCACACTGTTACGAGTTAAACAGTTATCATCTCAATTCCGAACCATACGACTACGTTACCTGTTGCGAGCTATTCTTTCCACACACATAAACAACATTGTCCTGAGTTAAAAACAGAGAATGATAGCCTCCACAACTACCATCTACCACAACATGATTTGTCATTGGTCCAACTGTTGCTACAAGTCCTCGTTTTTTATATCCACCAGTGTGGCCGTTCAATTCAATGTCGCCATCAAATCCACATCCAAGACATCCTCCAGAGTTAAGCCCACATGAATATACCCTACCAAGATCCGTGATGATATGAGTATGAATTCTGCCCGAAATTACTTTCACGATTTTAATACCATCAATTACAATCCTTTTACATGGTTGAATATTTGAATTGGAGTGCTCTTCAAAATTGTTCAACGGCTCATGATTTGTTTGTTTTCGAAATGATCCAACTTCATAAATTTTGGGTCCGATTAACAATCCACCACTTGAAATTTCTTGCTTGTTGTCATAATCAACGGTGTAAAGGATGGAAGTGGGCATTTTTAATAATTATTTTCAAAAAACAACCAATGAAATGCATTGCGAGCACGATGTAACTTTGAACATCCTTGATTTAGATTCATTGTTGTACAACAACATGATCTTTTAAACACAGACAACCAGCTTTTAACATTCTCACACATTGGTTTCGACATCCTTTGTCTTTTGATCATCACTAATTAGGATCGAAGTATCGCCATAATTAGAACCATCTGAACTAGTGGTGCCAGTTCTGGAATGTGGCGAAAAGGATACAACTGTCCCTGTGGGTGAGGAAACAGCTTCACTCAAGGTGTCAAAGAGTTCGTTTTGAACATCGTCCTTTTGATTTTCATTAGAAATTTGAAATTGATCTGTACGTTCATCTCCCAAGGTGTATGCCTTAACTGTGCTATGTTCCACTTTCGTGTTAATTGAAATGATTTCGTCACGTGGTGTTGCATGTTCAGCAACGACAGAGTGTAAAGTAGTATTGGTAGGTTGAATTTCTTCTGGGTTTGAACTTCCAGATGCATTACTTCTGGTTCGTTCTCTTGATAAACCAATAGCTGATTGTACTCTTCTAAAGCTATTGCCACGAGGTCTTTGGATAGGCATTTTCCATAATGACGGTGTTACATGTTGTAAAGTGAAAGGGGTAAATCCACTATCATTGACCATGAGGGAAAGCATGTTGGGAGTGTGATAATTAGGATGAGGAGGCATGTTTGATGATTCAATGTCATAATGGAATGCCATGTAAGTTCGAAGTCTCTTCTCCATTTTCGAGTCTTTCCACAATACTATGAATGGTTCATCTTTTGCAACGCTTACAAACGCATTTTCATTTAGAGCTAGCAACGATACAATTTCTTGTGTATGAATTTGAATTTTGGCAACATGATGAAAAACATGAGATTGAGCTTTTGGACCAATAAATATACTTTCAATAATGCTGTTGGAAGCAGAAGTTTCTGATGTGGATACATTACTGGCGGTAGATGAGACAATATTGTTATTGAGATATTTCGTGGTATCCCATAATGCAATGCTACCATCCTCAGCACCAGTCACAATCACCTTACCAAAATGTAGTGAAATCATTGACGTGATATTGCACGAGTGAGCATCAATTTGTTCCAACACAAGTTTACAGTCTTTCTGTTGTGTTGATGAAAGGTGTTCATCGGTGAAAGATAGCATGACTTCACTAATGTCGAATATAAACAAATTGCTATCCAAGGAAACTACCAAGAAGTGATTATTTACAGACAGCTGTGAGCATTTCTGATATGCTTTTTTGGTTTGCCCATACAAATCATGAGCTCTGGTAAGTGTTGTAATTTTGTTAAATCGTATTTCTCCGTTTTGGTCCATATATGATTTCCAAAGATCTATTTGGCCAACATTATTGATAGTGCTTACAATAATGTCAAATTCAGAAGAGCTAGCTTTTCCCATAGAGGGTGATGGAGGATTTTTCTCGGTCGAACCTAAGGAAGGGCTTGGCTCTGTGGTAGCAGGGCTACTTGTAAAAACATTAAATAATTTAAGAGTCGAAAGTATATAGATGCTATGAGGTGAACGCGTTTCTGTATCTTGTTGAGGGATAGCATCAACTGTGTTACTGGAAGCAATAGAACTAGTTCTTAACGAGTATGAGCTCAAAACCGTTTCCAAAGAGGTTGAAATGATTTTGGTATCATTATCATTGAGGTCCTCAATACCACCATATCTAGTATGATTGTACACGAGTATGTCTGATGCTGTTTGAGTGGTAGTGACAATGGACGTTTTTGAGTATTCGTTTGGTTCCAATTCTCCATCATAGGGGAGAGAAATAGTAAGTAATTTGAAAATAGGCCCACTATCTGGTCTTTGAATATTTTGCAACAATTCACCAGTAAACCAATTCCAAATGAATAACTTTCCATCAATTGAGCAAGAGCAAAATCTTGGAGTTCCATCAGAAAAAAGCTCAATATTCGTCACACTTGTTTCATGAGCAAGCATGGAGCGAACAGGAGAAAGTACTAAGGGTTGTGATCCTCCAAAACTCCAAATCGAGGATATATCCCATAATTTTATGGATTTGTCCTCAGATCCTGTTAAAATATATTGTGCAAACGGAGTATATTGGAGATACAAATTGGTGTCGTCTATTTGAGGGTGATTTAGAGCGGTCCCTTGTGAGAAAATTGGTACAATACAATTAATGGTTAATTTGTGATGTTGTAGGCAAGCTATTTTTCTGGAATTTGTTAAATCCCAAATGAAAATTCGTCCATCCTGTAAACATGCAGCAGCAGGAGAGCTTATGGGGTAAACCACACTTGAATGATATTTTGTTGAACGGCATCTATAAAACATATATTCCTCATTAAGAAAGAAATAATGATGAGGTGGCTTCTTTTTCAAAGGTTTTTCCGTGAAATGATGGTCACAATACTGTTCGTAATTCCAGAAATTTACATAGTATGGTAAACAGCAGGAGTAGCTGGTATCTAAATTTACATTCCTGTCATACATAAGTATGAGTTTTGTAATGTTGTTATTTGTACTGCTCTTGTCATCCAAAGCAGTTACTGCCAATGTATCAGTAATGATAGAAATCTCAGAAAAAGGATTGGCATTATATTTTGCAATGTTGCAATTCGGGCACTCTTCACAGTAACTATATTCTCCGTGATGTAGATGCCTATTATTTCGATGATGTGAAGCAGCATTACTTAAAGAAAGTCCTGTTTGATTTTTGGGAAGTGAATAAACAGTAAAAGGTCCTAATTGCTGAGAAATCCTCAATGTGTGAGTAATGCTCGAAGAGTTATTGGAAACATTACTGCCGGTTCTCTTTCGTTGTGGGCTGTAGGTGGTATTGCTCGATGATTTAACAGTAGTAGATGAAGAAATAGCACTATTAAAGGAATCATTCAACTTGCTTGGCAATGTTGGAGAATCGATAGGTCTTGCTAGAGGAGGAACGCTCACTTTGTCTCTTTGTGGAGACGAATAATATTCATTGTCAATGGTTTTTCGTAATGAGCTCGAATAAAGAGCAACAGAAATTTCTTCGTCACTCTTTGGAGAATGACTTGTAAATGGTTGTTGCAATAAATTATTGTTACTTTCGAGTGATGTGATATATTGATGATCATCATGATAATCATCTCCAAAAGAAGATCCAGGAGGTTTTGCTCTCACGTCTAAAATTCCAACTCCACCTCCTCTTGTTAAATTCAGTACTGCTCGTTCTAACGGTGGCGAGAAAGTATTGTTGTTGCCACTACCATGTGTCGGTAAAGGATTGTTTGATGAAGAATGTTGCTCGGAATCAGATTGAACAGACACATCATCCAGGTGATGATGCTGAGCCATTGAGGGTAGACCTTCCTGTGATTGAACAGTATATTCATAATAAGTGGATGTATTATGTAAATTATTTACATGATGAGGCTCGGAAAAATTCAATGATTGCTGTTGTCCTTGATCCAATGTGGGTGTTGTACTCTGGGCTGGAGAAGCATCATTGCTATCATTCACCGATCCTGCGTGTTGAACAGCTGTTGTTGATCTTGTTGTTGAGCTTCTTTTGTCATAGAGCCACCTCCTCACATTGTTTAACATTTTTATTCTGGAAAAAATGGCAAAGATTTTTTGGATAATTCGGATCTATTCTGCCAAGCCACAAAGAAATTAATTGCTTCAAGTTGGAGAAAGAAGTGTGTTTTAATGGTAGCTATTAAATTTAAATTGATTGAAGTGAATTTTCATCAATTCGTCTAATTTTGAATATTCAACCTCTTTCTGACAAAAGATGGCCACAACAGATTTCAGATGATCTTTAGTTCTTTCAAAGAAGGAAATCTGTTAGTACAACAACTTGAAAGTGGTACTAATTAAGCCTAAGGTTTGTTGAGAGCAACCAATACTGCAATGACGAATATTGATACTAGAATTGAAAATTCAATATCTATTCATAACCATCACCTAAAAATACAACCACAACGACTGGAATTTACAAGATGTTTATTGTCAATAATTTTCAAACATTTATACAACTGGAATACCAGCATAGACTTGTGATTCAATACCTGACTCATTGGATCCAAGAGCAATTCTAAAGTATCCTCTTTCTCCCCAATTAGCAGACCATGAGTTCGCTCCAATCCAATAAGGAGTGCCATTTTCAGTACCCCATCCAATTAAAGCTACAGCATGACCACCCAATGCAGTAGTAGAAACGTGCTTGTACACTCCTGACTTGTAGCTCATAAAGTCTCTGTAAACAGTAAATCCAACTTGTACAGAACCATAGGTCATGATGGCAATCTTGATTTGATCCACACCTCGAATATAGCTTGCAGATTTGGCCTTATAAAATCTGAGAGCCGATCCATCCTTGCATTGTGAAGGACATGCTTGAGAAGCTCCTGCAGAAGTTCTTCTTCCTGAAACGTATGGCACACATGCATCAGGAACAGTACCAGTATTGGTCAAGAATTTCCAAGTACTACTCAAATATCCTCCTTGACATCCTCGTTGCAAAGTATCGCAATCGACTTGATATTCAGGTGAGAGAGTGACATAGGATTTGGCTCCAGTTGCAACACAAAGACGTTGAGCCAACACATAGGCACTTGAGAAGGCCCAACAAGCACCACAACTTTGTTGATCACGAATTGGAAGAACACATCTTGGCCAAGCAGTTCTTGCATCGAAAGAAGCTGGTAATTGGACTCTTACTTCACCTTCAATGGTTGGTGTATCTGGATCGTTGGGTAACAAACTCAAACCAAATAAAGAATCTCTCAAATATCCAATGGTCACGTTTTCAAAACGATCATACTTGGTAGCCTTCCATCCAATGGTATGATTGGAGTTGATTCTTTCAATGAGGTCATCATCATTGGCAGGTGTCGTACCATTTACAGGTTTTTCAGGTTTGGTTGGTTTTACAGGTTTAGTTGGCTTTGTTGGTTTGGTTGGCTTTGATTTGGTTGGTTTTGCAGGTTTGGTTGAGTTACGATGTCCACCATGAGGAGAGGGTCTTGTGGAATTTCGATTGCCACCTGGTGTTGCAGGTTTTGTGGATTTCTTTTGCGTTCGACCGTAAATGGTAGTGGCCGAGAGGGACAAGAAGCACAATGCCAAAATACAGGCAAGAAGAGTGAGTTGGAGAATTGATGTTTTCAATGCTGCCATGGTTTGATTTGTTTTTTTTGTTGTTCGTGTCAGTAACAACACGGTGGCAGCTCTCAATTTTATACGTTTTTCAACGTGCGCACATGTCATGAAGATGAAAACAAAGTGCGAGTTATCTGTTTACGTGATTAGAGTAATAGTGCCCAGGTTTGATAAGGAAGAGTTTGCATAAGGAGAAGAGTGGATGACGTTCGTCATCCATGTAAAGTCGCATTTTAGAAATTGGTGACATTCATTTCGATTGGATAGTATCTCTATGCGGTTTACAGTAAAATAGGTTGAAAACACTTCACCAATCAACAAGTTGTTGGTAAAATGATGTATTATAACATTAGGCCGCCGATTTGACAATTTTGGAAATAATTTTACTTACTGCGAATATTGGCGTAACGTTGCTCAAACAATCAATAATGTGGGGTCAATAACAATTCATTGTTCATAACTACATGTTGGACAGTAATCATTGCATGAATATTTCCTCAAAATGATGAAAAGGTTTTTAAAAATTCAATTTCCTGTGGAGTACTTGCTCTGTTCATAACCTTATTTCGATGAGGAAATCTTCCAAATTGTTGAATAATGTCTCTGTGTTGTTCTGCGTAACGTAAATAGGACTCAAAGGTAGGATGTTCTTCTACGAGAGATTTAAATAGTTGGCATGACAATTGTTGCAATGAGAGATCTTCTGAATGTTCAAGCGGAAAATAGAACCACATTCTCTCGAGGGGTGAGAGTATTTTCTTATCAATTTGATTTTCAAGGCACCATTTAGAAAGTTTTTGTGCAGTGTGGTCAAAGTGGAAGCTATTGGAAGAGTTACGATACATGTTTCTTGGAAATTGATCAAGCATAAGGATACAGGCAAGGAGTGTTCGTTCAGATTGTTTGGAAAGTACTCTTTGAATGTCATGTTCATTCTTTTCAAATAACAGTTCCAATTTGTAAGCTAGATTTAAAAGCATTGGCTCAAATGATGTTCTAATATGCTGATCAATCTCAAGAGATGATCGAAACCACCAACCTGTACGTTGAGGATCATTGTCAAACCAAAATTTCAAAATTCTTTCTTGAATGGGTGGAAATAAAAGCAAATCATCCATTTGGGATAGCAGTGAGAGATCAACAGACGAGGGAAATGTTGTTCCACTAAATCCTCCATACAAGCTAACAAGTTTTGAAAATGATGATGATGGTAAAAGTCTCATTAATGCATGTCTAACTACGATGGGCATTGAATAAATTGTTTTCAAATTTTCACATAATGTTCGATGATTTCTTTCGTCAATCCAATCTTCTAAATGTGTCACTAAACAGCCATCGTCGTCGACGTGAGTGTAATTTCTCGGAAGGTTTCCCTCGTTTTGTGTTAAAATTTTAATCCATTGAATTTGTTTGGCGTCATCTAATGCTTGTCCAAAAACTTGATTATTTTTCTCAGGAATTACAATTCCTAAAACAGTTGAAATGATGAAATGAAATTGAATTTTGATATTTGAATCCCCTTCTTTCATTCTTCTCTTCAACTCTTCGTTTAACTCTTTTCGAAAATGAATTTCATCAGAAGTGGTTGATATTTTCATGGCTGTTAAATTTTCTGCATTTGAGCTATTAGTCGTTTCTGCTTTGTTGTCAATATCAGCATTTTCTTCTTGATGATAATAAATAGAATCGAGAGAATATATTGGAGCATTTGTGAAATAAACAAAATCTGACTTAATTCCTGTTTCTTCTTCTAACTCTCGTAATGCTCCTTCTCTAATAGTTTCATCAACATTTAAGTGGCCTCCTGGAAGGGCAAGTAAGTTTTTGCCTGGAGGTTTTCCTCTTCTTATCATTAGAATTTTAAATGCAGAAACATCGTGTGTACTCTTGTCAAGTTCCATCTTTAAGAGAAGAACACTGACAGCAGGCACAGGTGAATCTGGAAACATGCTTTTTGGTGGCCTGGCTGTGGCTTGAGTCGATTGAGTCGAATAATTTAATCGTCGGCTTGAAAAATTACTCAAAAGGTTTAAATTAACTTTAGAGAGAAGAGAATTATTCTTCAAACTGAAACCCGATGATGATACTAATTGCTGCAATGTTCGTGATGATAAAATTCGTTGCCGTTTAAAAAGCACACCTGCCAACATTCTTTGAATATTTTTTTAATAATAATTTAAAAGTGTAATCGCCAATGAGAACCGAGTGATAAATTACAGAGTTGTGGTTGGATGATTCGAGCCAGTGACACTTCCCATCGTCGTTGAAGAGCCAAATAGAGATCCACTAAATCTCAAAAGAAATTGACCAATTCTGTCAAGAGTACCTTTAAACTTTTCCATCGCCACTGGATGCTTATTAGCAATGATTGCAATATATCGGTGTACAATGGCCAAGGATGTCAATTGTTTTTGGAACGCTTCGTTCGTGTGTAATGAAAATCCATTTCTCATGGCTTGTACCTCAATTTCTTCCAACTGTTTAAAGTACATTACTAATAAATATAAAATTCCCAAACTTAAATATGAAATATTGATAGCATCCTCAGGAATCTGATGAATAATATCTTTCATTTGCTCTGCATACTGGAACATGACCGTCGTATATTGCATTTGATCAGTGTGTCCGTCATTATATAATTTCTGATTACACATAGTCTCATGAAGCATAAGAATACTACATGACAATGAAAATAAATCAGTTAACATTGCCAACGGCGAGGAAATAACGGAATTTTGATCTCCATAAAAGTGTTGAGGTCTTGCCTTAGCATGGCCCTTAATCTTCTTTCTGAGAAGAAGAGAGAGTGTGAGATAGATCTTAATATTCTCAGAAGTGAGTGGTTGCATGGTCACTGCCAAAACCTCTGATGGTATTGTACCCGTTAAATAAAAGAATGAAGTAAGCATGGCCATTCCAACAAATGACTTGAACGTAAAAGTGCTATCATCAAACAAGCATGATGACATAATTGGCCCGTTGAGCGAGCTAGACAACGAAGAAGGTGAAATTAAAGGTTGAGCAAAGTCAATCAAGCCATTCACGTATTCGAGCCCTCTCTCCATCATAAACCCTATTTCATCAACTTTGATGCCCATGAATAGTCTCATTTTCATCAACAACATAATATCATTAGGAAGATTGGTAAATACAGAGTATTGATTGAGCGTTCCTGCTGTATCGTCATCGTCAGGCAAAGTAGGGCAGTTCAAGAATGATCTGTTTGCATAATTTGGTATTTTCTTTTCTAAAGACTTGTCGGCCATAAATAAATATCTTTTTGCTTTTTTTACATTTCCAATAAAATAACAATAATTTGCCAAAACAAGATTCCTGGCTAAAGTGTAATTTGAATCATAAATTTGAAACTGGCGAATAGAAGCTGATTGATCCATGTTATCAACATAAGACGGTAAAATATACTCGGATTTCCTAAATGCTAATTCTGCCTCCTCATAATTTTTAAATACAACACTTGTTGTGGCATGAATTGCAAATAAAAGTGACATTAAATCCTTTCCAAATACATTGTTCATTGCCTCGGATCCAAATACATATTCATCAAAGACCTCGTTTGGGATTAATGAAAAGCCGACTGAAACATATCTAAAGAAAAATTCAAATATCGATTTTCTAAAGCAAGAAGTATCAATATTTGGTGGTTGAAGTTGTGTTTGCTGATGAAGAGTGTTAAGTACTCCTAATTGATTGCTGTTGCCAAATAGTATACTAGGTGAATTCACAACAACACCTGGAGAGTTTTGAGTTTGTGCTAACAATGTCAAATGTTCGAGTGGTTGATTATTTGGCAAACCTTGTGACGTGATAATATTACTCATTTGTGGTTGCATTGTCGAAGAGTTTGGAATGAGTGATTGTTGGTCTGAAGGTTTCTTTTTCTTGGGAAAGGAGTATGCTTCTAGAGCTTCATCTCTTCGTTCGTTGATGACAGGTACTGATGATGAAGCGCTTGATCCAACACCGTATGAGTCATGAGCAAAAGTTCCTGGCATTGAATTTCTTTTTGTGAAGCTTTGTGGTGACATTGGAGTTTCTGAAGGATTTTGCGAAACACTCTTTCGCTTTTTCTTATTTGAAGATGACGATTTTGAATTAGAATTAGAATTTCCTTGCCATCTAAAAGTGAAAATTTCAAATGCATTTGTGGCTTCATTAGAGTTTGATCCTCCTGTTGAGCTTGATGTTGAAACTGCCGATGTTGCAGAAAAGCTAGAAATATTCGAATCCACTGATCCTCTTCTTGTCAATAATGCAGAATTCACTGCTGAAAGAGGAGTGGATGTGAAAAAGCTTCCCGACGAACCTCCTCCAGTAACCATGGTAATACTAGAAACATCATTTCCTGCTGGAACCGGTACTGCTCGTTGATAAACTCTTCGTTGTTTTTTAGGTGTTGTGTAATTGCAAGGTAATCCTTGTTTTTCACAATAGCCACACGATGGTAATTTTCTATCGCTGTTTTGTTGTCATTTTGTTAAAATAATGCCAAAGGTGGTTAATGTGATAATGATGATCGTCACAGTAAAAATCTAGAAGAACAACATACCATCGTTTATGTCGTTCCCGACATCTGGAACATGCAATCGGGTGTAGATTTGATTCCTTTCCTTGATTGACAGTATCGTCTTGCGTAATTGCCGTTGATGATGATGTTGCTGATGCAGCGATTGTTGAAGAAGGTACTAGTGAATTTGTGTTTGACGGCACTGTGTTTGTTCTCATGCCGGTGGTCACGGGACAATTGGTAATGACGTTTTTTAAAGGTGGTGTTGCAGTGGTGGTTGGTGACAGATTCATTGCCTGTTGTGTTTGGGCAAATTTTTCAGATTCAAACATGTGTCGCCGAGTCGACGGAGGGTGATTCTCTCCAACGCAGGAAATTGCATGTGCGTGATTGCTGTTATCTGCACCACGGAGATCGTCCTGTGGATGAATCAGAAAGGGTTGAGATGTATTCGGGTATTGGTTCACTTGAGATTGATTCATGACTGTGTTCTGGTGATTCACGGATTGAATGAAGGATTGCATCATTTCTTCATCATGGAGAAGAGAATCCAAAAAATGGACCTGGTATAAGGGAGACTGTGTTGTGGTTGATGCGACTGCCGAGGTTGGTGGTTGCTGATTTTGGCTGGAGTTTGTTGGTGCACGAACACCCATGTAGTGGTGGGAGTTTGGAGAGGTATCGGCATGATTCAATAAAACATTGTTGGCCATCACCGGTGATCGATTCATAGCCATTTGCTGTAATTGTTGTTGAGTGGTTTTGGTAGTTGATAACGAAGAAGATGTTGTGTGGCTTTGCATGTATACCTGATCACCTGGATTGAACATGCACGGAGAAGTCGAGTTGTTTGAATAGAGTGTCGAGTCTAGGAATGACGAGCCACTCTCAATACCAGCCGGAAACAAGTGTACACTGACCGCTGGCGATGAAGAAGATGCAGACGATAATAACAACAACTGTGTACTGTTTGCAACGAGGGCGTTGTTACTGTTCTCTTGAGCCGAACAAGCAATCAACTCTGGAGAAGATCTATGGTTGCTTGTTTTTGATTGGGAAGAGGCGTCTTGCTGTTTCGATGATGAAAACATAATTAAATTGGAAAAGAAATACCTTCTGATTCTATTGAACAACTCTCAATAATACATGTATACTATCTTGATAGTACTTGGGAATATTCACGAGAGTTGTTTTTCTCATAGAATCTTTTGGTATTTACCTGAGCTACTACAACGAATATTCACTGTTTTTGCTATCCGAATATTCAATGACGCGCACAACCTCAATCCAGAGCGAAAAGGAGTGTGTCAATAGATTTTGTGCTTTGAATGGAGTTACAGACAGTACACGTTATGTTGGTCGTATTATATGATGAACAAACAGTAGAACGTAATACAACACTTCGAAACAACGAGGAGAATATGATGTTTTTTTTGGACCGTACTGTCAGTACACCAAGTAACCAACGAAAAAGTAGAAATCGTCTATTCCTTTTTATTTTCGCGATGACTTATTAAATCGGGTCATGACCATAAACGCTGCAAACGAATTATTCTGCCTTAATTGTTTGCTACGAGACCTGTAACAGTTGACAACTTGGAAGAGAGATAGGGTTCAATAAAAGGGACCGGCTTGGGTTGTGTTTTACAACCTTTCAACTGCCTTTTCATTGTTGAAGAGTTGATGTTATTTGAGATGCAAGGATTCGAGAAAGACAACTATCAATCATAAATTCTTTTGGTGAAATATTAAAGAACATTGTTCATCGAATACGGAGGGGTGTTCTTACTAAAAAGGCCTTAGTTTATAATTTTAATTGTTGGCTAAAACATTTTAACACATTTGCTAACGAGCAATTATCAGAAGGTCCAATCAACAAAAAATGTTTCGAAAATCTAGAGGAGTTGTGACTGCCAAACGACTGACCATCACTGGTTCCGATTCGCCAAGCAATTCCCCCCTCTCCATAATCATGACGAAACATAACAGCAACATAGTTTCTTTATTGCGAAAATTTTCATCATCTTCTTCTTTGATAAATAGGCAATTGTCTACGAGTATAATACATTTAAATAATAGCAGCATCCATGAAACAAATAACATCATCAAAAGGATTAGGATTGGTTCTGTCGAATTATATAATTATTCAAAAGTGGATGAAAATAATGATGACCCACTATTATCCGTTCCCAATTTTTCATTATTCGGAGAAGATATTTCACAGCAGCCAGAAATTCTCTCTCATTTAAAGTGGATGGCCATGAAAGACAAGTTGGGTCAAGACATGTTTTTAATTGGTCATTATGGTGAATTGAAGAGACAGCTGGCATTTACTTATTGCCAACTCGCAAAACGAAAAATTGAATACGTGTGCATTACTAAAGACACAAGCGAGCATGACTTTAAACAACGAAGAGAGATTGAAGCTAATTCAGCATACTACGTGGACCAAGCTGCTGTTCGTGCTGCAAAGAATGGTTCTATATTAATAATGGATGGATTAGAAAAGGCAGATAGAAATATTGTGAGTTCCATGGATTCAAATGTGTGTTTGTGTAATCATTCATTTTGGAAATTCAATAGTTACCAATTTTGAATAATCTCATGGAAAATAGAGAAATGGCTCTCGAATCAGGTACCATGTTAATTTCTCCCCAGCGTTATAAACAATTAATCGAGGAGGAAGGAAAAACAGAGGAGGAGTTAAGATTAATGAAAATTGAGCCAACACATGAGGACTTTAGAATTATTGCAATGGGATTACCGGTTCCTCCATATGAAGGCAATACCTTAGATCCTCCTCTTCGATCTAGATTTAACTGCAGAGTCATTGATCTTCCGAGCATTGAGACAATTTTTAATTCGCTTGTGAATCATCACAAAGGTGATCCCGAAAAGTTTTTCTCGTTTTTAACCATCGATCAAAAGACTGAATTATTTTCTACATTGATTCGATTCACACAGTCTATTATACAAGTGGACAATATTTTAATGAGCAGCAAGACATCAATTAACACGGACACTAAGACGGGTGCCATAGAATTATTACCACGCTTTTCAATTGAAAACTTGAAGAATTTATTGGAAATGATTAATGAATATCGCTATGAACTTGTGAAATCTAAAGACCAAGTGAAGAGGCTGTTTCACATTCTATACCCAGCAACCTTGTTTTTACGGAGAGGACAACAAAAGGATCCAGTTGAAAAGCAGGAGAATCATCACAAAATGATTGAAATTATTGAGGAACAATTGGATGAATGTGCATCCTCCGTTTATCATATACTTTCAAAAAGCTGTATCACTCCCATGGATCATACCAATCATCCACATCACACATTCAAAGATAATTTCCATGTCACTCTCGAAGAATTCAACAACATTGGATTTAGCCCGATTGAAAAACACAAAAATTTATTAGAAGAAATGATCAAATCACACAATTGCAACAGAGATATATGTCTAGTTGGACCTAAAGGCTCTGGAAAATCACTTATAGCTCACGCCTTTGCTTCCATGTTGCGCTACAAGACCACCATTGTATTCCCTCTGTACAAAGAAATGACTTCTAAAGAGCTCTTGCAAAAAAGAGGAACTACTACGAGCGGAGATACCGTGTGGAAAAACTCTGTATTAATTGATGCCATGAAGGATGGTCATATTTGTATACTGGACGGAGTGGATCGAGTTGGTACTGATATTTTACTGTCCATACAATCATTAATTCAAGAAAGAGTACTGTTTTTGTACAATGGTACTAGATATATTTCTCATAATTATTTTGATAGGCTCATGAAAGAGGGAAACTTTTCCGAGAAGGACTTGAACTCTAGAGGAATTTTCCGAATACATCCAACATTTAGAGTAATTGCCATCGGATTAAGTGAGCAGCTGGATTGGCTTTCTTTGGAATTATTTAACATGTTCCATTTTCATATTGTACCCAATTTATCGGTTGAAGAAGAAGTCACCTTATTGAGCTATAGAGTTGGAACCGAGTCAAAACAGCAAAAAGAATATGATTTCATTCGCTCCCTTGTTTTGATTAAGAATGAATATAATAATCATGAGCAGAACCAAGATCAAAGATTACTTTCAACGAGAGATTTAATTCGAATTGCTAAACGAGCAATGAGTTTCAAAGATGAAACTTTATTAACTTCGTTAGAGAGAACCACTATGACCTATCTGCTTCCAAAGCATCATTCTGATTTACTGAAGAAGATTGTCCAAAAATATAGTGATATTAATTCTCCAGCAACCAGCGAACAATCGGAAATTCAAATCGAGAAAACGTCTAATCATTTAAGAATTGGTGATGTCCAAGTAGAACTTCATCACCATGCTAATTTATTACTTGTTCCAAAGCCATATTTTGTAGACAATCAAAGTCATGCAACTGTAATGAAGGCCATGCTAAAGGACCACATATTAATGGATCACACTCTTCTCATTGGCTATCAAGGAGTTGGAAAAAACAAAATTACAGATCAATTTATTAACTTGATGCAATGCGAGCGAGAGTATATGCAGTTACATCGTGACATCACCATAGCATCACTAACAGTTGTTCCATCGGTTGTTGATGGTGTGTTAAAATATATTGATTCTCCATTAGTAAGAGCTGTAAAATATGGAAGAATTTTAGTTTTGGATGAAATTGACAAATGTAATATCGAGACAGTGTCTATTTTGAAATCACTCATTGAAGATGGCAACATGGTGCTAGGCGATGGAAGAACAATTGTCACCATGAAAGAGTATGAACGAAGAAGACAACTGCAAGAGGCCAATTTGGATCGTCTTCTTCCAATTGCGAAAGGATTCCGAATCATTGCCCTAGCAAATCCTCCAAACTTTCCTTTCCATGGTAATGAATTTTATGCTTCGAGTGGCGACATTTTTTCGACTCATTTCGTCAGCAATGTGGACGTGGATAGTGAAATTAAGCTCTTACAAAGTTATGGTCCAAATGTACAAGAATTGATTATTCGAAAGTTGAGCGCTGTGTTTAATGATTTGAGAGTAGCAGTTGAGGATGGAATTATTCAATATCCATATTCAACGAGAGAATTAGTACATATTGTCAAACATTTGCAGGCATTTCCATCTGAAACTACTCTTCAGGATGCCATTGCCAATGTTTTTGATTTTGATTCCTTTGATAGAGAGACAATTGAATTTCTAAGCAAGGTGTTCCAAAAACACGAAATTCCAGTTTCATTTAAAAATTCAGGTAAGTTGAATTGAAAATGATTCATAACGATTATTCTATTGAGATTAGAGCAGTTTTCGATACGTATCGCTCAAGAAATACCACTCATCAAAAGTAATGAGGGAAAGAATATGTGTGTACTTTTGAACAGTAAGTATATTATTAGTAGTTGAAACCATGGTGATACAAACTCGCTCGTCAACAACATAATGCATCATACATACAACAAATGCCTGTGAAATTCAACAGATGCAACACTGACAAATTCCTGTGAAATTCAACAAGTATCCTTTTTCATTAACAATTATAGAAGTCCTCAAATGTACTATTCAGCCTATGAAGAACCAGATTCCGGAGCTTTTGCAACAAAAAATCCTTCCGACAAGTACACTAATTTAATGGAGTTTAGTGAGCTTCGCTATGTAATCAATTTGCCATGTAATAAGGCGAAAAGTATAGTTTCTTTGGAAGACTCTATACATGTACTTTCAGTTTCGAGTCCATTTGGTTTCATTCATTTTGAAAGCAATCAATGTGATTCTTTCACTGTCACCGAACTTTATCCACTGCATTCTCGACTTGGAACTGGTTCTCATTTCTTTTCCTTAAAAAAACTAAATACCATTGCCTTAATGAGCGCCCAGGCTCAAAGACCAGATAGATTTTCCCCTCTTTCTTCAATATTGGATTCTATGGATCATAGTACTTCGATGGTAGACGTAGAGCTGTATGGATTTTTATACAACCCTAAAGGAAACAAGAAATTCAATGTTGAAATTTCATATCAAGAGAAGATTCACAAATCAATGGCTAAGAGAGCACGAGAAATTCCATTTCAAATATTAACCGAGTTTACTGATTCTCATTCCATGTGTTTGGTGTTTCAACCTGGATCCTTCTCAATTGCAGTGTTAAATTTTTCAACCTGGGATTCTTCCAAACCTGTTCGTAAAGGAGCTCTTCCTCACACTGTCCATGTAATACATCTCCCATTCCCAATCGATTCAATCAAGTGGATCTCATCAAATTCATTCCTTGTATTAGAACATGACGAGGTAGCATCAATTTGGAGACTCGTTGAGGTTGTGATGGATGGAAATGAGTGTAAAACAATCATTAAGCAAGTGAACGAGCTTTCAAACATCACTCTCAAGAATTTTGATTTATTCACTTGCTTTGGAAATGAAAATACGCACCAACTATTTGCAAGACCCAACAATCAACTGCTTTCTGAAAGCATTCTTATCAGACACTTGGTTAAACGCGATGACTATCTCACCGTTCAAGCAGATTTATCGTTGCAGAAAGGAAATCCCAACATTTCTCATGTGGACATGTCCTTCCTTAAAAAGACGAACCAATTACTCTTGATTCATCATAGAGATAGCTCCACTAATGGTGTAACCATGGACGTGTTGAATTTTCAACGAAACACTTATCGTAAAATTACACCTCCCGAAAGAATACTCAACTCTTCCTCTAATTGTAATACTCCTTCCTCATTCACTTACAATTCATTTGTAGAGCTCAGTAATGGATATGTGGCAATTCTCCACGCTGAAAATCAAATGCTTCTTTTTAATCTTAATATTGACAAATTGTCCGAGGAAGCCCTTAGTTGGCAACAGTACAACACTACAAGAACGTCCGTCAAAGAATCACTTCAAATAGAATATATCGATCAAAATAGAGAAGCAACATTTCCAAAGCATGGTAAAGAAGATGATTTACCTCATGTTGGAGGTAATACATTTGCTGGAGGTTCGGGAGGTAGTGACACTGCAGGATTAGGTGGATTTGGTGGACCCTATCGACTAGCAAAGAAAGGAAATCCCGTTTTACAAGTTTCAGACGAAGTGAAAAAGAAAGTGAGTAAGGAAATACTTGAACGTGCTAGAAAAATGGCTGAAGAAGCTTATCAAAAAAGACTTCAAGAAATCGACATGTCTAAGGATGAAATGAATCTCTATGCACAATACAAGAATAATGTCACACAACAAATTGATCAATTAAGAAAAACACTAAGCTCACTAAAATGGAAAGATGAAGAGGAGGAACGTGTTTGGGTTAAAAACCAAACCAGTGGCGAAATAGACGATAACAAGATTGTTGAAGGAATTGTAGGAGAAAAGAACATTTACAAAAAGAGAGCCAATCAAGATGAAAAACACAAATCCCATCGTTTACCTAAAAAGAAAAAAATTCATTTTGTCATGGATGTCTCTGCTAGCATGTACAGGTTCAATGGACAAGATGAACGATTGGACAAACTTCTTGAAATTGCTGTCATCATTATGGAAAGTTTCAAAGGATTTGAGGATCGATATGAATACAAAATTACTGGACATTCTGGTCAAACGAGTTGTCTAGATTTAGTCCATCGAGGAAAACCACCTCAAGATGAAAAAGAACGTCTCAAAGTTCTCTTGAAAATGCATGCTCATTCTCAATATTGTTGGAGCGGAGATTCGACATTAAGGGCCATGAAAGAAGCATCCAAGCAAAAAGATTGTGATTTTGTGGTTGTGTTTTCAGATGCCAATTTATCGAGATATGGAATTGAACCTCAAGATTTAGCTAGAGCTCTCAAGAAACACGTTTTTATTGTGTTTATTGCATCCATGTTTAATGAGGCACAACAATTAACACAAGCTCTTCCATCCTCCAATGGATTTGTGTGCTTGGATACTCGAGAGTTATCGACAACGTTCAAAAAGATTCTTTCTCAAAACATTTTGAAATGAAAAAGAAGGAATTAAAAACAAAGCGTTTAGCTCTCTACTTTAAATAATTCGAGAATTGTCAGCTTCCAAAACAGAATCACTAATCTAACCTCCTGTTCCGTTCCTTCTTCAAATATGGAATGGTCTTGTTTTGCCGTTTGAGGCCGCTTTATAATCTGCTTTACAGAAGGCCTGCACCAACTGTTGTTTCTTTCTTTGGTAATTCTTAATCGACAAAAGTTCTTCTTGCCATTGTTTGGTAAAGAGATCACTTTGTTTTTACTCTTCCTACATTCGGATCACATTTGGCACATTTTGCTCAAATAGTTCCGCATCACCACATTTCAAAGTGAAGATTTGAAAATGAACTAGATGTTTTGGTTCATTTTCACCTCTTCACTTTTAAAAATTGATGACTCTACTAACTCCATCGTTCGGAAATTTTAATACTTCGGATCAACACTTTGCACGCAGAAGCCAACTCTTTGATGAGTTCAAGCAAAGAAGAAGAAATGAACTGGGTGATAGGATTGGAAAGGATATTACCATCACTCTGCCCGATAACTCTACCAAGCCGGGAAAGGCTTATGAAACCACTCCCCATGATATTGTCATGTCCATCTCGGCCGGTTTGGCTGCTAACGTTGTTGTAGCTAAAGTGAATGATGCTCTTTGGGATTTGGGAAGACCACTCGAAGGAGATTGTACTTTGGAATTATTAAAGTGGGACTCATCTGAAGCAAAGGAAGTCTTTTGGCACTCCTCTTCTCACGTTATGGGTGAAGCCTTGGAAGATGTCTTCAAGTGCTTCCTATGTAAGGGTCAACCATTGGAAGACGGAGGGTTCTACTACGAAGCTTTTATGGGTGATAAGTAAGTAATATTGGTATAATAATAGTAACGGATGATGATAGAACATTATCGTAATGACTATGATGATGAATTTATTTTGACATGATTGTATTGTTAATATCGCCTTTGCACGGAATATAATTATTCAACATTTATTCACGTATTGGATTTTCATATTCGTGCAATCTTCACATCATGGTTAACCATGTAAATAACACGAGTTTAGAGTCGTGTCTGAAAACGACTATGACAAAGTGAAGGAAGCAGTCACTAAGATTGTCAACGAAAAGCAACCCTTTGAAAGACTGCTCGTCACCAAAGAAGAAGCCCTTCAATTGTTTGCTGACAACAAATTCAAGGTCAAAATTCTCTCCGAAAAGGTTAAGGAAGGAGATTATTGCTCTGTTTATCGTTGTGGAAGATTGATCGATCCTTGCAAGGGTCCTCACCTTCTTCACACAGGAAAAGTCACCACTTTTGAGGTCACTAAAAACTCATCATCTTACTGGAGAGCAGATGCTTCCAAAGAAACTTTGCAACGTGTGTATGCCATGTCATTCCCTGATAAGAAACTTCACCAAGAATGGCAAACTTTGATAGAAGAGGCTAAGCGTCGTGATCACAGAAACATTGGAAAGAAGCAAGAATTGTGGTTCTTCCATCCTTATGCTCCTGGTATGGTATTCTTCTTACCTCATGGTCAACGTTTATTCAACACTATCCAAAGCATGATGAGAAACGAATACTGGAATCGTGGTTATTCCGAAGTTCAAACTCCAAACGTTTTCCACAATGATTTATGGAAAACTTCTGGCCACTGGGACAAGTTTGCTGAAAATATGTTTGTTTTAGAAATTGATAAAGCTCAACATATGTTAAAGCCAATGAATTGTCCAAGCCACTGCTTAATGTTTAAGCATAGAAATAGATCATATAGAGAATTACCAATTCGTTTTGCTGACTTTGGAGTTTTGCATCGTAACGAACTGAAGGGAACCTTGACGGGTGTTACTCGTTTAAGAAAACTCCAACAAGATGATGCTCACATTTTCTGTAGACCAGATCAAATCAAACAAGAAATCATGTCTTGTTTAGGTATGATGCAGGATATTTACAAGATTTTCGGGTTTGGATTTAAACTTATCCTCTCTACAAGACCAGAGAAATATCTTGGAGAAATTGAACAATGGAATCAAGCTGAAAAGCAGTTAGAGGAAGCATTGAACGAATTTGGTCACTCGTGGCAAAAGGATGAAGGAGAGGGTGCTTTCTACGGACCAACGATTGATATTTTGATTTCTGACGCTTTGAGGAGAGAATATAAATGTGCGACTGTTCAATTGGATTTCCAATTGCCAATTCGTTTCGACTTGGCCTATGCTGCAGAGGATAAGACTGAGATTAGACCAGTCGTTGTGCACAGAGCTGTCTTTGGTTCTTTAGAAAGATTCTTGGCTATTACTACTGAACATTTTGGTGGAAAATGGCCATTCTGGCTTTCGCCAAGACAAGCCATTGTGGTGCCTGTTTCAAAGAAGTGCAATGAATATGCTGAAAAGGTCCACAAGACTCTCCATGATGCTCGCTTCTTCGTTGATGTTGACTTGAGCGATAACAGAATTGAAAAGAAGATTAGAAATGCTCACCTTGCTCAATACAATTACATTTTGGTCATTGGCCCAAAGGAAATGGAAACTAACTCTGTGAGCATTAGAATCAGAGACAGTGACAAAGAGCTAGGTGTCAAGACTATCACTGAAGTTCTTGAAGAGTTTAACACCAACAAGAAGGAGTTCAAGTAAATATTGAAATATTGTGTGTTCCAATTACTAAAAATACACTACCCTCGTCATTCCTTTGAGCATCTCTCACTTTTGCCTTAAGATTGAACCAAAACGGAACTACTCTTTCTCGGTGTTGTAGAAGTGCTGAAAAGTAAAATAATAACAAGAAAGAATATTGTAGAAATTGATTGAATATGATTGCCTCTTCACCCGTTTCGGATCCGGCACAATATTCATTTCAGGCAATTCAGCGCACTGGTGCATTTCTAGGTTCGGAACTGTTTTAATTTTTAAATCCACCACAGAAAAAATAGACACAACAACCCTTCTGCATACAAACTGCAATCATCATCAAATATGAAAAGAAGATTGATTACCTTGTCTTCTCCATTGTTCCGAAAGCAACAATTGTTTGACACTTTGTCTTGTTCAAGCCATCATCAATTTCATGTCAATTTATTATCTTGCGCGGAAACAACCAATCCATCTTCAACAACTACAACCAATGGTGGTGTGGCTGCCACGATCAAAGATCCAGAACCACCAGTCAATGTTGAAAAAGGAATTCATGATCGACAAGTGTCATTTGCAAAATCCACACACAAACCCAAAGAAAAAAAGAATTTAGTAATATTGGGAAGTGGATGGGGAGGATTTAGATTATTGAAAGAAATTGATATGGAGAAGTATAACGTTTATTTAAGGTAAATTGCAATTCTGTGGGTGTGAAAAATGATTTCAAACAAATTTTTTGGAAATTATTATAATAGTACACCTAGAAATCATTTTCTATTCACTCCATTGTTACCAGGAGCAGCGTGTGGTACAGTCGAGTTGAGATCCATCATTGAACCAGTACGACGTGCTGTGTATCATGAAGGTATTGTACATTTTTTTAATATTTCAATTTTTGGTTGTAACAATCTTGGTCTGTCTTTATTTGATTTTCACGAAATACAACCGTTGTGCACAAAACCATTGAAACCTTGTGTGATGAATGTAAAAACTAGATTATCATTATTTTGAAGGAAAAGCCATTGCCATTGATACTGAAAATCGACGAGTCATTTGCAAACCTAATTATGAACAAGATCCAAATTTTTCCCTTAATTATGACGAACTAGTCATTGCCATTGGATGTGATGTCAATGATTTTGGAGTTCCAGGCGTGAAAGAATATGCGTATCCTATTAAGGAAATTCAGCATGCTCGAGCCATTAGAAATCAAGTCATTCAATGTTTCGAGAGAGCTGCCAACCCATCCACTCCTGTTCATCTTAGAGAAACACTATTACAGTAAGTGATTGAACATGTTCACGAGAAATTTTTTCACATGTTTAAATGCATCCCAATGTTTCTGTCACAACCACACACGCGACATTTACATGCATTCCAATTTGGTATTCAAATTGATCATTCAAATCATAGCTTTGTTATCGTGGGTGCTGGTCCTACAGGTATTGAATATGCTGCAGAATTACATGATCTCATTCGAGATTTATCCAAACATTTTCCTCCAGACATTGTCGAAGAAGTTCGTTTAACTGTTTTAGAAGCAGGAAGTACCGTATTAAGTGCGTTTGATACATCACTTCAAAGATATACACAAAAATTCTTCCGTCGTAATCACATCAAAATTCGAACCAATCAACAAGTGAAACGAGTTATTTCTCAAAATGCTGTGGAATTACATGATGGATCTATAATTGAATGTGGACTTGTCGTTTGGAGTGCCGGTATTCGTCCTCGCTCTATTCCAGTGTCTCAGGGACCTCCTCTTCCCATTGATCCAAAAACAAAGAAAATTCTTGTCAGTGATCATCTCCAAGTGAAAGGATTTGAAAATATTTATGCTATTGGAGATGTATCATTAATTGAAAGCATGCCACTCGCAGCAACAGCACAGGTTGCACAACAAGAAGGCCTGTATTTAGCTCGTGCATTGAATGGAACCATTCCAAAAGAAAAACCTTTTGTTTATCATCATTCAGGTCAATTAGCATATATTGGAAATTATAGAGCTATCAGTCAGGTAGGAGCATTGAAGAGTGGAGGGTTTTTGAGTTGGGTATTTTGGAGATCTGCTTATTTGACAAAATTGGTTTCTATTAAGAACAAGTTCAATGTTTTGATGAATTGGACAAGTACCTTCTTCTTTGGAAGAGATATTAGTAGATTTTAAGTTTGAACAACAACATGTTGAAACAAATGATTAGGAGGAAGTGATTGAGGGTTTTTTGAACAAACATCACTCATGGCGGTCACCACTCAACATTCACGCTTTATTCTTGTAACACACGAGAAATTATAAAATACTTATTCTTGTAATTTACACGATATTCAGCGTGTTCGAGAAAATAATTTTCAACATTAAAAATGCACAAATGTTCTCGCTGTGGATCGGAAGTGAAAACAATCCGATATGATACCAACGCCAAACATTGGTTATTCATGTGTGTGAATGAAAATTGTACATTTCCATTTGATTTGGATAATTTTGAGGATTATCTTTGTGAGGATGATGATACTTTGTATCAACAAAATTCAACAACTTTTGATGTTCCGAATGGTGATCAAGTCATTTGTATTGATGATACCTCACCAATGAATAAGAGGAATGAAATTATTGATTTAATTTCATCACCAACATCTCCAGCGCAAAATCAATCCGATAACATTACAGATTTATTCAAAGAATACTTTTAACTGTAAGAATGATTTTGGCGAAACTGAAACATTTTTGAAACGTGACGTCAACGTAAACCCACTCCATCAATCAACAGCTCGTAGTACACGATCAGTCACCTATCTTCATTCTTTAAATCTCCTTGCAATAATAACACGTTATTTATTGGTGGTATGGCAACAAGGTAGTGGGCGATCTGTCAATGAGTTGGGAATTCTCATTTAGTCTGAGATATTTTGTGCTTATAAGCACACACATAAAAGCTGAAGTGTGAAAACTCAGATTTTTATCAAGACAAACAAAATAACTGAAATCAATCATGCAAAATATTGATCAAACCCTTCAAACCAAGTATTTGTGCAAAGATCTCTCTGATCTTGCAAAGCGAGTAAGCACACATGTGGCACGAAATGAAGCACCATCACAATTCAAGAGATGGCAAAAAGAATTCGAGAGTGTGATGACAAGATTGGAATTCATGCCTTCTGGAAATACACTTTCTGGAAGTGGAACGGATAAAACATTGCAACCTAATTGCAGTGTTATGGGAGAAATCACTGATGAGAATTTCGAACAAGTGAAATCAAGATCAAAACGCCTTTGGCAAAAAGCAATTGGTATTGGCTACTCGATCAACACGTCTGATCCTGTCAAAACACTGGAAGAGTTGTCACAACTGAATGATTCAATCACGCTATGGGAGAACCGCCCAAAGAGAGGTAATATGGCAGTAATATCAGTTGATCATCCACAGTTTGCACAAGTTGCTGCGTATAAGGCTTCCAATTTATCTCGACTCTATAATTTCAACATCTCCGTGGCAGTGACTGATGAATTTATGAGATCATTAGATAACGAACAAGCATGGAAGGACACCAATCGTACTCCAAGAGAATTATTACAAATGATTTCTCAACATTGCCATGCATGTGGCGATCCTGGTTTAGTGTTCATTGACAGAGTGCAAAGCTCAAATATGCTACTCACTTCTGATCATGGACGTGTTCATGCTGCTGTTCCATGTGGCGAACAATTTCTACATGATAATGAAACTTGTAATTTAGGAGTTGTAAATCTCAATGCCCCATCTCTCTATAATGAAAATTCCAAAACGATTCATTGGAAGCGTCTGAAGCGTGTGGTTTCTATTGCCATTCGCTTCTTAGATAACGTAGTGGATTTGTTGGAAATCCCTGACGAGAAAATGAGGATTATATCCAAGCAGCTTCGAAGAATTGGATTGGGTGTTGCAGGTTGGGCTGACTTGCTGTCAAAAATGGGATATTCCTATGATTCTCAAGACTCACTCGAATTGGCTGATCGAGTCTCGAGAACCATCACGGAGCAAGCAAGGAAAACAAGTGCCTCTCTTGCTCGTGAGAAAGGTGAATGTAAATACAGAAGGGGATTTAGAAACATCTCTCTTACATGCATACAGCCAACTGGCGGTATCAGCTCTGTTCTTGGAAATCAAGGATATTGCATTGAACCCTTCTTTGCAGAGGCCAACGAGCTGTCATCCGAAGCTCATATTCAAATGCAGGCTGCATGGCAAAAGAACATCGAACAAGGTATTTCAAAGACCATTAATATGCCACACAGTGCCACTGTGCAAGACATCTATGAAGCCTATGTTTTGGCGTTCGAAAAAGGCTGTAAAGGAATTACAGTATATCGAAATCAATGCCGAGAAGCCCAGCCCATAAGATGTAAAGAATGTGAGGAAGATGTATGTCCTAAATTGTAAATCTCACTAGTGTATCATATTGTAAATAAAACAACTAAGTCGACAAGCTACTCAAAGCTCAACTTGCGTGCCAATTTGTGCAGCTTATTTTCCTCTAGCAATGCTGTCTTTTCAGCTTGCAAGTTACATTTTTCGGCGCTTAATGAGGTAATATCAATTTGATTCTCAATACATCTCGTTTCCAAACTTTTCACACGATGCTCCAAAATTGAAATTCGCATTTTCGCCTCTTCGAGTTCTCTGTCCTTTTCAATAAGTGCAGACTCATGTTTGCTGACAATTTTCAAATATTGTTGGTTCGTTAAAAATATATCTTTCTTTAGCAGCTCGTTAGTGTGTTGGATTGCAAAAAACTGTTCTTTCATAATCTTATGTTCTTTAGTATCCATCTTTGCATCCTTTTCTAATGCCATTATGTACATTTCATGAGAATTGAGATCATTCAACAGCTTTTCATTTCTACTAGTAAGCTCATCAAACTGTTGTTGATAAAGGGCCTGCAGCATTTCCTTCTCGTTATTTGATGCCTCAATTTTGTGTTCTAAAACCTTGATCAACGAATTGTTTTGCTCTTGGGTTGGTAGCACGCAACTTGGTTCTTGTTTCTGCTGCTCGTCTTCGTTTTTGCATTTCATTTCTTCCAATTCTTTTCGTCTGTTTTTTAGTATCTTCATATTTTCTGTTGAGAGGTTGTGAAGCTCATCTTCAAGACTCACAATTCTGCATTCATACTCCTTAGATTGATTGATGAGACTTTCAATAGATTTTTGCCTACCCTCCAACTCTTTCTGTTGTTCAATAATTTGACATTCCTTTTCCTCTATCATGCCTTGCTGTGAGCGTGTTAACTCAATTTTATGTTGAAGCTTGCAAAGTAGTCTCTCGCATTTATCAGAAATATTGGCACAATCTTCGTAACCTAACATGTCTTCAATGCTTTGGACAAAAGTTGAAAATGTTTCAACCTCTTTCTTCAGTAAAATGCAATCGTTCTCCAAGATCTTGGGTCCTTGTGAGCGATTCGTTTCCAATTCATCTAAGGTCTGCTCTCTTTTCGGTACAACAACCTTTTCCTCTTGTTGGCTAAGTCTCTCTATTGTCCTTTGTAGTTTTTCTAATTGCAACGATCTTGTGGGCAGTTGAGAACCTTCGTGGAGGGATTGACTCAACGAGTTCATTTCATTCATTCGTCCTACGATCTTGATCGATAACATGGCATCAATTTTCTCCAAAGCCTTATTAGTAATTTCCAAATCCATTTGAAATTCTTTACATCTTGATGATAACTCGATAATTCTGTCCTCTGCACTATTTAACGCGTCGCTTAATCGAATCGTTTCGGAAGTCTGTGTCTCTAGAGCTGATTCAAGACTCTCAGTATTTGATTTCTCCGTCTCAAGGTTGTCTCTCAAGCTGTTGACAAGGGAGTGTAATTCTTCTATTTTTTGTTGATTATTGGCTATTTCCCAGTTGAGTTTTCTGTTTTCTTCTTTGAGGAATGACTTTTCCTTTAAACATTTCTCCTGTAATGCATTGAAGCAATTTTCTAGTTCTGTTTTTCTGTGGACTAGCTTTTTGATAGACTCTTCGATGGTTTCATATTGTGAGTCATCATCTTGACATGGTTTCAATTCATCTCTTATACTTTGGAGAGTTGTCAGAGCTTGTTCATACTTGAAGAAGAGTGTTTTAAATTCTTGAGAAGAACTGCTAACAATCGTTTGCAATTCGTTGAGCCTCGTTTCTTGCAAACTAAAGGATTCTTTCAATAAATTTCTCTCGTTCGTGGTTTCTTTCAAGTAATTTTCGATTTTTGCTATTTGTGCTTGTTGGTCCTTAGTATGTTTGTTGATTGACTTGAAACAATCCATATGTTGCTCGAACACCTGATTCACAGCTTTCAAATGCTTTCGCTGATTCTTACTTTCCTGTGAAACAGCATTCCAATAATCAATCATCAAATACAATACAAGAGCAATACTGCTGAGAACCATCAGTGAGACACACAGCATGGCTATACTTGGGCTTTCATTAGTTGCGTCTGTCACAAATTTTAGCTCCATCATGGAAAGTAAGGCGTCCATATCTTTTGGCATTGAAGTTGCCAACATGTTGGCCGCATCATATGCATCTTGCGTTTCATTCTTACATGCTTCAGCAATTTTTCCTTTGAGGAACGCTTTGATAGCCTCCTTTTCGAGTGTGCTCACCGTTTTGTTGAGTTTTGAAAAAGTATAGGACAGAGCCTCTCTCCCAATTGAGGCTTCTACCACTGCCTGTGAACAAGACCTTGATAGCGAATCAAGATTACGACTATATTTCACAGACTTGGGATCTCTTAAACATCTAGAAGATGTTAAATTCAAAATCAATTCCACATTCATGCCAAAGAGTAAACATTGCTGTACATAAGAACATTCATTGAAAGTACTTTTTCGAAATTGTGCCTCCATCATTGAGAGACAGCTCTCTCTAAAGTATGATGTGGTTGAGCATCCCAGCATGTCATACGTTTCATCAAATTCTATAATAGTCTTATTCGGTAGTAAAAGGGAGTTTTACTGAGGTTTGTTGTAATCAATAAAAGTGGTTGGTTGACTAATTTTTGAATTTTCACTTTCAAAAAATTTACATTACTTGTGATATGGAACAATTATTATCAATTACTTCGAGAAAGGTGATAGAATCACTTTCTCTCAAAGAATTGAAAAGTATCTACAGCAAACTCAAGAAGGCTTTCCCAGCAGGGAAGAAGAATGATGTTGTTAATGATTTAATATCTTGCTACCCCTCTGACCAGTCCAACGAAATTACAAGTAAGAAAGAATTACTCAGAAGAATCAAGGATTTGAGAGTAGTTCCGGAACGGACAGAAGAGGAAGAGGTAGAAGAGGAAGTAGAGGAAGAAGAGGTCTCAAGTGAAGTGCTGTCAAAAAGGATTAGAGAATTAGAAGAAGAGTTAGACTTTATGCGTGATGAGGTTAAGAAAGCAAAGTCATCGGCCGAACGAGACATCAACCAAATCATGGTTGATTTGACTCAACAAGGCGCGTTTTCACAAAGGGATGTCTGTGATGACCAGCTACCAGCGGCCCTAGCTAATGGTCAACGAAATAGGGTTCTCGAGCTACTCAAGAGTGGGAAGAGTATTGATTTGAATCTATTTCAAATAGATTGTATGGCCGAATCTCTTGCCAACGAACGGGTGTCTACTGTTTTTGACCGTAACTCAGTCAGGAAGGAAGAAGTGGAGGAGTTTAGTTCTCTTGGAGCTATTTACAAGATTCTGTTGAAGAAACAGCTCAAGAATAAGGACGAAGATGAAGAGTTGCAACGGGCTATTGACTCAGTCGAGAATCGTGCATTTGTTCTCCTTGCGAGACAGAAGCACCAGCAAGCGGCAGAGATAATTAGTTCCTCTACACTCAACCCGTTGTTGAGAGAAAAAGCGGACCTGTTCTCTTGGGCGCTGAAAGCAGTGGGTAAGAGCGACAAAGATGCAAAGGTGTTGAAACAACAATTGAAAATCCCTACTCCAGAGAAAGATGTTAGCAATATAGTATGTCTATATTGTAAGAAGCCAGGTCACACTAAAGAAACGTGTCGCAAAAAGATGAGGGATGATGAGAAAGCCAATAAACAACGAGGCCCTCACAGTTCTCTCTACGAAATCCTTCAGTTTTTTCCAAGATACTCACATGGAAGAAATTGCCTTCAGGAAGAAGGCTATTCATTCGATTTCCAACAAGTGGAGACAATGGGAAATGATGGGTGCCAAAAAAGAGATTGTGGGTCTTTTGAAAGATGGGGTTCCAATTATGGTCAGCAAGTATTTCATCCCTTACTATGGAAGAGTAGATATATCTCTTTGGTCGAAGGAAGAAAGAGAATTTCTAACGGAAGAGATATGTATGATGTTATCTATTGGTGCATTGGAATTCTTCCAAGGAACTCCGAAGGTGGTGGCCAAGTATCGATTGGTACCGAAGAAAGGAAAGAAGAAATTCAGATTAATTGTGGATCTTCGTCCCCTAAACAAGTATTGTTTGGAGATCCCAAAGTTCAAGTACAAAACTCTGAGCAAGTGTTTGGATCACATTCGCAGTGGTGGGAAAAAGTTTTGTGCTACGTTCGATTTATTATCAGGATATCACCAAGTGAAGGTACGAGAAGAAGATCGAGACAAGATTGTGATCGAATTTATGGGTCATCTTCTTTGCTTCACAGTATTGACATTTGGATGGAATGGAAGCCCATTCTTTTTCACTCAGATAGTAGACGAAGGTGTTCGATTGTTAACAATAGAAGGCTATACATTGTCCAATTATTTGGACGATTTTATGGCTGTGTTATGTATCTCTTACTTAGATTCCTACAACAAGCTTGTTCGATTAAGCTTAAGGCTGGATTTTTATGGATTTGTAAGAGAACCTTCAAAAGGTTGTTTCAAACCTTCCTTAGTCTTTTTATTATTAGGAGCATTGGTAGATCTGAATTGCATGACTCTCTCTATTCCCGAAGAGGGTGTGGAGAAAATAGTTGCTCGATGCAAAAACCTCCTATCAAAAATGCACAGAGAGGAGGCCTTTTCCGCCCGAGACCTTGCCAAGTTGGCTGGCTCTGTTATGTCATATGTACACTGTTTTCAACCAGCCTTAATTGCTCTCAATCCCATTTATTCAAGAATTTTCAAGATGGTGGAGGATGGATGGGATACGCTACACCGTGTGAAAGACCACCAGTTATCGAACGCATTACAATGGATTCTTTGCAACATTCACCATTGGAACGGTCGATTATTTTTGTTTCCGTCATTGATCCACGAACTTTTTTCGGACGCCTCTTTATCCGGCTTTGGTGCTACAATGCCATTATTGAATTTTACCTTACACGGCTCTTGGTCTACTTATGGCATGGATCATATGCATATCAATGTTTTGGAAGCAAAAGCCATTTTTATTGCCATGGAAAAAATCGCTCCCCTTATTCAGGGAAAGTGTTTGAGAATTTTTTCAGACTCTCAAGTGATAGTGTTTTCTTTGCGAAAAGGTCGTTCCAAAAATTCCTTAATTCAAAGGATTGTGGAAGGTATTTGGAGAATAGTATTCCAATACGACATTCAATTAGTTGCTGTGGAATGGTTACCGTCGTCCCAAAATTCGATCGCCGATCAATTGAGCAGGTTGGAAACCACAGAAGAGATGGATTTCGGAGATTGGGAAGTAACCCCAGAGGCATTCGAAAGAGTTCAACATCAATTGCAGGTGAAAGTTCAGTTCGACCGTTTCGCTAGCAATTACAACTTCAAGGTTCCTCAATACATGGTGTGGAAGAGGACCAAGAGAGAACAGCCCGCAGATGCATTCAGTTGCTATTGGCCCAAGGAAGAGCTAAATTGGTGCTGCGTGCCGTTCAGCATTATCCAGAAGGTGCTAGAGCATTGCAAGCTTTGCCAATCTCAAATGATACTCGTTCACCCAGTATGGAAGACAAAACCCTGGTGGCCACTACTGCTGGAAGGCAAGGTTCGGTCAGTACCAATGTCTGGAATAGATTTCAGACCCTCTCGGTCAGGGAAATGCGAACCGCAAAAGAAAAGCTCTTGGCTATTAGAGGCGACCCTAATCGACTTTCGGATGACCAACTAACATCAGTTGGTGGACTAATTGAAAAGGCCGGTGCGGGTCGTGAGTCCACAAACACTACGTATGACAGTTATTGGAATCGATTTGTTAAATGGTGCGATGAGAGAAATATTGCAATACCACCCACAGAGATGGATGTTTACAATTTTCTGGTGTGTCTTTTTCTTAAATGTAGGTCCGGAAAAAATTGTAAACTGGCAATGTTTGCTATTAAGAAGCGATGTAATCAGTTCAAATGGATTGACGTGGTGGGTGAACATATTTCATCTCTAGTTGATTGCATGATCAACATGGCACCAGTTTCATACGAGATTGAACGAAACGAGTGGCGTATTATGTACATTGATATGTGGATTCTCGAAGGGTGTAACTTTGTCGACAGGAGAACTTATGTTTTTTATACGACCCTTATGATCATCGGCATCAGGTCCATGTTACGAGGATCTGAGTTGGGTAGTATTTTAACCTCCAATGTGGTAGAAATTAACAAGAACAACATTAACGGAATCAGAATTGTTGTGGAAAAAGTGAAGAATGATTTTAAACGAAGCAAGAAAGGAAGAGTCATCGAAATTGAGGCAACTAACTCCAGGAGATGTCCTGTCGTCTGGCTTAGGTTATGGAAAGTGTGTAACCCTCAAAAGTATTTGTTTGGTGACGACCTTCCCTTATCCACGGCTAAAATTTCGGACATTCTTAGATTTGTAGCAACCAGCCTTAAGATTTCGGGTTCTTTTTCTAGTCATTCCTTAAGAATTGGAGGAGCGTCAGAGGCAGCATTTGCTGGTTTCTCTCACACAGCAATCCAAGCTCTAGGTGATTGGTCCTCCAATGCGATAGATGCGTATTTCAGAGCTGGATTCGCATCTGACAAGAATGTATCTCGCCAGATGGGTTTTTAGCGGTATCTATCCGTTTTACCAACCATCTTTCTGTTGATTTACAACAAATTCGGTAGTAAAAGGGAGTTTTACTGAGGTTTGTTGTAATCAATAAAAGTGGTTGGTTGACTAATTTTTTGAATTTTCACTTTCAAAAAATTTACATTACTTGTGATATGGAACAATTATTATCAATTACTTCGAGAAAGGTGATAGAATCACTTTCTCTCAAAGAATTGAAAAGTACCCACCCTCCTCCCAATCCACCTCTGAAATAAACAAACATAGTTGTGGCTTTCCACAACTCCCTCACCTTTGGGTGGGATGCCTCATGTCTCAACTTGGGATGCCTTATTGCATTGCAATAGGATGCCTCACTTTAGTGGGATGCTCTTTGAACTGAATTCAGTCCAAAGGATGCCTTGGCCATTTGAGCTGGGATGCCTCAATACATTGGGATGCCTTATGATTTTAATCATGGGATGCCTTATTGCATCGCAATAGGATGCCTCACTTTAGTGGGATGCTCTTTGAACTGATTTCAGTCCAAAGGATGCCTCATGGTTTACCATGGGATGTTTAATCAGCGCACGCTTAATAATGTCATCCTGTATGAGACTGATGCATATGTTTGTTGCATCTATTTGTGTTGTACTCTTGCTGAATTACAGGATAGAAAAGGTAATGTAAATCTTATTTATTCAACTATTAGACATGCGCACGCACACGCGGCGAAGAATAAATAATCCGTTTTACCAACCATCTTTCTGTTGATTTACAACAAATTGAAAATAATATTCTTTACAAATTGATTGTAACAACGATCATTCACGTTTTTAAACAAAACAAGGCTAGAGGAGGTATCCACAAATTGATGGGTGGGATGATCGTTTCGGGTAATCATCATCTTGGTTTCAGAGTGAACTTGCAGAACAATTTCCGAAAAGACAATAACAACTAGTAGTACGATAGAAATGATCATTACTCCCATCATGGTTGTATTCGGAGTCATCATCATTTCATCGTAGCCTCAACAATCAAGGTTGCTCAATTTTTTCAATTTACAAAAATGTGTATTGATTCTTTGGCGCGATCAAAGGCTTTTCTTTGCATCATCGAAAAATGAACAACTTGAACGTCGCAGCCTCTCGTCCGATCAACCTTTCCTTCACACTGGTTCATCACCATCTTTCCAACCAAAATGTTTTAATTTTTCTTCGTGGTTATCCGAACACTACCAAGTACAAACACCTGCATGGATTTTATTGCTCCGAAATTAATGGTAGAACATTTATGCATCATTCAAAATTTCATGACATACATCAAAATTCACGAAATGATGATCATGCTTCTAACAATTGCAATTCTCTCAACAATTTGAAAATTTCCAATGTTAAAATTGAGCGTGACAAGCATATTGAAAGCAAATGGATACGATTGCAAAGAATGTATTATAATCAAAATGGAATTGAAAAAACGTGGGATATTGCAGTCACTCGAGACTCCGTCTCATGTCTCATTTATCAAAAATCACAAAAAGCATTTATTATTGTTAAGGTAAGAGAATGACGATGATGAAAACGAAAATTGGAATATTTATCAATTTTTTAAATATTCCAATTAACAGCAATTCAGACCAGCACTATTTGCAAGACAAGTGACAGATCTTAATCAAGATCCAAGTGGACCCAACGTCATATTGCCAGAGAAAATTAAATTCTCATTCGAATTGTGTGCTGGAATTTCAGATAAAAACGTTTCGCCTGTGGAAACTATTCAAGCAGAGCTTGAAGAAGAATGTGGATTTCGAATTCCTCTCGACAAAATTCAATCTGTCAAAACATACTATACAGGAACGGCTTCCAATGCTAGCATGCAACAATTATTTTACGTAGAAATGGACGATGAATCTGAGAAGGCATGGAAAATCAACGCTGGTGGAGGCCTTGAGTCGGAAGGTGAGATTATTGAGGTTTTCAAATTACCATTGGAACATGTTCACGAATTTTTAACAGACACCACAACTTTAAAACCAGCCACACTCTTCTATGCCATTACGTGGTGGTTCTTGGAAAAAGCATCCTTGCAAGAACAACAACATTTCTATTTTAATAAAACCAATTAAGGCGAAATGGGTGATCACGATCTGAAATTATTTGGCAATAAATTCGGAGACCATTAAATGTTGCTAGTTTTAGCATGTATTGACCTGTTGAACTGTGCTATGAAGATGCACAATCCAAACGACAAACGATGATTCTGCATCCTGGATTCGATGTACATCTCAAGACATTGCAGCAGTTTTAGTGAAACAACATGGTCTTTTACAACTAGCGTTTGATTGGATTGCCTGTTCCAAACAAGTTTTCGTGCTCTTTATGGGCCATCCCGGACATTCTAGAAAGTTGGTTTTCGCTCCAACTGTCAAGATGCAACTTTCCAAGATATTAAAAAATCATTATGAATGTTCCCCCATCAACCATCTCGCACAAGCAAACACCAACAACAGCAACTCAACAACACCTTCAGTACAACAATCAAATAACGACCCGACCACAGCAAGGTCAACCTGTTTGTTCGCAACAATATGAAGCAAATCGAATTGCAGGAAATGTTTCCAGAACCCATGTAAATAATACACATCCCCTCTTGGTCAATCAAGACGTTTATCAACAACAACAACAACTTCAACGACTCTCTCAACAATCTTCATGCTTGATGACTCATACACCTTCGGACTTGCAAACTTCAAGCCATGCACGAATGGACACATCATCGAACAACATGATCACCCCACAAGCATTGATCATCCAAAACATGATCTTGCAATCCCAAACCAACAACAGCCATACCGCAACCACAACAAACGCTACACCAAATCAAAGCCATAGCACTGATCGAAATTGGCCAGACAGCAATATCCAAACTACTATTTCTGGAAGTAAAAGCCCGTTTTTCTTGGTACCTACTAGTAACAACCAATCGACGTCGTCATTACCCACAACTCCAAGAAAAGTTTCCTCAAGCAGCAGTGGTAGTGGTGGTGGCAGTTCTGTTCGACCACACCCTTCTACATCAACACCATCATTCTCACAGAAACAACAACTGTCAACAGCAAATATTCCGAGTACCCAGATTCTCACCACTGCCACTCCCTCCCAACAACAACAATCATCTTCACATCTGATGCACCAGCCCTTGACGGAAGTTATTTTTCCGCTTAACAACTGCACCACAAAAATTTACGACACCCGACGCTCCACACCTCCAGCTCATACTTCTGGTAACAATAGTAACAACAACGAAATTAGACGCAGTAGCACGAGCACCAATCATTTGTTCATCAGTCAAATTGGAGATCATACAAGCAGCAATTATAGCAGCAGTGGTGGTTTTATGGGGTTAGAATCAGTAGTTCCCAACAACAGCAATAATTTTAATTTAAATAATAATATCAATAGTAATGATTTATACAATTACCTAAATTCATCATCATCGACGTCCCATGGTGGATTTGTAAATACCTACGTAGATTCCATGAACATTGGCATTGAAAGAATGCAACAACAAAATATTAATATATCAGGATTGCTGAATTCCATGCTTAGCCAATTGGCTCAGGACCACAATATAAACTCATCAAGTAGTGCTAGTGGATTTAACCCAACAGATGCCACAACCATTAATACATCATTTCTCAGCAACAACCAAAACACCAGCCTTTCCCAATCAAATGCTGCACTTTCCGAAATAGTTCATTCTCCGAACATTTTCATCAACAACGATATGACCAGTATTCCGTTAACTCTGTTTGGCATCAACACCTCCCAACAACATTCATCTCAACAGCAACTTGGCGAAAATATGGGCAAAGACATGATTTTTACAACAACAACAGCCAATAACCTGACATTGGATGCAACAACAATGCAACAATTTCATCTTCCGCAAGCGGGCATTCCTGTTACCTCCTACTCACATAGCTTTCCAACTCCCACCAATCCTTCTTTCATCAATACCTCCTCGTCAACACCATTTACGAATCCGTCGTTAATGGAGAATCCTTCAGACTCGGTTAATTTAACTCCACAATCTTTATGCAATTCAAGTACAGACCTACCGAATCAATTCGCAGTTCAAACCAAACGACCAATCAAATCTAGACGAACAGCAAAATCACCGCAACACACCACAATAGTCCCAACTAATTTTCATTCGTTTTCTAGTTCGAATTCTAGCTCGAACACAGACTTGACTGCAGTAGGTCTTTCTTCAACGCTGAATTCTCTCAACAGCTTATTGCTCAAGAAAATGGCTGTGGATGTTTATTATGATATTACAAGTGCTGGACATCCTTTTTTACCTAGAGAAGAGTTGGAAAGATTACCCGTAAATGACGACCAGAAAAACAACCTTGCCTTCATGTTTTCTCTCCAAGCATTATGCTATCAACGTTTTGGAATGACAAAACAAGCTGCTGATTCTTTTGAGAAGGCTAAAAGTCTGGCTTTAATCTCTTCAAATGACAGTAATGTTTTTAATACTGCTTGTACATATTGTAATTTGGCCATGTATTGTAACTCAGGAGGAGATAGAGAAAATGGACAAATATTTTCCAAGTACATCAATTTTAAGATGTTGGGAGATCCCAATTTTAGGGAACATCAAAATCCAGAACAGTTGAAGGCTCTTGTTCAGATGAAAAAAATTGCAGATATTGCAGGGGGTGTAGGATATTATGGTGATGACCCAGGTTTAAGTGAAGTCTCAAAACTAATTCTTTCAATTTATCAATATGCAACTGGAGGAGAACGATCAATTCCTCCTGAAATGATGATGATTGCGAAACAGCCTCTAAACCTGGAGACTCTTCCTCAATATTTAAGTTTATTGGATTGTGTGATGAAATTGATGCTCATTTACGAATCAAAAGGACAACATTTTTCTCAGACTCAAAAAAAGATGACAAAATACATTTATTATGGAATGTCATATGGATTGAAAATACTTCTCCTCAAAATTTCAGGCTATGACGGTCCAGAGTTAGAAGAGGCTGCAGACAAAATTACCCAACTCTGTAGAACATCAACCTTCACCTTTGTTCCTGCATTCTTAATTGAGCCTGTAGGCCTAGCAATGGGTGTGCATTCCCAAATACTAAAAAAGATTGACATAGGAGAAAGAAGTAATGCAGATGAGGCTAAAGTCTCAAGATTATTACGGAGAGATATTGAAGCCATCAAACTTTTGAAATTAAGATATCCTCTGATTTGTGTAAAATTTGATACTCTTGTTGAAGAATCTGAAAAGCTGCTAGATAGAAGAGGTAAATACTTGGCTGAGCTACTCGCTGGAGAATTTTATTCATCGAATCAAGGAGGTGTGACAATTATTGAGGATGAACTTGGTCAGCTCATAGAAGGAGAAGTACCTTCTTCTGGTTCTAAAAAGAGAAAGAACGAAGATGAGGAAGACGAATACTCAACCTCACGAGGTTATTCTGCAAATTATGTCCCTCCAAAAACTCAAATTCCTCCCAATATCAATACTGCACAAGCTGCATCAAGCACGCCTAATCAAGGAATTGGTAATTTCACTTTTACATCCATTGGAGATCATGTAATATCAGGAAATAGTAACGATATTGGTATCCATCCAATAACATTTTTATCTGCTGAAGATTATGAGCTGTTATTTGGAGATGACGACACTGATGATGAGCAACCATTTGAACTGTAGCAGGAGTACAAGTACTTCTAAGTTTTAGTAAACCACCAACTAAAAAAACCAAATTAAAAAAAATTGAAATTTTGAACAAATGAACGGCAAACAATCAGTGATTGGTGAACAACAGAGGAGTGCAGAAGATCATACTCCGAATTCAAACAACTTGTTCTTTTATAAAGGGTTTCTTCCTTTGGATAAGACTGAATTTCCAGTGCACTTTGTTCTTCATCAAAACATGATTACTGACAAACAATTTCTTCCGGAACAGCTCTTTCAGTTGTTTACACAAATTCTAGCATTTGAATATATTAGAAAGAGGCTGACCATCCCGAGAAGTCTCCTATTTTCATTAGAGTACTTTCATGAAAGAGAAAAGATGAAACAACAAAATATAATTCCAAAACATATTGATATGCCCTTTAAACAAGTATTTGGTAACCCTAGTTTATTTGATGCTGTAGAAGCGACCATTGTAAGAGAACACATCCACAATGGTGGTGAAGGGAATGAGGAATTTGAGACAAAGTCACAAAATGTCAACATTCCTGAAACAATTCCTCAAGCACCATCTTCTTCTTCAAGCAGTGCCGCATCAAACTCCTCTCCAAATATTGTGGCGCAATCAACCCCGACAACTGCTGCTGAGACCTCTTCATCAATCACATCTCAAACTAATAAGAATTCAACAAAAGAAAACACGTCTGATCAACAAGTGTCCAACACGACATTACAAAATAGTCAGCAACATGACAAACAAAGCAGTGACATTCAAACCTCTTTGAAAATTCCAAATAATATCCAGAAGACCACATCTTCAAACTCCACCAACAATACTCTTTTCAAACAATTAACTCCAAGAAGAGTCAAGCCACAATCGAACACGAGAGACACACAGCTAACATTACTTGGACTCGAAGTTATTTCATACATGTGTGGAAATTATCCAAAAGGAAATCAAATATTTAAATCCTTAATTGAAGAGCCAATCCCAAATCTTACATCAAAATGCTCAGCACCAACATCTGAAAATAATGCCACGAACAATTCCATACCATTGATTATATTGTCTGATGATGACAAAGAGGTAAAACCTCCTCCTGAAAAAGCCAGAAAGCTCGAATTACCACAACACTCTTCGCCAAACACTACATCACACGTATCAACCAAGATGCAAGAAACTGTATCAAGAATAGCTGTAACATCTCCTAAAATACAGTCGAACAAGCTGTTTGATTCTAAAGCTGCTGCTGCCTTAATGGAATTATCTCCCTCTGACGATGATTCTACAGAAATAGTCACGAAAAAAACAACAACGAAAAAAACCAAGAAAAAACACAAAACAGGCAAGAGAAAGCCAATTCAAAAATCAAAACAGCAAAATAATGATGACATTTTCTTTATAGAGTACATTATTCAGAAAAAAGTTTTAGAAAAATCAGAGCCAACGTATTTTGTGAAATGGCTAGGGTATGCTGAGAATTACAACAGCTGGGTTAAAGAAAGTGACATTTTCGATGGCAACTTAATAGCAAATTTCAACGGTGAGGTGATATTTGAAAACGAACGTGCCAAAAAGAAGTATGAAGAACAGCAGAAACAAACATTGCTTCAGTAATCATATTCATCCTCTTTGTTGTGATGTTCATTCATTTTCATCATGTCCACACCTTCTTGACCATACATCATGTAGCATAAAAGCATGTCTTCCTGTGTCAAGTTACCAAAATCTCCTGGTAGCTCATTGTTAGATGCAACCCCAAAGCCAAGCATTCCATAATTATTACTATTCTCATCGTTTTGCTCAAGACTCGGCAATATGAAAGATGAGCTCGTGTCGTTCATGATGTTGTTTTCTGCCTTCTTCTTTAAAACATCCTTCCGAATAAAATTGACAAGCTCATCCACGGAATGATTGAAATGGAATACTAGGGACCATATTTCGTTTGCATAGCAACTTATTCTTTTCAACAACACTTCATGAATTTTGGAATTTTGTAAATGATCATCGTTTTTGTCATCTACAGAAAAATCAATTTCATCCTGTTCGTTCATATATTCAGCAAAGCAATTAGCCAAAATATGAGAAATATTCCCTTCATCATATAATTTACAATTTTTGTCAGTGTAATGATTATTGGCTTCATCCCAAAAATCGACATCAATTTTCATCCCTACTGTTATCCTAGATTTTCCGTCTTGAGTCAATTCATCGTCATTTGCAATCACATTATAATAGTACTTGTTTACATCCTCCGATGAATTACTTCCGACAGAACCCCTAGAAGATGATGATTTAAACCTGTATCTCCGAGCTTTTGCTGCTTCAAATCTAAGTCTTGCTTGTTGAGCACACGCTTCACATCCATCTTTTCCAAATGGTGCATCCAAGAACGATCCATGAGAACAACCATATTTAATGATACTCATTTTTTTTCGTTTTTTTAATACAGCAGTGATTGATCAATTATTGTTTGGCCAAGAGCTCAGCGGGAGGATGACCTTGGTAACTTAATGTCCAATAGAAATTTATACAACACCAAATATGACACGCTGACACAATTGGAGAATCAAACATTTGCAGAAATTCATGTTTTTTTGAAAGGTCCTTGCCACGATTCGATCAATATTTCTAAAAGGTGTCGAAACAACAACTCGTGGTAATAACGGCGAATAATTTCTGACAACGAGACTGCTGTTTTGGTCATGAGAGACGTTTTTCTCATGAGTGTACACTCACCGTTGTTGAGTTCTATTCAAACACCAGTGTCAAAGAAACAACCACTCCACAAGAACATTACTTTCCAAAACCTTTTTGTTGTTTTACGGCCATTCATATCGTACGGTTAGTTTCAAACGAATTGAGGTCTGTACACGATCGCAATGATGCTTAATTGTCAACCACTTTACAAACCTCAACAATTTTCTGCACTTTTCTTTGTTTAAAATCCTTCAAATAGTAAGTTTAGGCTTTGAAAAATTGGGAGATGAATTTCACGTGAGATCAAATATGGGTCTTCACGCGATTCTATTTTCGGGAGTTTCCTAATCATTGTTTCCAAGCCCATCCCGCTTGCATGTTTGGATAATAAATTTGCCTTGGTTCTTTTCATGGTTTGCTTGAATTCGAGAAATTTTGTGTGAAATTAATCATTAGAAGCGAAATCTTGTGTGTGTGAAAAGAACGTTAGTCAGCTTCAACAACAGCTCTCAGGAGTTTTCAAACGAGTTTTCGTTTTGAAAAAAGAGAGACTTGTTGGATCAAGCGCACACAGTTGAATCGTTGCTTCACAGATCGTTGAATTCGTATGTCATTAATCTATTATCCAAGTCTTCCTGCAACCATGATGATGAACAAGCAAACCAACTCTGTCCCTAAAAAGAAGATTCTCACTCAACTCAAGACAAACACAGTGTTGATCCACCAGAATGATCATCAAAAAGAATCATTCCTAGTGAATCCTAGTGCTGTTCTTGAGAATCATCCCAATTACTCCTCGTCATCGGCATCCACACCAACCTATCAACCCAATACTCCAACCACTCCATCCAATACCAGTCAATGCAGCAATCAATCAAATGCGAGTGGTGGTGGTGCTTCCGGTTTGTTATGGAGCTTCTCTCAGGAATATAACAAGAAGCAACTTCCAACATTTAAAAACTTTAAGGTATGTTGTTGTAGTGAATCTTGATGTTTTTGATCATTCATGATGATGATGATGTTTACAACAATCAACACGTGATGATCGTTTGTCGTCGTCCATTGATGTCAACCACACACCTTGGCCTCTTCAATCATATTATTGATCTCACATGATGTTGGAATGGATGGATCAAAAAAATCATTGATGATCATCCAAAATCTGCACGCAACATGTTGATTATAACCACATGACCACCATCAACCTTACCACAACCATGTGTCTACACCAACAATATGGTAACTCCATGCACAATTCTTCATGCAATGAACAGACCAAAGCTGTGAAAGGAGGTTTTCAGTCAGATTGGAAAGCAACAGGACAAGGCAATACGAGTACAACTACCACCACAACTACTACTACTACTCCATTCATATCTCTTTCCTCACCTCCATCAACGACTCCAATGACTCTCAGTAACACATTGAACATGATGTGTGCAACCACTACACACAATTCATCACTCTCTCAACAAACAGTCAGCAAGAAAACCAAATCAAATAATACATTAGCAACGAATCAAAAGAGTCCTCGAGTTGTGTCTGTGAGTATGTGTGATCAATCTCCAATTAGTCTAGAAAGTGTAGATTCATCCACGAGTAATAATGATTTGATTTGGGTCTCTCATTCTCCAACCATGAACCATGCAGTGTCCAATGTTGCTGAACGATCTGTGACCATTCCATCAACGACGACAACCACTACCCAAACTTGTCATTTGATATTTTCTAACTTGATGACTTCAAAGAAGAAGAAGAAACCTTCTAAGAAGAGATTATCTGCTGAAGTTTCAACTAATGTTACTACTGCTGTGACTATGAATGCAATGCCTACCATGAATTTTGAGAATTCAAACTCCAATTTTGCAAGCACCATTGTGAATAAGGATCATGATGCAACACCAAACCAAATATTAGAGAATCATTCCTTATCAAGAATTGACAAACCAGCTCATAAAATGTCTTCATCCTTACCAAGGAAAACTAGAGAACGAATTACCATTCAGGAACTTTTGAACTAACTGTGATTCATAGAGAGTGTCCACATAGATGCTTTCTAATTTTGCCTTATAAACATTTTAATGTTGAATGATCAAGTGATAAGAATCCTTCTTGTTGTTTCAAAAATGCAATCTTTTGACGTGTCATCCAAACTCCATTGATGTGATAGAGAATGAGTGAATCTTTGAGTGGTTTGCTCTCTTCTGACCGATGCTCATTGACAAGGAAACTAAATTGACATCGATTGGGAAAGAGTCGAACAGGGAAAAAGCCAATCAGAGAAATGATGGAAGTTTTCTGTGATTTTCTTTCATTGGTGATGAGTGAATTTAAAATGGCTTGGTCATTGGTTGTTTCTGTTCGACTAAGTTGATGCTTATTTGTGATGGTTTCATCTGTTGGAACAAAGAAATAGAGAATGTCAAATACGATTGGCTCAATCCAAAATTCTAAAAATTGTTGAGCTTTGTGAGTGGAAGCAACAAAATATACACCAGTATTAATTTTGACATTTTCAGGGCGAACATCTTGGTTGTCTCCACAACTTTCCATTTGAAAAATGACGTCAAAATTCTTTCTTTCTTTTGACTGATGCACATAATGAGTTGGATTGTTAAAAATTACAACATCTAAATCCGAGAAAAATATGTTGAAATCAAGAATATTACATTTCCAAACAATGACTGGTTTCAATAACGTGATAAATTCCCAATGAGTTGTGAAAAATTCTTGAGGTATAATATTGTCATGTCTTTGTAATTGGTCTAAATAATTCTTGTAAAGTAGGTCGTACTTTTCATGAAATTTTGTGTTTTTTAAATATGAGAGAATTAATTTAGAAATGTCATCAGTTGTGAATGTGATAATGCTCTTGTGCTCGTTAGAGATGGTGTTAATAGGTACGTCTAAAAGCTTTGAATAAATTAATTTTTCAATATCTTGTCTCTGGGTCAATGTTTTAAATTGACTGGGATCAATAAACACAAATAAGACAAAATTGGTAATTCCTAGTTTCTTCAGTCTGCAAATCCACTGCTTTGCCATGACCCAATATGTAGGCATGTCAGTCCCTATATTGTTGTTCCTCATCAATAATTCATGTAGTTTTTCAACGGTCATCAATGCCAATAGAATGTTTTTAGTGTCATCGGATATTTGTTTTAATCGAGAAAAATTAATAAATTCACCAGACGATACTGGCAAGCTATTTTCATCAACTTGAATGACCAATTCAACTGATGATGATGCAGGTATTCTTGTCTTGAAATAATAAATAAAAATTAGGGCAAACATGATCACAGACATGACAGCTACATGTTTCCTACTCAATATTTGTGAATGTATTGCTCCAATCCTTTTAATTTCCTTGTATTCTTCTTTCGGATATTGTTTCAAATGTTCTAGAGAGGCTTCATGAGAGTTGTCCTTGTTCGACCAATTTAGCATTTTTAATTTAAATAATTAGAAACGATCCAATCTCGTTCCATCAAAGCAAAAAATGTCTCATGAAAACCCACAACACACACTTTGGGGTCAAGTGGATTCGTACTTTATCCACACTCTTCGTAACAACAATGAACAAAATCCATTATTATTGACTCTTCCACAATCATCCCAAGAGAAGAAGGAACCATTCGATCCTCTCGAATACGCATTACAAAACAGTGAAAAGAATGGATTACCTCCACATCAAGTCTCTCCGAATCAGGGACAGTTCCTTTCCATGCTTGTCATGATGACACGTTCCAAGAGAATTCTTGAAATTGGTACTTTGGGTGCCTATAGGTATGTATTAGAATGCATGTGAATCATGAACGAATGAACATTAACAAAGAATAGTACGATTTGGTTGGCTTGGGGTTTGATTCGACGTCAACAAATATTTCACGATACAAATCAAAACATTCCTGGACAAATCATTTCTCTTGAATCTAATCCTCTTCATGTGAAAGTAGCACGTGAAAATATTGAATTTGCACAACTTGTTGATTTGATTCAAGTGAGAGAAGGAAATGCATTACAAAGTTTACATGCCATGACCTCAGGTCAAGAAACTATTGAACCTTTTGATTTAATATTCATTGATGCCGATAAGCCCAATAATCCAAGCTATCTAGAATATGCTTTAAAACTGTCTCGAGTTGGAACTGTGATCATTGGGGATAATGTTGTTAGAAATGGTCAAGTTGCAAATAGTGAAAGTCAAGATGCCAATGTTTTAGGAGTGCGCCAATTCATGGCAAATATGGGAAACAAACATGCCAAAAAATTGGTTGCCACTGCCATGCAAACTGTTGGATGCAAAGGATATGATGGCTTCTCTATGGCAATGGTGGTTGAGCATTAAAAATTGGTGACAAAATACAGATAGCGTTTCTTTTGCATGCACCTTTCCATACGAATGTGCCTCTCAAACTGCGTGGCTTTTCAGCTTTCTCAACATGAATCTATAATACCGTGGTGGAAAGCATCCTTTGACGTTCCATTAGTATATTTAAAGGATATGACATCCATAACCTTAGATCGAGCCAACTCGCTATGATAAATAGTGCAACCAGGAATAGAAGCGAAACGGTTTTTGAACCCGAGCTGGAGAGGAATGTTTCGCTTCTGTGATTCAACTCGGATCATTTTCAATGAAATTTAGCTGAAGCAAGGTGATGGTATGGAGAAGTTCCTTTTAAAATAATAGCAAGGTGGTGAGAGTGTTTCGACGAAGAGTAGCTTGATAGTTTGAAAGAGTAGAAGTCATACTTTGTGAGCAAGCATAACACGGGATTCGAATCGAAGTGAACATTTGAAAAAATCGAAAAACGCGTCCTTGTAACGTTGTACTACACAAGGTAATTTGTAGACGAATTAGTTTGTGCACGCTTGATGGTATATGAGTATCCATCGAAATTACCTTCTGCCAGCACAAATCCCTTTATTTATAAAGGTATTGAATGGTACATAGATGACGACATTTTTTGCATCGATCTAAATTGGATCCTAGATATACCCACAACATGGCAGAATTATGTGCAGTAGTCACCTCTTTGAAGATGATCCCTTCATCTAGCTCAGTCAAATTGCTCAGAAGATTTTCACAAACAACAACTATCGAGGACAATTCATTCAACTCAAAAGAGAATTTGAGGCAACAATACAATTCAAAAAACTTAAAGTTACCATTGAATGGGTAAAAGGACATGATAAATGTCAGGAAATAACTTCGTTGACAAACTGGTAAAAAACGCAAGTACCAAAGGCAAATTTACTTTTCGTTACATTGAAGGAAAATAAACACCACATCACAAATACTCGATATGGAGAAACCTTAATTTCTACCATGTTCGGAGCTTCAAACAACATATCTGCCCAGAACGCAATGTTCCCTTTTTCATGAACACTTACTTCTCCAGTGTCCAATTCTCCAGTTTCAGCGAAAATGGGCAATTGATAACAAATTCTAGATCCAATTTTAGTGTCAAAAGAATCAGATCACCTCAACAACTACAAGGTGAGTAAAAGACAACTAAAGAACAGTTTCAAGTTTTAACAAGAGCTTACCGTGGTTCAAGGAAATCAAGACCTGAGGTGCTGATCAGAGGTTGGCTTTTACGCAACTGATTCCTGGAGAATCCTACATTGAGTCCACTGATCCTAAACACGTCGTTGCAGCCCAGACAAAATTTTCGGAGGGTTCTCCGACTAGTACTTTTTAACACTTTTTGAATGAAACTTTCAAAACAAAAAACATGAAGATGTAGGAAACTGAGTTTACTACACCATGGTCTCTTCTTTTCTCGTTGTTATTATTCAAAATATTGAGCAATGTACAACAATAGCGAACTAGGTGATATTTTTCGAAAATTTTTGGCTCAGAAACTCAAGCCAAACCAGAGCGGCAATTCAGCCAGGAGCAACAAAGGTAATGTCTTCCATCAGGGTTTAAACAAAGTGACGCCTTCGGACCTGATTAAGGTAACATAGTGTCGAATACCTTTGACCATCTTAACAAGTTCACTGCTGGGACCTGCTTGCTCCAGGCAAAGTACGTCAAGGTTGGATTTAGAGACGGCTCTAAACAACTGGTGTGAAGTAAGAAGGAGATGTTCACCAATGTCGTGAGCGAGGCGTGAAGGAAATAAGGAATGACAAGAAGAGGAAACATCATTGGGTGGTATGGGAGGGTGTTTGGTTGATGGGCATGGTTGACGCTACACAGTGTTTTGCTGAGGTAAATTTGCTAGCGATGTTTCCCTCTAGTACAATCTTAGAAGCATTCGTGTCACGATAACGTTGGGGATGTTAAAAAATAAATGGTCCCTCTCAATTCCAATGGCCTCATTCAATTTCATTAAGGAGAACCGATCTCAAAAATCCGTTCCAGGTTAATTGAGCACAGTATCTCCCTCCCAGTCGAAAATTTGTTGTTCATCCTTTCCCAAAAAGAATTTTGGTCCCGAATGACTTCCATCGATCCAGACCACTATCCAACAAGAACACCTTGACGTTTCAATATGAATTCTTTCTCCAATTTTGTTTTTGGATTGACTAGCTCAAGTAGTTTCTTCTTAGCTTTCATTGCGAACATTAAGCAACACATTACCTAAACCAAATTACCTGCAATCCGTCGTTGTCGTAGTTTCTCCTCATCGTTCGTCTTTAAATCAAAAGGAAGAAGAGCTGAATATAGAAGTGAGCTTTTGGAAGCTGACAGAGGGTTCTCATCAACCTGTTCTCCCCACACCTTGTTCATGGTATCCTTTGAGACTTTTTCGAATTGTTTGTTGTGACGACTGATCACATAATAGCGATTGGTGTCTTCTTTTCAATTAATTTTTCTTCACAAAAGATTCAGCAGTTTTTGTGTTGATGTTCGGAAAATCCTTTGAATGTACCTTTTTCCAAGAATTCCATATTCGGCTGTTTTCATCGCTTCTATTTGAATCTTACTAAATCTCCAACAAAAATAGAATCCTCAACCTTAATACCAATGATACTGGGTGTTTCACTGACCTTCAACATTTCAGTTAGAGTAAGGGAGTGAAACGACTCATCATTTCGTACAACAAATTCGGTATCTTGTGGAAGTATGATGTCCTTTATCCTGCTTTGTACTCTATCCAAACTCATCTTCTTAAACCAATCAAAAAATTGTTGATTTGGACAGTCATAACCACCACTTGTGTATTGCTGCATAAAGGTTCCAATATGTCCAGTGTCAATACCTTCCATTGCCAACAAACGAGGCTCAAATGCAAAGATCTTACCAAGTCCTTTTAACGCGTTCAGTGGTTTCTGTTGAATGAAGGATGAGTCTAACCAACCATAATGATCGAGATAATAGATGGCAAGGTTTCTGACATTTATGGCAAAGTAGTCCAAGGTTCCAACAGCTTGAGGAAAATATTTGTTGTCAGCGTTGTCGGAGGTCAAGCAGTTTCGTAGGAGATCTTTGATGTAAGTTTTTCATACAAATTTTCCACTCTTAATTGTTGAGCTGCTTTGATTTTGTTCTTTACTTGCTCTGTAAGGAGATTTTGTTCTAACAAACCTCTTTTTCGTAATTGTCATAGAGTTTTTTCATCTCGGGGTTCTTCATGAGTGCAATAAAACGTTTACGGACAGCAGTTGAGGTCAAACCCTCATCAAATTTCTCTTTCATTGAATTCTGGAAGCCAGGAAATGCATGAACCCATGAAATCTTGTTTCTCATTGTTGAACCAGCAACAACTGAAACAAGGATGTTGTCTTCGTCAGCGCTCCATGGGTATGGCAATACTTTTACCTTTTACAAAAAGACATAGAGAGCAACGGTTGACCAACAATGAAACTTCTCTTTGTTGCTTCTTCTGTGGGCACAAGATTTTCTCACACCAATCAACTTTAATAGCCTTGAAAGAATTTTCATTGGTTGAATTCTTTGCTCCGAGGAGCGTTGTCACAGAGGTTGGGTAGGTATACCGCCAAATATTCAACAAAACAAAACCATGTTTTCTACCAACAAGCGGCCATGGCCGAGAGGTTTAAGGCGTTAGACTCTGGGTTCAGATTGAAATAGCGGGACTATGTCCGTCATAGAGACAAATTCCCAAGAATACTTATTGGGATGTTGTTCTTGTCATTACTCAAAGTTCCAACCCTCAGGAGGCCCCTCCATGCTTGAACGAGAGCATTAATTTTGATGATCCTTTATCCGACTCGGAGATGGAGTGGATCAGCACAATGAAAGCATTAATTTTGATGATCCAATTTTTGATTCGGATCCCGATGAGCAAGAGGATGAAACCGTTCGTTCAATAATAGCAACAAGATAAATGATGCACTTCCACTTGTCATGATACACTCATACTTGTCATTGAAAATGTTTATTTCAGTTTCCATTGCAACCAACCTTATGTTCCTGGAAAGTTTGGAACGAAAGGCAAAAAAAACATCGCGGCCAGCAGGATTCGAACCTGCGCAGGTTGCCCCATTAGATTTCTGAATCTAACGCCTTAAACCTCTCGGCCATGACCGCTTTTGTAATTTTTGTTAAAGTTATTGTGCATAATCAACAGCTCGGTAAATCTGATTTTTCAAACAGCCTGAAGCTCAAAGATTAATGATGTATCATATTCGTAGGGCTGAAGGATGGTGGACCCAATTCAATCCAAAACAAGTCATTTTCCTCCACCAATTTCAGGTGTGGTTGTTTGCTATCCGCGATCATTGAATGTTGAAACCAAACCGCTCAAAATACTTCTTAAGAAATTCACGTTCGACAAACACCCTCTCTGGAAACCAAAAAAACATCGCGGCCAGCAGGATTCGAACCTGCGCAGGTTGCCCCATTAGATTTCTGAATCTAACGCCTTAAACCTCTCGGCCATGACCGCTTCATCATCGAAAAACAATGATAAACACACAAAGAATTATTATTAGCACTTGAAAGAACACCCTTTATTGTTGTTTATTTCTCGTTTCCATTAAACTGTAACAGATCCATGATATATGAAGGAACAGCTTTGGTGAAACATTCGTCTTTTTGGATGATATGAAAACCGTTGCTGATATCATAGCGAGAGTGAATAAACGTGTCCTTTCCAACATTGTATACTGCACCTCGAGCGGTAACAAGGAACTGAACACTTGGATCCAGAACTGAAACTCTGACCATAATCTTTTCTTCTTTTGGCTCACTGTCATAATTACATGCAATTGAGAGGATACGAGGAACAGATTCTGGATCGCCATCTTTGCTCTTCTTTTTCAAAATGTGGTCTGTGAAATGAACCAGTCCAGGTCCATAAAAACGGAACGTATGTACACCCTTTGATTCATAGAGAGAGGACGAGGACATTCCGTGTTGGCAACAATACCACCTTAATAAATGTAATGCTAACAAAACAAAGCAATTAGAATAGAGAGACAACTCATTAAAACGTACCGCAAATATCTTTTTGACCGACGCTAAATTGGTTCTTGTACTTTTCTTTATGACCGTCTCCATAAGTAAAACCAAGTAAAAACCCAAGACTAAAGGTCTTGGATGCAAAATACCAATAGCTTGGAAAATGTTTCATTGTTCCATCCAGTGCTTGTATCTCTTTCATTGTTGGTATCCAGTTTTGATGTTGAAACCAAACCACCAACATCATTGGCTCGTATCCGTGTTGGAGCAAGTTTTCTTCAAGTGACGACCCATAAGTAACTGCAATGACATGCTTAATGACATCATTATCCTTCTCCTTCTTAAAATGATACCAATGATAGTCATTTGTTTTGGGAGGAATCATGGATCGAAAGCGATTCATCAATTCATCAGAGTTTGCTACTTGAAAGGGTTCATACTCTTGAAATATAATCTTCTGGTCCTCATCGATCTTATCTTCATCATTAGCTGTGGTATTTCCAGTATGCAAGACTTTGGAGAAAACTTTTAGTCTAGAAGGAGATGAATTGGGAAATAATAACTTTGCAATAGTGCACACCCAGTCGAAAATTTGTTGTTCATCCTTTCCCAAAAAGAATTTTGGTCCTGAATGACTTCCATCGGAGGACCACAATCCAACCAGAACACCAAGACATTTCAATATGAATTATTTCTCCAATTTTGTTTTTGGATTGGCTAGCTCAAGTAATTTCTTCTCAGCTTTCATTGCGAACATTAAGCAATGCATTATCTAAACCAGCTTACCTTCAATCCATCGTTGTCGTAGTTTCTCCTCATCGTTCATCTTTAAATCAAAAGGAAGATGAGCTCGTCTAATATATTTTCCAGGGTCCTGAACAGTGGTTGAATATAGAAGTGAGCTTTTGGAAGCTGATTGAAGGTTCTCATCAACCTGTTCTCCCCACACCTTGTTCATGGTATCCTTTGAGACTTTTTCGAATTGTTTGTTATGACGACTGATCACATAATAGCGATTGGTGTCTTCTTTTCTAATTAATTTTTCTTCACACAAGATTCTGCAGTTTTTGTGTTGATGATCGGAAAATCCTTTGAATGTACCTTTTTCGGTTCCAAGAATTCCATATTCGGTTGTTTTCATCGCTTCTATTTGAATCTTACTAAATTCTCCAACAAACTTAGCATCCTCAACCTTAATACCAATGATACTGGGTGTTTCACTGACCTTCAACATTTCAGCGAGAGTAAGGGAGTGAAACGACTCATCATTTCGTACAACAAATTCGGTATCTTGTGGAAGTATGATGTCCTTCATCCTGCTTTGTACTCTATCCATACACATCTTCTTAAACCAGTCATAAAATTGTTGATTTGGACAATCATAACCACCACTTGTTAACTGCTGCATAAAGGTTCCAATATGTCCAGTGTCAATACCTTCCATTGCCAATAAACGAGGCTCAAACGCAAAGATCTTACCAAGTCCTTTTAACGAGTTCAGTGGTTTCTGTTGAATGAAGGATGAGTCTAACCAACCATAACGATCGAGATAATAGATGGCAAGGTTTCTAACATTTATGGCAAAGTAGTCCAAGGTTCCAACAGCTTGAGGAAAATATTTGTTGTCAGCGTTGTCGGAGGTCAAGGCTAAAGCAGTTTCGTACGAGATCTTTGATGTCACTTTTTCATACAAAGTTTCCACTCTTAATTGTTGAGCTGCTTTGATTTTGTTCTTAACTTGCTCAGTAAGGAGATTTTGTTCTAACAAACCTCCTTTTTCGTAATTGTCATAGAGTTTTTCATCTCATGGTTCGTCATGAGTGCAATAAAACGTTTACGGATAGCAGTTGAGGTCAAACCCTCATCAAATTTCTCTTTCATTGAATTCTGGAAGGCAGGAAATGCATGAACCCATGAAATCTTGTTGTTTCTCATTGTTGAACCAGCAACAACTGAAACAAGGATGTTGTCTTCATCAGCGCTCCATGTATGTCTGGTGTTGTCGTGGGTTTTTCCTGTTCTCTTTTTTGAGGATGAAGAAGCCTTCTTCATATTTGCATCATCGTTCGTTGTAACTGAGTCCACATCCTTTAAAGATGAAGGGAATGTTGAGACATGATCATTTCCTTCGGAAAAGAGTTCCAAAGGAAAAAGGCTTTCTGTTGATTCCAACATCGAAGGGACGCCAAGCGGTGGGCTTTTTTGTGATGGTTCATCAAGCACAATCGGATTTTCAAAAGAGTTTCCGATTGTTTTGGCTTTCTTACTGTTGTCTGAGGGGTGAAGAGAAAAATCATGCTCTTGCTTTGGTCTTTTGGACATGATGAAAGAAGTCAAAGCAGGTTGTGGTGTGATTGTTTTTTTGTTGGAAAAGTTTAAGGCTAGACATTCTTGTTTATCGACTTGCTTCTTGAAAATCGTTAAGGAGATCATAGACTCGAAATCTAATGGGGAAACCTGCGCAGGTTCGAATCCTGCTGACCGCGAGTAATTTTTTTATTGGCTTCCGCTCTGTACTACCTAACCCACAAAAAATCTAATTAGTTTATTGTTAGCAACACTGGTGCTGGTAAATCCGTGAGGATTGGGGTTTGTTTTTGAACTGGTTTTTTAAACCTTGAGTTTTCATAATACTTGGTGTGACATTTACCAACTAGTAGGGCTAACCCACAAAAAATGCCGTCACATAAACAAACTCAACAACATAACCATTCAACACTCTACATCATCGTCACAACAAGTTTTCATGAAACAAATTGTTTTCCCACTTCCCAAAAGAGTTCCATTGCGGATCAATTTCTCTCTCAAAAATACCATATCGTCAAGCAAACCAATGGGATGTCTTGGCATTGATATCCGCAACCAATTACTGTTTGTATTGGACAGACTTGCATTCATCGCAGTTATTGATTTACAACAAAAAAAAATCATAACTCGTTTGACATGTAGACATTTATCTGTGCGCTTTAAGATTTGTGAAAATGACTTTATTGAACATATATACTTGTCGAAAATATTCAAACAAAGCAGTCCCGTACTGTCATAATGTCCTAAGAACATTAAGGATCAGCGAAAAAGGAACTTGAAAAGCTTAAGAAAGCATGATAAGGATGGGATGTCAGTAAGCAAAGCAAAGGGAGACGAAGTATTAGTATGCAGAAAATTTTTTGAGCATTCGAATACTCAACCCAAACTCTTTTATAATTTACAATCAAAACATTCCTACCCTTCACTACATTCAGAACAAATCATCACATAGTGATTAAACATTTACTTTTTAACCTTATTTTACTATTTATTTATTTTACATTAATGTGACATTGTTTAACCCATTGAGGGCCCTGACAAATCCGCAGCCAGAGCCCACGCATCCTCAGCCGATCATGAAACTTCAGGATTCAACTGATCCTCATCCAAAAATAAAAATCCTGTAATCGCTGGAGCGGATCCTCCGCTTTTCCACTGAAAGTTGGAACAAATCGAAGTCGATGTTTTGTTGTCTTTGGAAGAAGACTGTTAGCACAACAATTCATGAGGCAACATCACCAGAAGAGACAGCCAATACCACCCAGCAAGCATTGACCCAGCATTGAATTTGTCCCAAAGTCACTTTACACCAGGACTTGTTCCGGTACGAAGAAAACAAAACACCATCTGATCATTACTCTTTACTTGAAACCGACGAACAACCAAACCACTTGGTGGAGGAAGATCAATTACAGTTGTCGAATAACGAATTCATTAAAACGAAAGTTTTTATTGCAAAATCCTGATTTTTGGATTGAATCGGATCCACCGCCCTGCAGCCGTTTGAAAAATGAGAGCCGCTGGATCCGGTGCCACTGCGTCGGCTGACAAATCCGCAGCCAGAGCGTCATTTTCAACGTCCTTCAACTTTCTTCTTTATGATTTTGACGGCTGTACGTAAGTAATACCGTTGGTTGCCGCATTGGAAAAGAAGCATTTCTTGGATCAGAATTAGATGAAACAGCATTCAAGGATGAAGAATCACCGCCTTGCTTCGTTCGGGCGAAGATCTCATGCTCTTGCGTTGCTTGACATAACTTCCCTTCTTTTTGGGAGGGGGCTTTTCAGCTTCTTCACGGAATTCTAAATCTCTGTTTTCATCTTGGTTCATCATTTCTCACATGACTGTTGGTTTACATCGTCCAAGAATTTACACCTATTCTCCTTGAGTTTCCTTGATTTCGTCTTTCTGGTGGATGGCTTTCTTCATGACGGTTTTTCCTTCTTCTGTTCCTTTCGTCTCTCTTTTCCTTTGAACTGATATTATGCGACTGGGCAAGGATAATGTGAAAAAAAGCAACATCTTCTTTGAAATTCATCAACCATCATATTTGCATGTAGCTACGCTATGACTATAGAGAGACTCGATGGTATTGTTGTCAGAGGGAAGAGATGATGATGAATCATGGATAAGCGTATGGATCATGTTCTGATTACTCCACCACTCTACCCGTTTCGATTACAAGTCTGGTACAAGCGTCTTAAGTCCCTCAAGAAAACAGGATATTTCTTTCGCACTGGTTAAGGAGCAAATACGATACACCAAGGATTACATGGAACGCTTCAATCAACATGTTTCTATCCTCATCAGAAATCTTACGGGAGGGTGGATCAGAATGCGTATGGTTTCCCTTCAAAAACACAAATCTCGCATTATCTTTTTTCAAGAAGTACAATTTCACACTTCATGTTACACGTTGAGGAACTCCATTGCAATCCTTTACACCTCAAGCAGCCAATTTTTTTTGGTGGAATGAACAGTTGTTTCTGAAAATTATGTAGGTTTTCATTTGAAAGTACTCTCCGTCCTTAGTAACTCGAATTTCCTTAATAATCTGAACAATAAGTCGGATTACAACGGCATAAAATTTCTATGCCATAATATAATGGCGACCCACATTTATGAGGCATATTTGGAATATGTATGTATACCATTATATGTCACCTCCTTTATTGCTTGATATAGGATGATGTGAACTAGCAAGGTTTGTGAAAATATCATGCGAATGTTGTTGATGTTCATTTATTAAGTTGTTGTGAATTATTAGTCACGAGAGTGTAAATGAGCATTCAAGTAATGCCAAAACCAATATTGAGAGTGCGTATTATGACAGTATGAGGACGACGTCTTCATAATTCGTGAGCGTCTGAACTTTGTCCACCGTACTACAATCAATCCCAATTAAGCTTTCCAAAGTGTCATAAAGTTTGTGTGGAATTTACTTTTGACAACTGGTTGTACATACCTTCACAGTTGTCTTGTTCACATTTCATCGTTGAAGTTTTTTTGGCTAATGCATTTATTTTCTGGACGATTTGCCTTCCTTCGAAAACAACAGTTCAAAAAAAATAATGAGTGGCATTTCTTCGTTTCTTTCAGCAGCCAATCGACCATTGGCCATGGCTTCCGTAAACACTGGCCATGCTCATGATTCAAGCATAATGTCATCACCGAATGCCTCGGGACAAAGCTTGAATTTTCCAAAACATCAAACATACAGCAACAATCGATCAAACCAGTGGAGAGGTCGTGGCCGAGGTCGAGGGAGCAGTTTTCAACAAAGAGGAAGTAGTTTTCGAGGTCGTGGACGAGGCTCATTCCATTCTTCTTCTTCCCGAGAAGGTAGTCGCTATCAAAAATTCAACAATGACAACCATCATGATATTTATGGTGGTGAGGAAAAAGATGAACGTGCAAGCGCCGAAGAAGAAGCACTTGCTTTAAAATTATTGGAAAATGAAGAATCATTACAAACTGCAGGTTCCGAACTCTTTATTCCTATCGAGCAGGAATATGACATGTTTTTTAAAAAAGTGTTAAATTGGAAGAATGATTCCCATTCCATATCACAACAAGTATCAGATGGAGAGCAGTTGAAACAATTTCGATCTTACGATGAAGAAGCTACTGAAAGGTGTAAGCACTTGATTCAACAAACATGTATGGGCAATTTGACAACAGGAAATACTACATCAATAGACACTTTGACAGTCTCAAGCGATCATTTGCTCACATCTGCATACAGAGATGTAGTAAAGAAAATACAAGAACAAGTTGCACAAGGACAATCCAAGCATTATGCAAAATTAGACAAGACCATTTTACATTATGAAGACATTTTATACTCCCTAATGAAAGTTCCAAAATTCACTTCCATTCCTCAGCAACCTCAACATTCTTCAACGTTGGGGAATTCCTCAGAATCCACCAATACACAGTTTGAACAATTCAAAAACATTTTTGAAAGAAAACAGCGAGAGAAACAAGAACTGAAAAATTTTTCTAATTTTGCTAATAATTTATTCGAAAAGTGTACGGAACTGTTTAACATTGCAGAAGAAGCGCCAGTATGGGAAATTGAAAATGATTCGGACGTGCAACAGGCGATCCAACAAGTGATTGATTCAACTCGAAAAACAACAGTTTATCAAAACACAAGCGGTCCTTATGATTATGGAACTCTGCTACAAGCATTACTAGATTTAATGGGAAGAAAATCTAAGCATCAAACTTCACAATCATCTCGTGACAAGATTAGACATTCAGAAAGATCAAAATATCAATCCATTTCGACTGGAGACGAGGATGAAGAGTCAAGGTACAAAGCTGATTCTGTGCTCACCAAACGAAAACGAGAAAATGAGGACGATGATAGCGACAATGAAGAAGAGAATGACGAATCATCAGACGCCGAGGAAACATCTGAGGAAAACGAACACTCTTCTGAGGCTACTATTTCTCTTTCCGAGCTCAACAAATGTAAAACTACAATTGAGCTATTAGGTGACAGATACAGGTTGCTCCCACACATTCACAAATGGCTTTCCCTTTTAGACTTGTCAATGGGAGCTACAGGAATTGATTTTCATAGCTCTTTGAAAACCTCATTCAAGAAACGACAGAAACAAATTCGACAAGACTTGTCTGTGGCTCAACGACCAGACTGGAAACACAAAGAAGCCAAGCAAGTGGCAGTGTTGGCTTCGTCCTCGACATCACTATCGAAAAGTATCATTTCCAGTAGCAACAAGTGCCTCGACGTGGTGAATAGTAGTCTTTTGTATAAAGAATAAGTGGTTTGTTCTCCAATCCATCCCGGATGCGATACGAACACTGGGTTCTTGTTGTGGAACAAACGGTCTGTATTTGGCATCCTCCCTTTCCTTGATTATACAATAGTACCGCATGAAACTGAGCATTCCACAAAAAAATTCAATCTCTTCGCTCCATGCATGTTCTCTCGAATGCAACATCACAATTTTGCCCGCCAAGAACAAGGTTGAAAGACTACTCTGCTCCACCCCAACCAACAACAACATGTGCTGAAATGGAGCGTCCTGTTGATGAAGAGATGCAACAGAGAGCCTTACCATTGAAAGATATATCTCAAGTAGTCGATGGGCAACATGAAATTCATGACTCAACAAGAAAACAACACAAAAACATGTTGCTGCCTGCACGTTCCACTTCATCAACAACGCCAATCTCAACGCAAAACAAAACCCGTTCAACAGCATGCACAGAGAAAACCACAGTGACTCCAGAGCAGTGTCAATTCTCCCTCTTTGAAGACAAGGATCATACAATAAGGTACTCTGAGTATAGACCAACATTTCCAAAGAACATGTATGAAGAGCATGTCTTTACAAGGAAATTATTGTCTATGCATACATGTGGGGAACATGTTGAAAATTCTCAATCGTCCTTAATGTCACCAAAACAACTGCTCTTGAACTCTGTGAAAAGTTGGATCGCCATAGATGTTGGCTGTGGTAGTGGACAGGCAACTTTTGATTTGGCACCATATTGCAAACATGTTATTGGTGTCGACACATCACTGAACCAAATATCTTTGGCTCGACAACAATTGAGAGACAATTATCAAACCATGACCAATGTAGATTTTGAGATTGGTGTTGCGGAAAATTTGGAAGCCCTAGCTAGAAAATACATCAGTGGAAATTATGAACCAACAAATAATAGTGACAAGGAACTAGTATCGTGTAGTATAAAAAAGGAAACGAGTGACACTTTGGAAACATTTGACCTTATTGTCTCAAGTGCAAGCTTACATTGGTTTGACTTTGAAAAGTTCTTTAAAAGCGTTGACAAAGTGCTAAAGAAAGGTGGATTACTTGTTTCATGGTGTTATGGTCTTCACACATTCGAGAATGAACAAGCACAAAAAACTCTCCTTGAATTTTATCATTCAGATCTTTTGAAAGATTGTTGGACGAGCCGAAGATATCACATTGACACAGAATACAAGCACATTCCTCATATTCCTTATCCGCAAAATAAGGAATATATAACGTATACAATAACGAGCAAGGTTACTTTAGATCAATATATTGGTTTCATTAGTACATGGAGTTCATTACATTTATTTATGGAACAGCATGGAAAAGAGAAATACCAAGATTTGTTGGGAGACTTCAGGACGAAAATGAGGGAGGCTTTGGGATTGACCTCGCATTGTGAAAGCACAACATATTTTGTAATTCATCTGCCAGTTTGGATTGTAAAAACATGGAAGCCCTATTCATGAAACCTCGAGGTTAGTTTGGTTATTTGTTTAAAAAAGTCATTTTCGACACAATGAACAGTCGCAAAGTGCATAAAAGAATTGCGGGAACGTTCGGAGTTTGAGCAAATTAAAAAAAACACACATTTCGATTTTTGTTGATTATTCTCGTTGACAACATCCATCATGAACGAAACGAATGAAGAAGACGAGCAACCTCACGACATTGAAGAACAAGCACTCATCATCAACGACGAACAACTTTACACTCACCAGGATCATGCAGCAGAAGCGGCTCCTACTAGTAGCGGAGAGCAAGATAATTTCAAAGACGGAGTTGATGTTTCATCTCCCTCTGATTATGAGGCCAACAGTTCCTTGCTTTCATGGCTATTATTTTCTTTTGTGAGTCCACTGATTCATGTCGGATTTAAAAAAGCTGGAGGAAAGTTTATTTCGAATTGGCTTGAAAGAATTTTGCAATTGCTACGAATACGAAATTATGTAAATATTGAGGAAGACAGTAACGATGCTAGTCAATTTAATGGAATGTCTCACTCGGATATTCCTAAATTAGGCGCAGAATTGAAATGCAAGAATCAATTTGAAAAATTTAATCATTCTTTCAAAACGAGTTTTGAGCATGAACGAAAATATTATTCCAAAGATGGAAGTATTCGAAGAAGTCATGGAACTTTACTGATATTACTATTAGAAAGAGTATTTCGATGGAAGGGCTTTTATGTGAACGCATTGTGGAGATTGGTTTCTGTTTTTGCGAGCTATTTGTGTCCATTAATTTTTTATGTTCTATTGGAATCAATTCGAACACAATATGTACAAAATGGAGAAAATAAGATGGATGACAGTGTTGAAAGTAATAGGACGTCCTTGAATGGGTTTCATTCTGTGCCAGATCTATACTCAATTTCACTGCAATCTCAATTCTATTCCATACAAAGTAATTCACAAAATTTCACCTCACAACAAAATGAGACAAGTAATACCTATTGGATTATTGCACAACTTCCTCTCAGTAATATTTACTTTCAATTTTTATTGCTAGTTTTACTAATAATCCTTAATATTATTTCTCTGATTTGCTTACAGCATTATTATTATGCAAATTGTAAATTGTGGCTAGCAGTAAGAGGATCGCTGCAAGCATCTATTTTTCAAAAACTCACAAGAATTACTCCTACAAATAGAAGCAAATTTCAAAGTGGTGAGGTAACCAATTTATTCACAACAGACTCGAATCGATTGAGTGGAATGGCCATCGACATGCATGAACTATGGATCATTCCTCTTGCAGTGTTGTTGGGAATGATTTTAGTCTTTTTGTTTTTTGGATATAGCTCACTAGTTGGTATTGTTGCCATGTTAGCAATGAGTCCTCTCTTAGCTCTGCTAGCAAGGTGGTTATCAAAAATTGAAACAGCAGTCTCCTCCTTTAGGGACGATCGAGTGAAAACAATGAGCGAAATTTTGAACGGTATTCGAATTGTTAAATTCTTTGCAATGGAAGATGGAATGAAAGAAAAAGTGCATGAATCAAGAAGTAAGGAATATAATGGTCTTCAAAAAGGAGCAATTGTTAGAAATCTTCAACAATTTGTCTCTGTGTTTGTCTCTATTGCAGGAAGCAGCGTGACATTTATATGCTATCATTATTTCGGAGGAGAACTAACTATCTCTTCCATGTTCACAGGTTTGGTGCTTTTTGAGAACATTAGAAATCCACTCTTTCACTATCCCACATTTTTGTCTTTAGCAGTTAGCTCATATGTGAGTGCCAAAAGAATTGGAGACTTTTTATATGCCGATGAGTTGTCTCACCTTCCTCACGATCATGCCAATATAGCACAATTGCCAAGTCATCATCAATCCTCTAAGGAAGATGGCTATACATTGACTGATGACAGCATTGCCATTCAATTCAAAAAAGCAACAATCACATGGAACGACGAGTCAGACGCAGTTCTTAAAAACATCAATCTTACTCTCAAAAAGGGTAAATTATATTGTATCATTGGGCATACTGGAGTTGGAAAATCAAGCTTATTTTCAACCATTTATGGAGATACTATCATCAAGGAGGGTTCTCTACATGTTCATCCAAGTTCTAAAATAGCTCTTAGTGATGAAAATCCATGGATGATTAACGGATCCGTTCGAGACAATATCATTTTCGATAAGAGTCTTCCATTTGACCATGAACGGTATCAACAAATTCTTGACGTATGTCAATTAAGAGATGACCTTGAAGAGTTCCAAAACTATGACATGTCTGAAATTGGTTATTCTGGAATTAATCTTTCACTTGGACAAAAGCATAGAATAAGTTTGGCACGTGCCTGTTATTCCAATGCTGACATTATTCTCATGGATTCATCTCTCAACTCTGTGGATGCTCGTTTATGTAAGAAAATATTCAAGGAATGCATTCAGGATTATTTGAAAGATCGAACTCGAATTTTAATCACACACTCCCTACAGCTATTGGAAATGGCCGATGAAGTCATTGTTCTCGATAAGGGAACAGTGGTCGCACAGGGACATCTCTCAGCTATAATGCACGCCTATGACTTTTCGAAGTTAATTAGAGAAAATGATGAGGAGTCAAAAACAGATCATCCAATGGCACAGACGAATGACTTGACGAGTGTGGAAACAAATTTGAAAACAGAATCATACGTAACAAAGAATGGACGAGAAAATAAGAGTCTTCCTTTGTCACAAAATGAATCTCCCAGTACTTCGTCTTCAAAAGGTAAATTAGTATCAATCGAAGAGAAACATTCTGGAGACATTAGTTGGAAAGTTGTTTTTAACTACCTCAAAGAATTTGGTCTAATTGTCTTTATCATTTGTGTGACAACCTCTCTGCTTGCTATTGGATCTAAGCTTGCCTCAAGTTTATGGATTTCTCTGATGAATATGAATACTTTCAATATTAGTATTGCTTCCTACGTGTGGATTTACTTTTTACTTGGAATTATTGATGCCTTAATCATCACTGTGCGAGGATCAAGTTTTGCATTTGCTGCTCTTAAGAGCTCAAATCGAATTCATGAAAAGATGTTAAATGGAGCGTTGAGAGCTCCAATTTTATTTTTTGATCAAAACCCAGTGGGTAGAATACTGAACCGTTTCACACAAGATCTCAACGCTACAGATAGTGAAATGTTATTCACATTGGCGAATGGTATCAACACGTTCTTGAACATTGTTCTCACACTTGTATTGATTGCTATTGTGACACCTTTATTTCTATTGGTTGCGTTTCCAGTAGCAGTTGCTTTTTATATTATTCAAGCGTATTATAGAACAGCTTCTCGTGATATCAGAAGGTTGGAATCTATTTCAAAAAGTCCTGTACTTTCTCATTTTTCATCCTGTCTGAATGGAATTAATACTATTAAGGCACTTTTAATTCATGAGCAAATATTTGAGGAAAATTTTATGAAAATTGACTTTACAGCCAAACATTCACACTATAGATATTTAATTAACCGATGGCTTGGAGTCAGAATTCAAGTGGTGGCTCAAGTAGTCATTTTCTCAACTGCTGCATTTTCTATTCTAGCAAGACATGTCACTCCATATGTGAGTCCGGCATTTCTTGCACTCTCGATCACTTATTCTTTACAACTTACTGAACACTTCACACAAATGGTTCGATTATTTGTAGATTTAGAGAGCTCTATGACCAGCGTTGAAAGAATTCTTCATTATTGTCACGGAATTGATAGAGAAGCACCTACAGAGTTGGAGAATGATCCAATTCCAACACAATGGCCCACGCAAGGTCATGTGAAGATTGAAAACATGTCTGTGAAATATAGAGATGATTTGGATCCAGTATTGAAATCAATTTCGTTGGACATTCAGCCAGGAACAAAATTAGGACTAGTTGGAAGGTAAGTACAAGTGTGAAAGGAAACTTAATGGAGGTGGGAATATGTTTTTTTTTGAATTGATGAAAATATAGAACGGGTAAGTAGTATGAAACTCTGTTTTTTAATCACCCTTTGTGTTGTAACTATATGTGTCCCAACAACCATTCATTAGGATCTGGAAAAAGTAGTCTTTTAATTACCTTGTTTAGATTTATTGAGCCATTCCAGGGAAGTATCACTGTGGATGGTTTGAATATTTCACAGATTGGATTAAAGACTCTACGAAAATCACTCTTAATTATTCCTCAACAACCAGTTCTATTTTCAGGTACTTTGAGATATAATCTTGATATTTTCAATGAGTTTGAGGATTATGAGATTTGGAATGCTTTGGAAAGAGTCCAACTGAAATCAAAAGTCAGCCAATTTAGTTTGCAATTGAACGAAATTGTTTCAGAGAATGGTAGCAACTTTTCAATTGGTGAGCGACAATTACTTTCACTCTGTCGGTGCATTCTTCGAAAAGCAAAAATTATTATTTTTGATGAAAGTAGTAAGTATTCGAATAATTGGTGCAGATTTTAATTTCTTAATATAAACCATGGACGCATAATTTTCTCATAGCTGCATTTGTGGATCACAAAAGTGATGCCCTAGTACAAAAAATTATTCGTGAAGAGTTTAAAGATTCAACGATCATTACAGTTGCACATAGACTGGACACTATTATTGATTCTGATGCCATTGCTGTAATGAGAAACGGTGAAATTATTGAGTATGGTAAACCAACGGAACTACTTGAAAACCCCCAATCCCAATTTACCAAACTTGTCAACGAGACGGGCCATAAATACGCTTCTCACCTCATTGAACAAGCATTCAAAAAACAGTGTCTTGTCGAAGAACAATAAATTTCTTCAAATAAGTTGTTAAACTTTTGATGCACTATGAATGGACGAACGAAATTTGTGGCGTGTTTATTTAATATTTACAAGAAAAAAGATTAATGACTTCAATGATACGGGAGAACATTCTTCTTCTTTGGTTTTCTCCTCTTGGAAATTCCAATTGGACTTTCGCTAATGATCAAAGTAGTTGAATATTCAGCGGTGATTGGAACATAGGTTGTTGGAGGACTGACACCAAGCAACACAGCAGGAGATTCTGTTAAATACGACACTTCTTCATGAAAATCGTCTGCCATGTCCACCAAAGAAGATGATTTCTTCCTAATCTTTTTTCTTGATGTTCCTGGTGATTGCAATTTTGTTGCTGGAGGAGCCGAATTTGGAGTGCTTGGAATTTTGTTTTTAGATGACGCCTGTTTTTGCTTGAGATTGCTTTTTTTTCTTTGCTTGTTCGAGAACGAAGAGGAAGCAAATTGTGAATGATAGTAGCTGGAGAATGGAAGTGCATATTCTGATTGCTCGTAAAAATTGGATCCCTCTTGTTGTCTAAACTGCTTTCTGAGCTCTTTGAGCTCATGTTTGAGATCTGACGACAGCTCCTTCTTGTAATTCACAGTTTTTCTTACCTTCGACATGTTGTGCACTATAAAATATGTGCATGTTTCTCTCAAATGTTTAACGTCATAAGAATCAGCAATTCCAAGAATTGTGGAAACGTTTCCTGGATGAATCTTTTTCTCGATGACGCTTTGGCAAATCAAAGACAATCTTTCTATTTGATAAATTTCAGCAGCAATTAACAACTCCACGGAAATATCAAAATTGACCGATACATTTCCAGTATAAAGATATTGAAGCACCAATTTGAACACTTCTGGTCTAATGCCGCTCAATTCGTATAAATCAACCTTTTGTACTCCATAAGTAAGTTGATCCTTCGGTTTTGATGCAAGCATTCGTCTGAAGAATTTAGATCGGGACATTAAAATACAACGGTGACAAGCAATTCTTTCCTTCTCTGTACCGACCTCAAATAATACATCACAAATTGAATGATCAGCCTGTTGCAAAGTAGTATTGCTGAGAATTGTACTGAAAATGTTACCGCCATCTTGAGTTGATATAGACATTGGAGAGTTAATCGAATAAGAGTCGTCGTCATCTTCGGATTCAGGTTCATTGTGAGAAGGAGTAGAATAGTGACTAAAATCGAAATGAATTTTCGAGCCTGGTGAATACATCGGAGAAGATAGATCCGTGTCTTGTTTCTCCAACAGAACACTTTTTTCAGTTGACTCAAACAGCCTCTTCATGTCAGAATACAAAGCTGGAGCCGGAATGGAAGAAGTGATAGTTGAATCCAGATGTTTTGAACATAGAGCAAACAATCTGTCAATAGAAAATGCAACTGCCAGAAACACCAGTTCAAAAATACAGTTCTTAATATCGACATCTGGAACTTCTTCTCCATCCAGAAAGCCAACTCTATCAGTGTAAAGATACTCCAAAAATCCATGGAATCCAACACTTTTAACCTTTTCGTCTTTTTGCTTCAGAGACTGGAATTCGTCAGTTTTAGCTTTTTTCTTTTTCATGAGAGCATCAGCTGCATCTCCAACATTAACTATATCATTTGCCACTCCTTTTATGCATTCCCTGTATAATAGGGGAGACCGTGCGTAGATAATTGGTTTGTGAGCATGGTAGAATTGTCCGTTATACTCTAAAATAGTGTCAGAGAACTCTTCATTGTCAATCAAAGAGCTCAAGTCAGTCGTTAGTGTGGATCTTCCACAGTCTATAGGTTCAATACCTCGAATACCAGTTTCCAAAGTATAGACGTTAGTGGACATCTCTGAGTTGTCTTGATCATTATTATATTTTCCACCAACAATCCATAACTTTGTTCCAGCTAATTGGGTGGTGTGTCCACAAAGTGAGGGAGGGGAAGAAGAATTTCTATCAACATGTGGATGTTCAACATCCCATCTAAAGTGTTCCAAGTCCAGTACCATGAGATCCTTTGATTGAGAATGAGAGCTCACTAATCCACCAAAGACAATCATCTTGTTGGCAATGACATTGGCAGTGTGATGAACTCGTTTGGCAGAATCAGTCGTTCCTTCAATCTTAATATTCTTCCAAGTAAGGGTGTCAAGGTCAAGACTGTACAAGTCGTTAAACAATGATTGATCGTTTCCCCCTCCAAAAACGTAAAGTGAGTTGTTGTAAAGGACGCAAGAATGGCCATATCTTGGTTGAGGTCTAGAACCATTGGTCTTTTCTCTGACCCAAGTATTTGTTTCAGTATCGATAACAATAAGATCATTATAATATTTGGTTCCATCAGTACCACCAAACACATAAATCTTGGTTCCATCAACGACGTTGGCAGTATGTCTGTACATGATTTTGTAAATTTTAGTAGAAAATGAGTAATATTGCATGATCAACACTTACCCAAATAAGGCTGGTAAATTGGGTTCAGTAGAATGGCGAGCCGTACACTTCACTTTCACCCATTCCATGCTTTCGATATTGAACTGATAAAGAGCATTGCTTGGGGTGCCCTTTTCTAATTGACCTCCATAAATATATAAAACAGATTTGGAGAGGGCTACCATAGTGTGTTGAAAAAGTTTCGGTAATTTTGCATTTTCGAAAACCTCATAATCATTTCTAATTAGCTTTTCGTGCTTGTTTGCACGTTTGATAAGTGATGGTGTTGTTGTTGAATGTGTTTTAGTAACCTTTTTCTTTCTAAGAATCTTAATAACATCGTTTAAACAGTGATATTCGCCTGATTCTAAATCATAAACTACGAAGGAGTTAGTAACTTGTTGACCTTCCACTTTGTCCACTCCTCCATAAATGTACATTTGCTGTTTGTTGATGATTACAGAGGCGTGAAAAAACCTCTGTAATTGATTGTCATTGTAGCTATTCCAAAACGATCCTAATAATCTTGCAACCCATATCATATTATAATATCTAAAAGAAGTATATAAAGTAAGAATGAAATGAAAAAGAAAAAACAAAGTTTAGAATTGGTCTCTAGAATGTAATACAAGCATATGAGGTGATGATGAAAAAAAAGAAGAAGAAGAATTAAATGTTGTTAATTATGATGATGGTGACTAGTGTATCAACGTGTCGTGAAAGCTACTCCAATCAAGTACACTGAATAGTGCTAGATGGCGATAACGGATTTCAGAACCAGGACTACTACGGGGATATAAAAATAATTCAATACCAGAATTCACTACTACAATGGAAAACTATGATCCTGATATTAACCGATTATTGTTATTGTATTTCTTGTTGTTGGTGATGATTTGGGAGGTGGTGATTGGATGTTGTTGATGTTGTTGATGAAGGTGAAGACTAAAACAGCAAAATTTTTTGTTGTTAAAAATAGATGAGAGCGCTGCAAAAATTGCCGATAATGATGAATTTGCGAGATGCAGTGTTATTTCAATTTGAATGAGGAAGCACAATGCTTGAGGCCTCGTCGACCAACAACAACAACGAGATCAATTACGATCACTGATGGTAATTTGAGGAGGTAATTTCGAGTTGGAACGGTGCAGTAAAATGTTGAGCGTGAATCCGAATGAGCAACACAAGATTGAGTTCAATCAGGACTAGCACAAGTTTCTGGATAAAAAATCAATGATTTTCATAAAGTTTGCAACACTTGCATCGTTCTTTCAAAAGATAGAAGGGAACATGTTTTCTTCAAAATTACCCGTTAAAGAATGACAACGAGCAAAAAGGCTCTTGAGTTTACAACACCTCTCATCTCACCAACAAAAAAAATCCACAGCATTCTACCGTCTGTGTAAGTAATATGGTTCTTCCAGATCAAAGCATGATTGATCACGAGCATTTTCGGATTCTTGTATTCTGACACGTATCTCATTCCATCATGAATCGATTTTGGTAATCTCGTTTTCAATCCAAATACTCTAGTATTACCAAGATGAAGAAACTCTCCACTCAAATCCTTCGCAATACTGGCAGCATTGCTCCATCCACCACCAATTCTGCTTCTCGTCGTCTCTTCTCCACCTCAACTGTAGCCAACAAGAAGAACAAGGTCGACATTAAATACACCAAGCTCTTCATTGGAGGTCAATTCGTTGAAGGAAGAGAGGGAAAGAAATTCTCTGTGATCAACCCAGCCACCGAGGAAGAAATTTGTCAAGTGAGTGAAGCTACCAAGGCTGATGTTGATGAAGCTGTCAAGATTGCCCGTTCCACATTTGAAAATGTTTGGAGAAATTACTCTCCTCATCAACGAAGTCGATTGATGAACCGATGGGCCGATTTAATTGAGAGAGATGCTGACTACATTGCTGATCTTGAGTCTTTGGACAATGGTAAGCCACGTGAAATGGCTAGAAATGCCGACGTTGCCATGACCATTTCCACCATTAGATACTTTGCTGGTTGGGCTGACAAGATCAATGGAGACACTATTCCATTGGAGGGTGATTACTTTTGTTACACTCAAAGAGAGCCTATTGGAGTTTGTGCTCAGATTGTCCCATGGAACTTCCCATTGTTGATGGCCACTTGGAAGTGGACTCCTTGTCTTGCAACTGTAAGTTTACACACATACTTGTGCAAACGATTTTTTGTAATTCACATTTGACACTATAGGGTAACGTTAGTATTTTGAAAACAGCCGAGCAAACTCCATTGTCTGCCCTGTATGTAGCATCTTTGGCCAAGGAAGCAGGTTTCCCAGATGGTGTCATTCAGGTTCTCAGTGGATTTGGTGAAACTGCTGGTGCTGCTTTGGTATAGTAAGTTTTTCATGTGTGATAATTCCTTAATCATTCCTTATTCTTTGTGATTGTATCCAAAATGTAGTCACAACGATGTTGACAAAGTTTCCTTCACTGGTAGCACTGAAGTTGGTAAAAAGATTCAAAAAGGTATGTTCCCACTTTTTCTTTCTGCAAGCTTTTGAATCTAAGTGTGATGTCTTGGTTACAGCTTCCGCTGAAAGCAACTTGAAGCGAGTCACTTTGGAACTCGGTGGTAAATCTCCATTGATTGTTTTGGGAGATGTCAAGGATCGTGAATCTCTCAACAAAATTGTTGATGTTGCAAACTTTGGTACATTCTTTAACCAAGGACAAGTATGCACCTGCAGCTCTCGTGTCTATGTTGCTTCAAGCATTTATGAAGATTTCTTAAAGATTTCAAAGGAAAAGGCTGAAAAGAGAATTGTTGGTGATCCATTTGATACGAAGACTGAGCAAGGTCCACAAGTCAGTGAGGAACAATTCAACAAGATTATGAGCTACATTGATTATGGTAAGAAGCACACTAGACTTGTCACTGGTGGTGAGAGACTCGGAAACAGAGGTTACTTTATTAAGCCAACAGTGTTTGCTGATGTCGAAGATACTCACAAGATTGCACAGGAAGAAATCTTTGGCCCAGTCATGAGCGTTATTCGTTACAATGATGATGAAGTTGAAGAGGCTATTAAGAGAGCAAACAGCTCTGAATATGGTTTAGCAGCTGGTGTTTTGACTAATGATTTGAACAAGGCAATCCGTGTTGCCAGTGGATTGAAGGCAGGAACTGTTTGGGTGAATTGCTGGAATGCTTTCTTCCAAAACGTGCCATTTGGTGGTTACAAACAAAGTGGTATTGGTCGTGACTTGGGTGAAGCTGCATTGCATGAATACACTGAAAACAAGTCTGTCATTACCTTTGTTCCTGGTTTGAAACGTCCATACAAATTTTAAATGATGATTTGGTAACTGCGTGCGTGAACAATTTACATGTAACAACAACAGTTAACATCTTGTATTACTACTACTCTATATTGGTGTGATTAATTTGTACTTTAAATACAACAACATTGTTCATGGCAACATCAATCCCTATTCATTTTTCGAAACCAAAAAATGAATCAACCAAGACCAGCTGCCGCAAATCAACCAAAACCTGGGCAAGGAATATCACCTTTGGCAAATCTCGGAAAGGAACAATTAGCCATTACAGATATGAGGTATGAGATTTTGGATAGAGAAATCAATAGATTGGGATTGTTGATGGAGCAACTGGTTGATGCTTCCCGAGTGATGGACCCCAATCCAATTTCAACGAAATATGTTAACAAAACTCAAAACGAAAAGGATGAATTACAACTATCTGTAACTGCAGCATCCATGGCTGATGCATGCCAAAATCTTCTCCGACTCACATCAGATTTGCAAAATAGTTATTTATTTTTTGATTTTGATCGGATAGAAAAGACACAAGCAAATTATTTGATTTATTTGGAGAAGCAAAACAACAGCGAACAATCTCAACCTTCTCAACAAATGTAAAATACAGTAATTTATTATTTAAAATTAATTATGTATTGATATTCAACATAGACACAAAAGTATCAAGTCGTGGTGAACAAAGAGGAGTGAAATTGCAGATGACACAAACTCATCAATAGAATGGCACTACACTCACTCTATAAATCTCTGATCCAACGTTTGGGGTTAAACACTGTGGACAGTACGTTAGAAACGTAGCTGCTTACTCGAGAAAGAAATGTTCTGTCCTCAGTCAGATGCACTAATACTGGATAATGCACATATTCGATTTGATCATTCTCTCTGGATGAAACTACCATTATCAACGCAATGGGCGTGTTATCAGAAAATTCATTGCTGACAGTAAAATCTGCTACTCCAAAAGGCATGTCATCAATGTGCTTACAGAATGAGTTTTTGCTATTTTCTGCCAAGCTTGAAAAAATTAGGGACATTTGGTGAACATGTTCCTCAAAGAATTGCCTTAATGTATCAGTTGCTTGATGTGTTGAGGTAGGAAACAATTTGTTGTTTAGCGCAGAATCATATCTGTAAATCTTGTATATATATTCTTTACATGCTCTGTATTGATACTTTTTTAAAGTTGCTGAATAATAGTAATTTGGATGAATAATTTTTCTATGGAAATCAAAATTTCCAGCTCTGGCAAAAGTAAATCCTTTCTTGAATAAATCAAATCCCTTCTGTTGCGATCTAATTGTTGACACAAGCTCTTGATTTTCTGAAACACCTGTACTATGAGCAAGCGGTACCATGACTGAATATTTGGTAGTCATGACCAATCTTTCATTACTAGAGACCTGTGATATTGACGATTTCACTAAAATTTTGTGTTGAGAAATCTTTTCAACGTGCAACTTCTCTTTTGGACTCACCAATACCTTATTGGATTTAAACCCTTGACAGACAATGCTTGCATGGGGTATATCAATAGAACTCGAATATGCAATATAATAATTCACTCCTTGTTTGAAAGGAGGAGTTGAAAATGATGTAATTGTCAAACCAGGATATGCAGAAGTTCCGTTAGAGCCCCACATTGAGTTTCCATCAGCAATCATGGCTGGGTCTGTACTCACGTTCAAAGTAGTGATGGCTGGAGTGCATCCACCATCTCCATCACACATGATTGAAATTGAAAAACCCTGATAGGTCGTATCATTCGGAGAAATGACTAATTCAAAATATAAAGGTTTAAAAGCAGTGGCAGAGATTGGATAGGGTTTGAATCCGATCGGTATGAATGATGGAAGAGCCTTGGGACTCAATGAAAGAGCATCAACCACAACGTTTAATTGATTTATACTACAATATGAAATAAATAATAAAAAACTCATCAATAATGAATATGAAAACGAATGGTGCGTTGTGTTACTGGTGTTCGTGGTCATTGTGATTCTTTTGAATTTGTTATTGCTGATGAAATTCCTTGGTGATGATAATTGATTTTCGGATGTTGACGCCGGCAAGCATGATTCACCAGGTGCGTTTTCGGTTCTTCAATGATTCGGATTTTTTTGAAGATATTAACGGAGCAGAGGCAAATTCTTCTCCGAACTTGTGTTACTTCAAACACATCTGATGTACATAATAATATATTATTTATTTAGAGTGACTGACGTTACAGTACTGATCATTTACTTGTTTTCATTTGAATTGGAATCATCTTTAAGTTGTTCTTCAGGAACTGTAATAGGATTTCAGATGTTATTCTGCAGTTTAAATTGTGGAATTATACTTACTTCCTGCTTGTTGCATTAACTCTCCGATGCTCTTTTCTAAGTCATCTATTCTGGTTCCCATTTCATCAACTAATCATTACAGTACAATTAATAATAATTATGGATGCTGGTTGAAATGATCACTGATCTATGAAATACATACTCCTTTTTATAATTGTGTCAGACATGTCTTGGAATCTTTTTTGCTGTTATTCATCATTGAAATTATTGTTTTGATTAGAATTAATGCCGAATGATTTGCAGCAGTTGTTGATGACATGATCCGCAGGTTTGTATATCATGATTATACAATGAGGGGTATGATGAATACAATCCGAGCTTTGATTTGTTTCGATTTCTTACCATTTGATGAAGCAAATTTTGCACAAATACGGTTAGTTCTTGTGTTCCTTGTGGTGGTACGCCTCCTTGATTGTCAGACATTTTTTATGGTTGTGGGTGATAGATGGCGCGTTCGGACCATTATAAATAATTTGAGATTTATTCAAAGAAAGACTTTGAGAGAGACATGGAGTTCAACGAGTCAGGTGCATCCTTAGTGAGGGATTTATAGGTTGGGAGCTTGGCAAGATGTAATCGATGATATTCCTCTCTAATGGAATCAATTTGTTTGTAAATGTCACACATGTCGTTCTTGATACTCTCGGAGAAGTCAATAGAGAAGAATGAATGTGACAACAGCTCGCTAGCTTTGGGCCTTTTTTCAGGATTTCTTTGTTGGTTTGCAAGTTAGTTTTCCATTTTAACCTTTAACCTACTTACAAATCAAGACAATGTAAAATCAAATCGCGCAACTCTGCCGAAATGAAGGAAGGAATGTTGTCATATATCAAATGCACGTTATTGATCATGAACTCCACGTACTGATATTCTGTTGTTAAGTTCGGAGGATATGATAGAAACCAAATGTTCTTTCCCAAAAGCATCTCAAGTATTGTCATACCCACACTCCAAATGTCTGGAGAATGATCCAAATCGAAATTATTCCATTATACCAATTGTACGCTTAGTTGAAAAGTGTCAATAAAACTTACCAGGAGCGTGAGATCTTTTGAAATTAATTTCGCCTTTGAGTTGCTCAATACATAAAAACGGAATTGTACCTGTAAGAGCTCCTTTGGTTTTTGAGAGTGTTAATGATCCAGATTGTTTTGACTTGTCTAAATGGCTCTTTTTACAAATTAGCTTGGATTCACCAAAGTCGCACAGCTTAATCAACTCTGCATTCTTTAACGCACAATATACAACTTGGATTAAGGAATGTCCACTTACCTTTAGCAATATGTTGTCACATTTTAAGTCTCTGTGAAAGATAGGTTCATCTCGCTCTTCATGGAGATACTTTAAAGCGCTGAGAATTTGTTTCAAGTACAATTGTATGACTCCTTCTGTCAAGCCTCTTCCCATTCTTTTCAAAATTTGTTTTACCGAGCCACCACTCAAAAACTCCATCATGATGTATACCCACTCTGAAGAGAACTCTACGCCCTTAAATTGAACAATATTCTCATGCCTTAAAGTCTTCATAATGGAAGTTTCTCTCTCTATTTTTTGTTTTATGTTTGTTTCTGGCGAGTAAAGTATTTTCTTTACGGCAATCATTTCGTTATGTATCGAATCGTACACAAGAATCACTTTTCCAAAAGAACCCAGTCCCAATGACTTCATGACAATCCAGCCTTTAGACAATTCGAAAGATTCGCCAAACGGAGACAAAGGCGTGTCAGCAGGCGATTCCGAGGTGTTTGATGGCTTACTTGTTGGTGAATCAGGTTTGGTCACTATTTGTACTCTCACTTTAGCTCCTTTCAAATCTTTAATCGTGTCCACATCTAACCATTGTTTGTACTCTCGGTCAAAATACATGAGAAGAATTTTTTCTTTTCGATTAATTTGAAACTTGTCCTTAATTTTCCTGGAGATGGCATGAAGTGTCGTAATGGACGATGTTCCAGCAACAAATTCAACTTTCTTTTTTCTTCCTTGATACTCGGCTATGAAAGAGCTGATTGGAGGATTGATGACGGGTGTTTGTGTGGCTGTTCGAGAAGTTTTAGGTTCTTCTAATCCCATTTGTTTCGAAGATGGCTTGGATGGGTCTGAGACTTTGCTTTTTCTAGAAGAAGTCAGTCTTTCTGTTGGTGGCTTTGTTGGAGGTTTTGACGTTCCTGCAGTGGAGGGAGAGCTTGAAGGGATCACAAACGATATACTTTTACGCTTTAGAAATGTATGTGTAGCATTGGGAATAGACGGGGTGTTGGTAACGGGATTGCTAGAAAGGGAATTTGTGGAACCAGTTTTTGAGCTATTAGTGACAGTTTTCTTATTCACCTTCCTAATATTTTCATTTTCTTCACCGCTTCCCGTATCTCCTATTTTGGTCTGCTTTTTCTCTTTTACAATCACATTTTGCTTAGTTGATATAGTAGTATTAACACTAGGTTTGGTTTTCTTAATAACAGGTTTCTCAATGACTGCATATTGAGAGACATAGTGTTCTGGTTTGGTGAATGTAGATGATGGAAGGAAGGGAGGACGAGTGGAATTGCTCGAGGATGGTTTTTTCTTGGCAATATATGATTCAGATGACCGTTTTGGATACAGTTTTTTGAGTGCATGTTCTGCGTGTTTGCTGTCGGCAGTACTGGAGTTAAGAGAGGGTGGTGACGAAGGATGTTTTGGTGCCGAAGAAACAGATCGAATGGATGAAATTGAAGACGAGCTTGAGTTCAGGTTGGAAAGAGTTTCGTCACAATCCGTGTATTCTGTCAAAACCTCTACCATGTCCAAATACTGAGCTACTTCTGCGTCATCATATTCATCCGAATAAGCATCCAATTCTTCTCTTTCGGTCTGCGAAATTGAATGAACTGAGTGTTGTACATCTAACTGGAGAGATGAGGCATTAACAGGTATTTTCAAAGGAGGGATTATGACTTCTTCATCCTCAAAGGACTGATTAATTACAGAAGGATGGCTTTGACTGGAAATAATGTGTTCTTGCTGAAAAGGAATAGGGTTAGAAAACAGTGACGGATTCACATAAAATGGCATTGGAGAAGCTGTGGTTGACGAATTGGCAGAGTCTGAGGAGCAATTATAGGCATCTTCTTTCAGAACTAGAAAGAATTGTGATGGAGCGGAATAAATAGTTTCTTCATGTGGTTCATGATTGAGAGCAAAGTTTGAAGTGAGGCAATCATCTAAATGGTTCTCTGTCCTTTCATGTTGCAGATGATTGCTTGTGTCTGGATTACATTCTTCAATGCTCATCTTCCTTATTTCGGAAGTGGCCGCTTCTTGGCTTGCAACCAAGGAATGTTCATCAGCGCCCGAATCGTGAATGAAATGGTCTGTATCTTTTGAAATATCGCTGCTCATTCCTCCTCACGCTTCACTGTTGATTTGATGAATTGGTTTCTTGGCAACACTATGAAGAGGATAGAATCCCAACAAGTTTCAATAAGCCACACGAGATAAGGCAAGAAAAGGCGCCAATTTTTTTGGAGTGCGTCTCAGAATATTACGAAATCTCCCTCTCGAGCATTCTCAAGCTCACGGAGTTGTTCATGAGAGAAAAGACCTCAACATGTTGTTTCAACAAAAAATGCACAACAGAAATGTTATGGTGACAGGAGCATCATCGACTGGAGTTGCCATGACCACATCATTCACACGCAATGGCCCCACTTCATCCTCTCATGACTTTACGAATGACTTTGAACCGATAACCAGCCAAGTATCATCATCATCATTGAACAGCAATTACACACCCAACAAACCAATGCTAATACGGAGTACCCACCATCAAAAATCTCCTCTCATCACTCTGATCCGAAGATTGTGTTGTTGCTGTATGAGTAGTAGCAAAACATCACGTGCTGCTGGAAATATTCGAGGAGGAATGAACAAGTCTCGTGTGACTGTGTCAGTGGCCATTCTCTTTTCCTTGTTCATATTTTTGTTTTTGGTCTTGCAATCGAAATTTAATATCATCACGAGCCACTCGAGCAATTCGGAAAACAAATTGGCCAAGAACTCTCTTCATACGAAGGAATCTAAATCTCATCAACAGCAAACTCTTAAATTAAGAGCTTCTTCTGATCAACGATTTTCATGTGAAGATGGAGGAGGATATGAAGTCACAGATTCAAAACTCACCATTCTTGTAACACCATCATTGAGAGAGAGTGATTTTAAATTTATTACGAGTCAAAACATTGGAGAAAATGTCATCTTGGAATGGCTGTTATTTAAAGAAAAGGATCAAACAACTCCCAAGTTTTTGAAAAAACTCCAAAAGAAAGTAATTCTAGTCGATGAGATCAAGAATGAAATGGAATTATTGAAAATAGGATTAGAACATTCGACAGGAGAGTATTTATTCCTTCTTCCTTATGAAGTACATTTATTTGGAACATCCTCTCAAGAAATATTTAAATTGAAGTTGAGTCAATTGAAATGCAATACTCAATCTGCTATTTTGGGTTCCATGCTCATTTATCCAATTAATGTCATTTCACAAAAACCAAGTTATAATTACACAAGCGCCAACGACCTCGACTCATCTTTTAATATTTATAGTATGACATACAGACTTTCAAAAAGAGACAAGAATATTCCAGTACCTTATCATTACAGAAGAGGTAGAAACTACTTTTCGCTTCCAAGCTCGTCTAAAATACATTTAGACAATAACATTTGTGTGGCATTTGCTGGAGCCTTCTTCAAGACCTCAAAATTCAAAAATGTGAAATTCGATATCGATTACATGAGTCGAGAATTGAATGAGATACAATTGTGTCTACAGCTCTACAATCAAAAGAAACACATTGTGTTTGATCATCAACCACAAGTTGATGATTTTTCTGTTGTAGTTCCCTACGTGTTGCCAAACGTAGAATCAGTCTCAGAAGAGGACAATTCAAATCCTTGGAGTTTTGTGCTGTCACGTGCCTCCTCTCGGAATGAAGAAGAACATTCTAAGTCCATCAATGCCTATGAACAAGCTCCACCAACAACCAATCGATTTATTCCTTTCAACACTTATTCAATTGGAAATGTGAAAAAATTCCTTAAAAAACATACACAGACTCTAAATGAAATTCTTGACACAGAATATAAGAAACACATGAACAATATGACAAGCATGTCATTGGTATGGGATTTTGGCGCTGGCTCTTGCTCTGGTTGGTTCATGGAAACTGAAGAATTTGTGACCAATTTAGACATGGAATATAGAGCACCCAATTTGAGAATTATTACTGGAAGAGAAGACATGTGCCTTGGATTAGAGTCTTACAAATTTGAAAGTCTCGATCGATTAATTTCTCGAGATGACATTAGCTCTGATATTGACATTTTCATTTCTCACAAACCTCCAACGAGATATCCAAAATCATTTCCCTACAAAGGACTGGTTCAGTTGAGTGGAATTCCAAAATATGTCATTGGAAGAAGTATGCATGAATCTGAAAAATTACCACAAGAATGGATTTCCAATTTGAAATTAGTGAATGAGGTGTGGCTACCAAGTAGTTTCCTTGTGGATATTCTCGTTAAGAAGTATCATGTGAGTCCTGAAAAACTTCAAGTCGTTCCAGAACCTATTGACACAGATTTCTATAGTCCTTACTATTCAAAGTATTTACGAATTGATCAATTGAAAAAGATTGTCAAACAACTTGACTATGAACCAAATCATTATCACTTTTATTCCGTTTTCAAATATGAGGAAAGAAAAGGGCCAGAGTATTTATTAATGGCTTATTTTGATGAATTTGCCAATGTGAAAGATGTGACTCTTCATTTACAGACCTACATGTTCATGCATCCCAATGGACGAGATCAGAAAGTAGTCGAGCAAGCAATCGATGAGATTCGTCACGAATTTCTCAAAACACGAAAAGATTTGAAACGAGAGAATTTACCTCGTGTCAATATTATTTCACAAGTTGTTCCAACAACGGTCATGCCTCACATGTATCATCATATGGATTGCTTTGTGCTACCAAGTCGTGGAGAGGGATTTGGATTACCATATGCTGAAGCCATGTCCATGGGATTACCAACTATTGGTACAAATTATGGAGGACAACTTCAATTTATGAATTTACATAATTCTTATTTGATTGATGTGATTGGAGAGAGAGATCCAGATCAAGAATTTGTGATACCCAATGTCAAACATTTGAAGAAACTCATGAAATATGTCTATTCAAATAGAAATGAAGCAAAATTGATGGGAAAAAGAGCTCGACAATACATTGAACAGAATTTAACACATCAAGTAGTGAATCAAATATTAATTAAACAATTGAGAAGAATTGAAAAGAAGATACAACAAGCAAATTCTCAACAACAGATGAGTGACAATGAGAAACAAGCAAAATCAAACAAGCAGTTGAAAATTGAGAAGAGATCACGACTAAGGTAAAATTAAATTATTGAAGAATTTGAACATGATTTTCAATCTTCGTTTGAATTCCTCAACTTACCATCAAAAAAAATGATTGCTTCAAAATTTTCATCTTTCACTTCACGTTGTCTTGGCAATTGTTGTTTCTCTTCTGTAAAATATTACTCGTTCATAAACTACATCGGAATTAGAAGGAATAATGGCCTTTTCAAAATAGAAAATCATGAGAACAAGCTCTTTTCAGTGTTTCATCATAAAACTCAATTCGGCAATGTTAATCATTATTTATTGTCATCATCTTCAGGAAAGAAAGACACAAAAGAAGATGATGATATTCAAGAGGAAGAAGACCAAATTGACGATAATAACGCTAGCGATTTTGAATACATACCTCCAAAACATGTAAATCCGGAGGACTTGCATCCCGACCGCCCAATATTTGATGGACATATTCCGAAGGAGAAATTAATTATTACATTTTCGAGAAGCTCTGGACCAGGTGGCCAGAACGTAAATAAGGTCAATACCAAAGTTGACGTTAGACTGCCAATAGATTCTGCTGATTGGATTCCTGACATTGTTAAAGAGAGGCTGAAAGAGCTCTATGCAAACAAAATTAATAAGGAAGGTGAATTAATCATTCAGGCATCCAGTTTTAGAACACAAGATCAAAACATGAAAGATGGAATTCACAGATTGAAAGGATATATTGCAGAAGCATACAATATTCCTAAAGAATGGAAGCCCAGGGAAGGTAGAACCGAGAAAGGAGATGCTATTCGATTGAAAGATAAGAAAAAGCATTCTGAAAAAAAGCAAAGAAGACAAGAAGGAAAGAGAATACGAAATATTTATGATATTTAAAAGTCTACTCTACTTGTGAAAGGAGAGAAATCCATATTAACAATATTTTACGTTCGTTCTATGTACATATTCTCGAACAATAAGGAATTTTTCTTTTCGTTCCAAGTTTGCTCTTTGCTCTGCTGCTAAATATTTCAATCTGAACATACTGGTAAATTTTGCAAGGAAATAAGAAATTATAAGAAATAAGGCAACAAGAGAACCCAGAGTTATTTTGTGAGTGGCATAAAACAAAATATTTTCCCATGTCATGGCAGCGTTTTCATCCTGATAAAAAGCAAATGCCATGGACAACGAGTTCATAGCTGCCTCTACAGGCATCTGTTCTGAAGCGAGAATGGATGCTCTAAATGGACCACAAACATTTCCTGATGATTGGAACAAGAAGAAACCTAGTGGCACCAAACAAAGGACAAAAGTCACAAGCAACATGTTCAGATTAAAAGGGCTACTTCTGCCTCTCTCAAAAGGATTGTCTGGGAATTTACACACATACTTCATCACCAAATATTTTGCAAAATAGAGAATAAAGTTCGAAATCAACCCTGCAATGGGAATCATTGGTGACATAATCATGCCAACAAAAATTAAACTCTGTCGATAGAGAAGCTCAATAACATGATCTGGCACAGAAAACTCCAATTTACCACGTCTGTTTGCCTCGTATTCATCTGCACTCTTCTTCATTGTGCATTGACGTCCAATTTTGTATCGAATAGGTGTGAAAACGATTGTCTTGAACATGTTGATACCAAATTCAATCCATATCATTTGCCAAAAAACCAAACCAGCTTCCGTTTGAACACATTTTCCGCCATCGTTGGACAAAAACAATTGTCGAATCATGAGAGCCACTGTGGTTGACATTTTCACAATAAAAGTTCTTATAATTATGTTCCATTCACTTGTAGATCGTTCTGCATAAGCTTCTAATACAACCATGTATGAAATAATTATTGGAAAGAATAATGAAATGAAAGAAGATAGGAGTGATGTTGTGTAAGGAAAAGTTGCATCAATAACATCATAATATTGCACAATAAAAGAGACGCCAACAGGAGTTCCAAGAACTATTAATCCGCTGATAGAGATGCCAATCACTCTTCTCAAGACAAGAATCGCAATTTCTTTCTTGGTCATACTTGATACGACAGCCTCTTTCGCAAAATCTGCATTTCTGTATTCTTGAAGTTTTGCAGCAATATATCTTTGCAAATCTTTCACTCCTTGTTTTGTATTTACGCTAAATGAAAAACTATTGAACACAGCAGATAAATAACGAATGTTACGATCTATTCCAGCATGTTAAATCTGAGCTCTGATGTGCAACATTAACTTACCATCTGCTCGACGGACATTCGTCACCTTGGCTCCAATACTTCTACAAATTATGATAATTGCAATAATAAAGTTAAGAATGACCACAAATATGTACACAAAGGCAAAAGGCCAAATAACTGTCGAGAAAAGCACTAGCCGATCTTCGTATCCTCCAAAAAAGAAAAATGTTTGACCTATCATGTTTGATTTGGATCCTATAATACCAAGGAATAGGTCTAAATTCCAAATGTCTGGCCATTCTGCTGGTTTCCTTAGTAACCATGGTAAAATTAGCAAAATAAAACAGGACACAGACAAGAAGAAATTCATTCTAATGACCGAATAGAAAAAGTCATAATAGGTAGCAATTCCGCTTCCAAACCTGTGTTCAATCACGGAAAGTGACCGAGCAAAGGGGTTGAACCGAGCGAGGTAGCGATGATATCGATTTCCTCCCCACCATGATCGAACCGAGGACAGCCATCGGGCTAATTTGGATCTTCTTTTTAGTGCCTCCTTTTCATCTCTAGCCAAGGCACGCAGCCTCTCTCTCATATTCGTTAAATCATCATGCTCAAATTCTTCCTTAACAAGCTCTAAAACCTCAGGTTTTTGAGCCTCAATCCATTCCTTATTATTTCGGTTAATAACAGTTTTTTGTTTGTTGTGGATAAATATTGAAGGAGAAAATACTGAGGAATCCTCTTGTAGTTGTACAGCAGAGAGTGATGCATTGATGGAATTGAGATCGTTGTTAATCGTATTGTTTGCTGATGGTTCTTGTCTTGGTGATGAGATATCTTCAGCAAGGGAAAGCTTAGTTGGTGTTGGAATGGGAATTACAATATCCTGGCCAATGCTCACAGAGCTTTCAGTATTGTACTGATGTTTCATTGATTTCAGTTCAAGATTCAAATCCGAAGAATTCAGTACAACATTTCTCATTTGATCATACCGAATTTGCATTGGCATTTCTACCTCAAGCTCTCCGTCTTCATCATCCTTGTGAGGAGGGTTACCAATAACCATTCCCCAGTTTCTGTTGTTTGAGGCCATGTTTGAAGAATTCCGACCAGCAATTGTGGTGGTGCTTGCTTTTAAATTTAAATATTCAAATTTTTTGTGTGATGGAATTTGGCCTTCCAACAACTGTAAATTCACAACGTCCAAAAAAAGGAAGTGGCCAATCTTGTTCGAAACAAGCCGACGGAAATAAACCTTCAGATCATTGATATTGTGGGAAAACCATTGCTGGATCGCTCTCTCATCCAAGCAGAATCAGCAGTGAATCAAGACTGCGAATGCGGCGACAAACCTGCGACTGGATTTTACCTTGTAGTTTCGAATTTAAAAATTCCTAAACCATCATTCCAATTTGAAAGAACAACCAAACCTTAAAAAATGTCCAAAGTTCCTACAGAGACTGTCGAGCTCGGTATTCGTGAGTTGAGTACGTACGATGGTTGGACCAAAGACAGTGAAGACAATGGTGTCACACTGTACACCAAGAGCTTGTTTTCGGATCGTTCCACTCCGAGCATTAAAGTACGTGTATTTTATTTTTATGTTGGCGATCGGAATAATTGTTGGTTCGTCGTTAATACTTTGAAAATTCTGTTTGCAATACTATCATAATTTATATGACTGATCCTGAATTTTAAAAAACCAATGATGAAATAATTCCTTAATAATTGTTGCTCTACAATTATTAAGTTTACCGGAGTCGTGGATGAGCCAATAGAGGACGTTTTTGAAGTTGCCCGAAACATTGATTACAGAATTCATATGAATGAAACCACAGTTGAAGCAAAGTGGCTAGAACAACCTCAACAAACTCAAGACGGAAAGAGCTATGATGTATTCTATACTCGCCTTAAAGGACCATCTTCTCTCGTGTCCCATCGTGATTTCATCATTGCTCGTATATGGTGGTACAGTGAAGCTGAAAAGGCTTGGTGGATGGTCATGAGAAGTGTCAAGTTGGATGGTCCTCAAGGAAAAGAGGTGAGTGGTGTCGTTAGAGGAGAATTCTTGATTCAAGCCTTTAAATTCGAATCGGTCAATGATGGAAAATCAACCAAATTCACCATTGTGGCACAAGTGGAGTATGGTGGATGGTTACCCTCCAGTGTCATTTCATTCTTCCAAAAGAAAATACCAATGGACATGAAAACCAAGTTAACAGCAGGTGTGATGGCATTGAGAAAAGATCGTAACAAGCAATAATGTAATTAAATTGGTTACACCTTCATGCATGAAGAGGATTAAAATTGCAACCAAGCTGTCTTGTGTCAGTGATTTTTTGGACCATCCATCAAAACAACTGAAAAAATGACCATCACAACAGACGATGTTCACGAGTCTTCTACCGTCGGATTGAATAAGAAGCAAAAGCAATTGTTTGATCTTGTCAAACCATATCTCTTCATGTATGTGCGATAAAGAATTTTGCGTCACATGGCAAGAACAAAAGAATTTAATAATTATATTTTCATCATTAATTGTTATTATTTTCAAACATCGGAATCATCATAATTGAATGATTTGAATGATTTCAAAATAGATTTGAAATGATATGTGCTTTTGAAGTTATTCTTCTTGTATTTGTATTACTTTCAGCCATTACAACATTCTTTGATTCTTTACCAAAATTAAACAAACAGGACCATGAATGTTCGAGCAATAGTATTTATTACATTATATTATCTATGGGAATTATGGGATTAGTTGAATTGATTTTGCTTGCAAGCACATTTCAATTATCAACTTTAGAAGAAAAACCACTTTTGAAAAACGAAATTCGGAAAACAGCAGGATCAGGCATTACTAATTTCTTTACGTTGGCTTGTTTTGTCACTCGTTTGGCTTTGATCATTGCAAGTACGTCGATCATTGAGGCACCTGCATGTTCGAAAACAACCATTTACACTACTGACCTGCATTACTTTGTGATTTGTATGTGGCTATTTTGGTCCTTTTCTGCTCTTCTCATGATCCCCAAGTTGTATGCATTTGTCAAGTCAAGAAATATCACTCGAGAATTTTACAAGCATAGAGATGCAACTAATTCTTTGGATGTTCATTTAACTGATGATGAAGAAGAATTATTAACCAACAAGTAAATCTTGTGTAAATCATTTATTGGTCTATTATGGTGGTAGGAATTGATCGAAAGGTCATAGACCTGCCCACAGATATCAATTTCAACACGACTTTCCACAATTTCCAAATCACTCGACCTATCCATCAAGTAGAGGTTCAAGTCCTTTCTTCTGTCATTTTTCGTCCAATGAAAATCGCTTGACTTTGCGCAAATGTATTTCCTCGCCACTTTATTCACCAAAGTTCGAAGTTGATGACAAGCATGGCGGTTGGTGAAAAGCACAAGCACACAAAAAAAACTCTCATCATCTCCTTCTCTCTCGCAACAAGGCTTGTTTTTTTGTGCACAAAAACACACAGGAAACGTTTTTTGTGTGGTCCACGCAAGTGATAAGCGCCTAGTATTCTACAATAATTTTCCTGCTAGTATTTTAGATTGAGAAAATTCGGTTGAAACGTTAGCGCTAGAGCTCTGTTTTGCGGAATTTGTTCAATTATTGTACAATTATTTGCACATTCATTTGGAAATATCAATTTTTTAATAATAGAAACAACAACATGCACTCCTACACTCATCATCACATGATGGCAACTCTCACACGAGAGCAGCTGGAAAAGTTTGTGGAAGAGAGGCCTCATCTTCAAGACAACCTCCGATGTCGCAACATTCTCCGAGATTATGAAAATAATCAAGTTTCCCACACACTTTCTTCTACTATTGAAAAGATTCTGTGGAAGAAAAGGCAATCCAATCTCTCACAAAAGTTGGAAAATAGACCTAACTTGGAACAGCTCGAACAACGAGGGATTTTACCATACCACATCAGTAGTGGATATACATCATCAAGTAATTCCAATCGTTCCTCGTCTGTTGAACAACAAACTTCAAGCTCTCCTTCATCAACATCCTCGAGTAATTCTGTGAGTGACAACACTCCACTTCATCAAGACTTTTCTTATATTTATGATCAAGAACAAGCTTTATCTGGTATTGGTCTTGGAAGAGAAGAGAAGGAACGAAAAAAGAGACACATTGAGAACTTTCTAGTAAGAAGACCTTCAAAGAAAGATCTTGTGGAGATGTTGAGGAAAGGAAACTCTATGGCATTACATTCCAATTTATCGCAAGTGGACAATGAACCCACTTTAATCTATGACGTTTCTGGCACTACTAGCAATGATCTCTCTCACGCTTCTCCCACCACTTTCCCGTCCTTTGATCCTATGTGCATTTTGTTAGAACCTCACGTTTTACAAATCCATAATCAGCTAGAGAATTTACAATCTGTCACAGACACAGAGTCGTCAGATGATTCCAATAATAACTCTGAAAGCGAAGACGAAGAAAAAGGTAGCACATCTCAATAGCTGTTTAGATTTACTGGTATCGTTACCACACCCTCAATACAGCAAACTCACTCCTAACATTGGTACTAGAACAGTTGTTCTCGTACAATCCCAAGTTGTCGACAAGCTCATCCTAACATCTAATTGATCAGCTTTATTGATGAAATAAGGGTGCATTGAAGTTGGTGCTTTAACAACGTGAGATGATAGCTCATGAAATTCAAAGAAACCGCCCTTGACATTGACAATAAAACAAATAACTGTATTTCGTTTGATCAAAACAAATTGCATTTACTCGTGTGAGGTAACAAATGGAACGTTGGTGCTTGTCTTTTCCCAATGGGTGTATTGCTTTGTTTTTTGCAAACGTGTGAAGGTGTCATAAATGTTCATGAACAATTCAGACCACAACAAATCCATGACTGATTTCACATTCACTTCTTCGTTGTGCTTCTTTACCATCTCACTATTTTCAGCAATAGGTTCGGCTACATGGATTAAACTTTCTCGTGTGCTAGCCAGTGAAGCATGTTTTGGATCCGAGTTGGGCTCTATTAATGAGTAGAACTTTTTCTTGCAATCCGATGAAAAATTAATCTCATTGGGTGCACTTGGCCTCACATATTCATTATAAATTTCTTGCAACACATCTTTGCTGACCACTGCTTGCAGGTTGTTGAAATCTGATGACAAATTCTTAATTTTTTCCCACAGTAATAAATTTTCACATGCATATTCTTTTTCTGCAAAAACTTTAAGAATACTGTAAAAGTAGGCATCTGAAAGCATGAGAGTTTCGAGATCGTTTTCTTGTGATTGATTTCTTCGTGCGTAGGATTCTTTCTTATTTCGTACCAACTTGATGGCCTTGTTCATAAAATCATCGTCGTATTTGGCACCTTGCAATTTTGCTCCAGCCACACAATATCCAACCGATGCTGGATCAATACTTGTCAAATCACAATTTCTCAAACTAGAATTCATCAATTTAGCACCAGTAATATTACATTTTGTAAAGAGACATTCGCTGAGAGACGAAGTGCTAAGATTGGCATTTGCAAGATTAGTTTGTGTAAAATTACTCTGTGTGAGAATGCAATTAGATAAATTGGCATAGGAAAAATCAAGACCAGAAAAGTCCATCTTTTTAAGACTACATCCACTCAGGTCAATACCAAACAAACTCTTTGATTTTCTCAAAAAGTCTGCATTCACAATGGCTCGATTCAATTTGGCATTTGCTAAAATATATCCTGTCGAAGAGTGTGAACAAGTGGTAAGATCACAAGCTTTCAAGTTGGCATTGGATAAATTACAATTTTCAAGGATACATCCATCCAATATACTTCCTGTGAGAGAGGCATTCGTCAGAGTGGCATTTCTGAAATTCACATTCGTCAAATTACATCCACTCAAGTTCACATTGGTCAAATTGCATTTTTCAAAATTACATCCATTCAAATTCGTGCCACAGAAAGAAGATCCCATTAAATTCAAACCACTAAAATCAGAATCGGTAATGACACCATTGGTAATTTGAACATCACGTAAAGAGACTCCTCTCAAATCCACATTGGTCAGTAACAGTTGAACATTTTCCTTCATGGAATAGTTCAGTAAGTGATCCATTTCATATTGTTTGATCTTGTTATATGTCTTGTTCGTTTTTGAAAGACCAAATTTAGACATGGTCTCTTTCAATAATTCACAACTTTCAATTTGTTGTTTTAAATTTCGCAGACCAAATTCCTCAGCCACATCCACAAGAAGTTTACCTGTTGGTGTATCGACTCGAATATTTCCATATCGAAGCCAATGCAATATATGAGAAAAATGTTCAGGATCACAATCAATGTAATGCTCTGTGTCTTGATTAGATGCATTCTCAAACATGGTTGCAAGCAAGGATTCAGGTTCAAATTCTCGATTCAAGAGTGTGGACAGTGACGTCTGCATAATTTCACCTCCTACATCCAAAGTCACAATTTGAGAGTGTTCTTCCATGAATCGTTTCTTGGCAAGATCCGAAATTTCATTTTGAAGATTCATCTTTTGACTGGTCAATTCTTTACGATTCGACTCTAATTTTTTGACTCTTTCATTGGCAGCAACAATCTTCAATGAATATTCATGGTGTAATGCTTCGATTCGTTGTTGTTGAATCTCTTCAAAATTGGTTTCAATTTCAGTTTTACAATCGTTCTGTACATGTTTTTCAAAATTAACTCTTTTCACATACTCGTGACATTGAGAGCATCTTCCAATCAGTTCTTGATATTGTTTCAATAATGAATCATTTCGAGTGGAATCTAAATGCAGTGTCCATGGAACCTTTACAATATTATTTTCAAGACTTTTTTCACACACTGGACATTCATGATTGGAGGAGAGACACTTGTAGCAACACGACAAAATTTCACATCGAGATTGATTTTCAGACGACAAGTTTTCATCCCAAGTCTTGTGGTTTACATCACCACATGAAACAGGATTACCTTTTTCTTCTTCATGATGAGGATCATCATTCCTACTCGTTTCCACATGACTCAGAAAATAATCTAAAATGTCTCCACAATGATGACACACATTGAATAAATTTCTATCATCCATAGTTGTGGTAGTAGTAGTGGTAGTGGTAGCAGTACTCGTAGTAGCAGTAGTAGTGGTAGAAGTAATAATATTTGGTAGGACATGAATAAAGGAATAGAGTTTCGTGGAAGAGTCTCTGAGGGCCATCGATTTCACAATTGGTGTTGTTGTTATTGTTGTTATGGGTGTCTGACAAGAAGGGTTGGAAGGTGGTACAATTGTTGTTGTTGTTCGTGTTGTTCTTGTTCTTATTGTATTGGATGATGAATCTTCTTCATCATTCGTAATGATGGATGAGGTTGTTGAAGGAAGAGAGGATGAGAGTTGTTGTTGTTTTCCATGACTCTGTTCTTCATCTTGCCATAAAGATGGAGAACCATTCAAAACAGTACTCGGTGCTGATGATGAAGGATATATTCCTCCTCGGGTTGGAATTGACGTGTTTGTTGTGGTAGTAGTAGGATTCAAGGAAGAAGATGTCAATACGTGATGAGGATGTTGTTGAGATTTAAAGGCTGACCTTCGAATTCGAAATTGTGGAAGAGAGGTAGTCGTTGTTGTTGTTGCTGTTCCATGATCGTTATTATTGGAAGCGAGAGCTCGTTCATTCGGTGGAGAAGTGGAGGACATTTTTTGGAGTTATGAACTTTAACTCCTTGAATTTAGTGGAATTTTTGGAGGGAGAATGACAGCTGAAAGGTTGCATTTATGGTTGCAGGTTGTGATAGAACGTGATTGGAGGATTAAGCCAACACACATTTACCTTCTTCAGGAGCTTCCTTGTTCTTCAAAAGAAGCTCCTCTCTCGAATAATTGGGAGATTGAACATGGTGATGCAAAACTAAATGCTTCTCCCATGGAACGGTTAAAAATGATTTGTAAATGGATTCGTCTGCATTTTGTTCCTTAATTCTAAATTCTTGGGGACCAAACATCATGATTTGTCGATCTTGTTTCCATGAAAATAAACAAGCTCCAGCACCAATATGAAAGGGATTTAACTCAATCACCATGACTCCTCTTGTAGGTGAAACAAAAAAGTCAATCACAAAACTTGCATGTGTGATTGAGGTCAATACCGTGTTTTGAAAGAAGTCATTAATTTGATGCTGAATTTCTAGTTTTCGATCACATAATTCTTGAAACTTAACATCACAGAAATATTGTGAAATTGCGTTCAAACGATTTTCATGAACAAAACATCGAAATTCGTACTGAGGGTTCTCAATAACTTCATCAATCCACTCTCGAATGATAATTTTGCTATCATACAATTCCTCACCAAATTCTGTATTCTTTTGTAAATCTTCATAAATTCGTTGTGAACGACTTAGAAGTTCTAGAGCCTCTTTTCCATTTCGAACTCTCATGCTCTTATTCATTGCTTTTAAGAATGCAATATATACATGGTTGGGAGTGTTTTCTTGCAATTGATCCATTTCTATTTGGACTAGTTGTTGATAGATGGGATTTTCATGTTCTCTCCAAGGAACGTCCTGTTAATTTCATTGAAATTGAATATTTGAAAAACCAATCATCTCTAAATTAATTCAATGGATTTGTCAACCACCATGTTTTACATACTTTTGGACTCCTAGTATTCAATTTAACAAATGCTCCATTCTTAAACATTTCTTCGTGTTGTTTCATACAGTCATCGATTCTCTCCTCAATATTCTTCAACAATTTCAACTCGGAATCGGTTAAACGATGCTTAAAATCACTCGCTACTCTCTCATTGCTACTTTGATTCAATTTAATCAGAGAAATTAAAGCCTTGGCTTCTTCAAATTTCAATTCTACGCTCACAGTACGAAATGTATACTTCTCCAATTGTTGATACCATGTATCCAATGCAAAACAATTTTGATAGTGTCTTCTTCGATACCACTCCAACCGATGATCTTCAATTCTGAGTTTCCGAATTTCATCATTACTCAAAAGAAATGGGCTTGAAAAGGGGGTAGAAGATGATAAATTATTATTGACTCCTTCTTGTTGTTCTTGCGTTATATTCTTGTTGAGCGAGCTCATTGTCCGATCGTCATGAACAATTTCCAAAGGCTTGTTGTCCTGTTGCTGCATTTTTCAAAATGAAGAAGCATTCATCGCCAAAAAACGACAAAATATTAAAAAAAATACAAAGATACACACTTGTAGGCACTTCCACATGATCACACAACGAAATCCGAATTGGAGACGGGTGTGTTTGTGGAGGAAGAGATTTTCAAACTCGGAAAGAAAATTCAATCCATGACACGACATGATCCAAATACCACAGAAAATACATGCACTCATTCAACAATTGAATGAACTTCAAGAAAAGGAAGATCTTCCTCTCTCTCCGAATGTTTATAACATGCTCTATAATTTGAATATCATTGAAATTGAAGATTCATTGAATAGAAATGACATTCTAAATCATGATGAAAAAACTCTTCGTATGGATCAATTATTTCATTGGATGGAATTAAAAATCAATCAAGATCAAGAGAAGATGATGAATTATTTAATTAAACCAAAGAAAATTTTGGAACAAGGAGAGAAGGATGCATTTGAACGAGTTCGATTTGGTTC